ATCCTAATAAACATTACGAAGCACTGCTACATACTTTACTTTTTAAGCTAAAGCTAAACAGGGTACCGGCTGAAAACAAGTTGTAGAGTTCACACAATCCTGAACGAAGAACAAAGAGGAAATTTCTTTTTTGATTGAATGATTTTTGTTAAGCATCAGATTGGCATACGTACGATCAATTTCAGTATAAGAGGTAGGACAAAACGTTAAATACGGAGAGATAAGTATAAAGAAAGTGGTCACAATGTATGTCTCTGTCAGGCATAACAATGATGTTGAAAATTTCTTACTGAAACAAAGCGTTTTGAGTACGATAGCTACGCTTCAACCACAAAATGTATTCCATGTCGAACATCCTTATCGGAGTCGCTCAGGTTGGATCAAACTTTTAGCGAATGACCAACATACCGCAGTAATAACATGCCATAATTGATGCTGATCCTGTAGATAAATCGTCAGCTGCTCAGGTGGCTGGCTAAGTTACGCGTTTGGGCCACAAAGCGAAAACGATTTTTGCTATTTTTGGTTATATAGAACCTATCGGGTCAGCCATAAGTTAATTAACGCTGTCAAACGTTGCCTCGAAAGGCCGAATGAACGATTGCAACGCGTGATGGTCTCCGATTAGGTAGCAAATAGATAAGTTTCTATTTCTTGAATTTAGTAGGGATTGGGCTACACAATGGCTCACTGCATATTGTCCGATAGCTAATTACAGCATTGTCCTGACGTCAGCGTCTTGAGTAATAATCCTGTCGGAGAAAGGAATCGTTCTACTAACGTATAACACACCTAAATGATAATATTGTGATTAGATCAAGTAGGTGTTGCATTGTAGCTAATTAATATTCTACAATTAGTAACAAGTCCTTATTGGCTCATTTGGCCATTATTTTTTATCACATTAGGTTTTTGGATTAGTCAGGGGTGCATGTTGAATAGCTACATTAGACATGAGGCTTGTTAAACTAATCAATCAATACGGCCATGTTTAACCAAGTAGTATTGAAGAAATGAGGTTCGAAGATTGATTCTGTCGAGTGCGGTTAGCAACTGAAATATTCATCTGGATACGAAGTCGATTCCAGAGAAACACATAAATACCCGATTCTTGTGGGAAGTGTCATGTAGCTTTTCGGCTTTATTCGCCAAGCGATGCATGAGCCGGTCAATTTAATATTTGCTCGCAATGAATCCAAATGGACAACGGCTGGAAACGGAGTGACATGTCACTTCAGATGAAAGTTGAAGAGTAAGCCATCGCTAACACTTCGATGATTGTTTGTGCGGGACACGTATGTGTCGATTGACTGCCGCAACATCAGGTTCCATGTGATATTTGCTGACAGCTCTACATACTATAGCGCTCTATCTTCACTTCTATCTAAACAGAAACATGCAAAATCCAGACATAGTAGGAAGCGCACGTTAACCCAGCTACCAAATTTAGACAAAACCAGCTGGTTCACACCACGGGCTATTTCATCGTACGCGTAAAATAACTTGTCCTGTAAGAATAGAATATACAAAACGTTGCTAAGTGCAGTTGGGAATCAGGCTGATTTGAATTTCAGGATTCTGTATAGTGACTCATAATGATTTTTCAACAGTTAGTGCTTGTCTGGTGTGTCATACGACGCAACAAAACAACCTTAGCTTTCACCCCGGGCTAATCTTGTTTGTTTTTCGAGGAAACCTCTTCCAAATATTGTCGTCCATTAATTGTCTATGTTCCCAATAATCGTCCCAAGCCAGGGAACAGCAACTGACGCTGACTATGAATTTCTCGCAACCAAAAATAAATTTCTGCCGAAGACAGCCAAAAAGTAATAAGAAGGTATTTTGTAATTTTTTTTTTGTTCGAGAGTCAGCAAGATTATAGTGCTGACAATGCATTCGTGTCAACGGGCACGATGGTCATCAACAGGCGAACTCGCCGTGGAACGTTTGAAGAGATGAACTCCTGTACTGGTCATGCTGTTTTAGTTGATACAGTCTCTTAACACACGGAAACCTTTTCTGGTCTATTATGCACTAGAGTGACAATAAACTCTACGACTGGTTTATTTGCGACGTACCAAGGTGCCGTAAGCTACAGGGACACTTTCGTCTAGTGGGCTTATTAAAGCATAGAGTAGATACGTACACAGGTGGCCATCTTTTTAACTGTGTTATTCGTCTATGACAGAACGTCTGCTTCGTATGTCAGTCTGAGCAGAGCCTCTTCGTTGCCTTCTAACGTGACGAGTATTCACTTTAGTTGCAAGCAGTTCAGGAGGACCAAATACGAGAACAACGCGCACGTACTCAACCAATAAGTGTCCCTGCCTAGAAATGCTACTGCGCTAGATTGTATAATAGTCATTTCAATTAAGAGCTGGCAGAGCGTACCGGGTGTACGTTGACGCCGCAGAGATATTGTTGTATCCCGTGTAAACAAATACAGCATATCAGTAAGGGTCTATTTTCATCGTGAATCATTATCTTTGTTTCAAAATCAACTAATGCCGAGTGACTTTCCTCATAAAAACTCAATTAACTGCAACTGAGCTCAATTGGTTTTCATCTTCACACCGCTGACCGTTTCATGAGTACAAAATAAATACTTGCGTCCAGTGGCCCGATAAAGAAACTAGACTGAATGTGCGTTGAATGCGTATTTCTGGACGGAAAAGATCCGACGTCAATCTGCAGCTTGTTCTTACTTTTTTTTTTTTTTTTTTTTATAAATAACCTTGCTCTAATCGCGTAGCCGTTCTGGCTGCTCAGACCCAAAGCAACAGCCATCGAAAAAAATACTTGAGCCACATAAACATATCAAGAGATATGTTCTGTAAATACAACTCGCTTTTCCATATAAATATATATATATATATATATATATATAGAGTAGGTATATTTTATATGCAAAACTCACTTTTGCTTCTGTAGCTGACCGCAAAAATCCTCAACAAATTTATTATTATTGTTTTAGGTAGCATCCTTTATTAAAAAGAGAAAAGCTTGTTAGCTTAAAAAATAACACTATAACAGTAGAATTTTGCTAGTAGTTTTCTGTAACGTTGTTTCATACATCCGTTGCCCTATATCATTAACCTAGATGTGCTATTGGCAGCTACATAATTTTACCATGTGTTTAACAAGTTACGTTACACGCCCACACCCTTTGCGGCTTGCGTATACCCGCTTTAGGCTATCAGTGGTTTCGTGAGTAATCTTGTATACGTGCACATTCGTACACTCGTACATATTCGAAGCCTACCTATTCGCTCAGGTCGAACAAGGATCACGCTTATTTAACATAGATAGCGTCAGTGTCAATGAAGCGCACCAATCGGCTTCAAGTAATGCACCTCCTTTTATGAAGTGGTTAGGTGTGGCGCTTCTCATCATGATATCGTTGAATGCAACTTCGCTCCAAAGCTTTAATTTTCTCGAATTTTGATTGCCAAACATATGCATAAGCACCAAAGTGTATCGAGTTTGACGCAGGCCTTTTCACTCAGGCATTAAAAACGTCAATATCGTAGCATACACGGCTTTTTGTTTCGGGCGTCATAGAGCGGAACGATGTCTCAAACTTGACTATGGTGTAGTAGAATACAAGCCTACCTTGAGCGTTAGTTGTAACCCGCGAGCATTGGGCCTACAATATCGGACGTTTTCCTTCATTTCAGAACTGAAAGCCGAAAACTACCGAAAGCGGGACCTTGAGCCTGCAAAGCAATTATTTTTTTTCTTGCACTAACAGTAAAGTGTTATAGGCACTGTAGCTCTAATTAGCGTTACAGGCGCTCTTTAGCTAATATAGTTTTCTCATAGGAAGTTCGCACAAGAAGTAGTGAGAAGCACCAAATTACCACAATAAGCAAGCCTTTGTTTTGTATGACATATGATGTTAAAGCATTTATCAAGCTATATTGTGTCCTAGTAGCGTGGTTTGGAGCTCTCCTACCTAGAAAATCTTCCGTGAAACCTAAGAGCTTCTGCTTGTTTAAAAATTAAGAGAAAAACATATTGGTTTTCAGCCGGTAGTACAGCACCGTCAATTTTATCTAACCGTCATCACTGTTGACATCTTGGGCCTTTCTTGACTAGCTGACCTCGACGAATGCTAGCATCTATACAACTCATTGCACACGATGGTGTCCTCAATGTAAAAGCAAGTTGCTTCTGTCGATCTGTATCGACCTTCGGGAATTTCTGTGCAAAGACAGGATTTTGCCCATCGTGCTTTTAGCGAGAGGCGCGTAAACTCGGCGTTACATGCCGCCAATTCAGTTAAGCCGCACAGGACTTGTTCTTATGCTAGGATGTAGCAGCCAGTAAGTAGGCAGTATAACACATTTAAACTAATATTTAATGATACCATGTTGTTAATCCAATGAGGAGGAGAATTTTTAATATTTATATATATATATATATATCCAAGTTAATAATCAACGGTACTGTAGTCATATAAAAACTGATATCACTTCATTCGCAAGTAACTGTAAAATTATAATAAGTTGTAGTACATGGCACTGCCAATGATAGGACGTTGAAATAAGCAACTTGAGAAGCTGATCGTACACTCCATGATACTATGGTACTAATCCCATTACCCGTTGAGCTTTGCGCTTATTTTACTGGTGAGTCGTCTTTTAACACATTCTTATGTGTTTTTTCAAATTCAACATACAAACATTTCAAATTTTGATCATAAACGAAAATGCTTTGAATACCCTGAGCACAATTAATAGTTAAGAATGACGACAAAAAACAGAGTAAATTCGAGTCCACTAGCTTACTCGCATGTTTTTGAAAAAGAATATCCATCTCTAAATTCAAAAATCTTTTATAAGCAATGTAATAACGTTAGTGCTGTTGATAATTTCGTAGCTAAACGGATTCTCATTACGCGTCGTAGATATGAATAAAAATAAACACATACATACATATATGTATATTTGTTCACGGATCAATATTCAACACAATGTCCGAATCTTACCAACACCTACCTGTCTAAGATGTACGACGACTACCCTATGCTGCTCTATCAACGATCAATCAACCTGATTCCATTTAAGGACTGGCATTGGCATTTGTACAACTGAATGACACGCACTGGATATTTTTATAAATGTTCTAATACGTTTGCATGCCACTCAACTTTTTCGAGTGTTTGCTCATGCATTAAATGTCTATTTTAGTTAGCCGACTGCTACCTCCGCACTCTTACTCTGTCCTTTCCAGCAGTTACAATTAGCGTATACTCAAGTAGGGACCGTGGAGACATACGTCTCTTCATGAAGTTCCCTTGCAGACAGTGTGAGCAACTTGTAGACTACATTTGTGCGCAAAGTTTTTGCTGATGAGTCTGTGGCAAAATTATTTTCTCTGCACTAAACTTAGCAAACGCAGTGTTTTTCACAGCTCACGGTTATCGTTGCAGTTGCCCGAAGCCAAGCACAATGCACGTTTTCGATTGTTGACCTGTCCGCAAATAGTCATTGATACGAGATAATGAAAGCCGAGCTGATATCGGCGGCACAATATGAACCAGTTTCTTTAGGAAGAAAAGGACTCCATTTGGTCTTTCGCCTTGGTCGCTTAGAAGCTGGATCACTAGTTGACGTCCCCTGTGCGCTACCGCTTATTGGCACGCATGATCCTTTGGCTCGGTCTTTCGGCTAAACGCAGTTCCAGGCACTGCCGAGTACGACACTGGCGAGTGCTGTACTAAGCTTTATTGATGCCGCCGCCGTCGTCACCCGCTGGTGCGCGCAACTCGTGCTAACGTGGTCGGCTTTCTAGCTGGCTGGCTAGCTCACATTTATGGGTCTCGTTCAATCTTGTTCTCCCAGACTCTTAATGTCCGGCCGGTCCCGTCGGTTCAGCCGCGGCATCTTCCCAACGCCGAGAGCGTATCAGCACTGTCTCCTTTCTCGTGCCTCGACGGCCATTCTCCCTTTCCTCAGTGGTACTGAGCGATGACGATCAAGAGAGCGACAAACCAGCCATTTGGTTTCTCTGTAGGTTTCTAACAGCTGCTACAGTCGCCGTAGAGGACCGCATTGTGATCGCATCCACGACTACATGGGCGGCCACTAACACTAGTCGTGTCACTCGTGGTAGTGGTAGCGGGGGCCTTAGTAGCTCAAGGGTACGCAACAAATAGCCAAAAAGTATAATACGAATGTGACGGTACATAGTGTGCTAAAGTAGGACCGAAACAGTAGTCGCTGCCAGCGCCATTGGTGATGCTACGCCTGGCCAGAGCAGCTATATTAGAAAGATCTGGATTATTATGCGACACTGTGCCGGCTGCACATTGGCCTCATAGCGATCGCAGTAGCCTCAGCGATAGTGGTCGAGGTCGTTCTCCGAAGCGAAAGCTTGTAGCAAGAGTGCGTGAGCTTCTTTACCAAGGAAACCCCATCCCCTGGCTGAAGAAAAGCGACATACAAACGCGCTGAGGCAGATTCGAAAACTACCTCTTGAAATTATGCAGCCATGGAACAAGGTTGGAATACAAGGGAAGTTCTGCCTACTGTAAGGCATGATATCTCATAGGATCTTGAAACAACGACTAAAGTTATTTATAAGCTACATGCTTTGCGAGGCAGTTCATAGCTGTCAATTAGACATAAATTGTGAACGCATGCATGGATCACACAGATTTTGTTACTGATTTTTATTATTAATTAGATAACTATTTTAGTTTTGAATGGCTTGAAATGTAATACCGTATAGGTACATACAAATTTTCAGCAGTTGTTTAGTTAGCCTCGGCCTGAGTTTCGTTCAGATATATCTATTTTCTTGAATATCGCTAGTAGTTTCGAAGGATACGATTTCTATTCCGTAATCGTAGTGCACTCTTTTACACGTAACACACTGAGCACTTCATCTGTACCACCAAGCAGGCCTGTTACTAATATTTCAATGCCGGTGCTTACTTCTGACTAGCCATGTACCACAGACCATATGTCTAATGTGTTTATGGAGGTATCATCCCAGACAATCGAGACGCTCAGTCGTACCATTACATGATAGTGTACAGCATAGCACGAGTATGTGTTTCGACAAAACCATTTGATTATTTGGACAATGAAACCTGTATACTTGTATAATTCTAGTCTTCTTGCGTCTTATATCTATTGATGTAGGAGCAGGATATTGGGAGGGGTTAATGTTTGCTTCACATAGGCTGACACAAACACCAGCTAAAATACTCGATATCTATTGAAAAAACTCTGAATATATCTAGTGAGACACTGTGTCTTCCTCACTCAGGTCGCTTAACTAGGGATAGTAGCAAGTGTCAGTGGTAACAAAGATGGACATATTTTCAAATAACATCTAAAGTTGTTCGAATAAATGCCGCTTGGGCCTTATGAGTCCAGGGTTCGCTGCAGCAAATTACAACAATATTTTTTGTAGAATATTGATCTCACAGAGAACGCTATTTGTATAAAGATTTCATGCGTACGAATCATTGATATACCTGGGGAATAATGGTTTCGAAAAAAAAGAATCAATTCAATGAAAACATGTAAAACAATTCCATCATATGTCGTCCGGAAAAAAACGAGCATTTGTGTATTTGATCCCACATGCGTTTGGATTTTAGGTTTTCTTGTTGTGTTTGTTTTAGTAGGACGTTATTTACGCAGCAAGACCGACCATTATAAGATTTATCAGAACCTGCCGCGTTTCTAACATTAAAAATATATTTTACATGATTTCAACTGAATGGAGTTCTGCCTTTGCTAGCATCTACTATTGCTCGACGCTTTTGGGCTACGGTCGCAGCCAGATGTATTCGTCGCACAAAATGTGTTCTGCCAAATTATTACTTTATTATCGTGTGGTCGCGTGTCAAGACGCACGCTCATTCATAGGTTGGCTCCTTTGCCGCATATGGTTGGACCTATTTATAGGTACCAGTTGAGCATATATTTGAAACATGGGTGTCTGAAAACGGATGTCTCTGAAGCGAGAGAGGGTGGAATATTTTCTACCAGATGCTGAAGCCTATCAACTTTTGAAAGGTCGTGCGGCGAGGCGATAGGCCTGTGGGACTATGTGGTCTAGCTTGCTAGTGCGATTATCTCGAAGTGAAGATAAGCAGATCCCGATAGTTCTTAAAACTCTCAACTGTTCGGTTGCCTGCTTTATTTCTGTTACGCGTATATTCAAGAGACCGAGAAAATATTGCTTTTTGTTTGAGCTTTAGTATGGAATACAATCAACGTATTCCACCCCTGGAAAAAAGTTTAAAATGGAATCATTTCAAAAACTCTATTGAGGGAACTCCTTGGTTTGGCTGGCCTCATATAACATTGTTCACAGCAACGTAAACAAATAGGTTTAAAAAATACTGAAATAATGATTAACGGCAGTATTAGATTTAAAACTAAAAACACCAATTCAATAAACAGACACACGATTTTTGAATATATAATAAATTCAATTAAATTGAAATAATAATTCTTTTTAAGTTCGATGTCGTTCCAGATACTTCGAGAATCTTGTTTCTCCTGCTACCTCCTTGAGAATCCTGTCACAATCCTGATATCAAACATCCAAAATTGTTATGTTTAGTTTAAACATATACAAATAATATAAGTGAAAATATTACCTTGTTTTCCTTAGTTGGCAATATACCGCTTTATAACCTATTTTTTTTCATTTGATCTACGATTGAATAGATCTTACAACTATAACTCAGAATTAAAATGAAGGCAGAGAACTTACATTTTAGATAAAGCTACTTAAAATTCGATAAAAGTAGATTTATGTCGGTTGTACTTCAAAATTAGCTGTGAACTTGAACGAACTTTGTCATCATGAGTTTGCTGGGAGCAACAGATTTAATAGACCGTATTTATTCAGAGGCCAAGTGTATAAATATATCTAAAATGAGTTGCCTATATATACGGATAGGTAAACCACTGATTGGCACTGGTCTGAAGTTTATCTATTAAAAAACCGAAGAAACATGGCTGTTTAAAATAGACCGTTCAATTTATACTTGGTAAATAGAAAGATAATCTTACGCGCATTGCGGTCATGTTTTACCGAAACAAAGAGATTTTCTCCGAGTACAGGCGAAGCCCCGAATTAATTGGTGCCTACTAAAAGTTAGCAATAGCAGAAGACTTAATGTTTAGCTAAGACTCCAACCTTCGCTCTAACTAATAGCCTCTTTCAGCTATTACATTTTATTCACTTAGACTTGGCAAATTCACTTGGACTCTGGGTGTCTGCGATGCTCATAACCTGGACAAAGTTGACAAATCCAATTTCTGTAACGGTTTATATAGCCAAGGTCGCTTCACGCGCGTTTGAGCACCGATTTGAATTTGTTTACCTATGCGTGTGTCTGGGATATCATCGGCGACGTGCATTACATTAGAACAAGTAAATAAAAATATTCGAAAAGTGAGTGCTGTCCCAGTCCGGCTTTCTGATGTAAACGCGACTATCACAATCGATTCAGCGTACTCTTTCGAGATTCTTGTGAGTGGTCAGTTATAGTGAATAATGTAATATTTTTTTATAACATTAGATCTTAAGTACTTAACTTAAATGCGAAAACAGCAGCCCTTGACGACTCTCGTATATTATGTTTCCTTGTAAAATTTTTCTCAGTAGTCGACAAAGTATTCAAAGCACGGTACCTAAACAGTTGAAAGTAATATTCTACTTAGCGAAAGGTATAGTAACTTGGTGTAATACAGTTATAATAGGTGTTCGTCTGATCTGACAAATAATATTCATTTGTTAAGTATTCTACTTAGCCTGTCCAAAGTTTGATTACGAATTTTATTATTCTGAAGAAACATACAAGCATATAATTCTATCCAAGGGTGTTCATAAATTTATTTGGATAAGTTAGCCTTTGTTTTCGTCTTCTGAGTTCCGTCTTACAAGAAACTGCTCACTCGCAACACAGCATATGAAAAATACTCTTAATATATTCATATGTAAATATATTTGCTGACTTAAACGTAACTCTGACTGAGTAGAATTAACGTCCTCGTAATGTGTTGGGTTTAACTAGCATATTCTGAAACAAACGCTAATATGGTTGTTTTCCGGTTCGAATTTGCAGCAAAATTCAGACTATTTAGAACGAGCCGCTTTAGGTTGAATTAGGCACTACCATTGTGAAAAGTGTGTTCTCGTTATTCCGATAGCCAAATCATTTATTTGTTGATTTCCTGCTGCTAAGTCGATCAGCTAACACTTTTAAGTGTTCTCAGCTCGTTATTTTCACTCGTGTATTTTCAGAAGGTGCAAACTGACCCGAATCTTCATCGTATAGTGAGCCGCTTCGACGCTGACAATCATTTAGCAATTCGCTATATTCACTAAAACGCTACGAGGAATATATTTCCTGATTTCGTGATCAGTCAAATTTTTTGGGCGACATTAAGCGAACCAGCGAAAGCCTTACAATGTTGTTCTACTCGTTTTTCAAGTCGCTGGTAGGAAAGGACGTCGTCGTAGAGCTGAAAAACGATATCAGTATTTGCGGCACGTTACACTCGGTCGACCAGTATCTAAATATAAAGCTTGTCGATATATCGGTCACGGATCCAGACAAGCATCCACACATTTTATCTGTAAAGAACTGTTTTGTACGCGGTTCGGTCGTCCGCTATATACAGCTACCTCATGACGACGTCGACACTCAGTTACTGCAAGATGCTGTGCGGAAAGAGATGAAATAAGCCTGCGAATCCTTAATAGAACGTGAACCTTCAGGTCGGTCAGAACTTTAGCGACAACTCAAAGTGTGCGTGGCATCTACGCAAGCAGCTTTTTCAAGCTACGGAGCGAAATGTTTCCAGGTGTGGTGTATCAGTTCACTAGGAACGTGCTGTTAATCTATGAACAATATAAGGTGTTTGCATTGGAAGCAGCAGTTGTTGTGAAGCAGTGCTAGGGAAGCTGTAGCTGGAGCGCGTTCGCTACGCACAGAAACGTAGATACGTATTACTATCATTTATCAACCATTATAATTGTTGTTAATGGCTATCAACTGTGTGAAACCCAGAAAACGCCTGAGCGGAAAGGGATGATAGATGCAAAAAGATAAGATTATAGCAGAAACACTCCGATATATAATTAGTTTATTAATTTACACCTACCAGTCACTACCGTATTTCGATGTAACATTTTTCTTTGCAAAGGTCATTCTCTAAAACCAAGCGTAATTATGTGACAACAATATTCAGTTTATTCCCTTATCCCTAACAGAACCCGCAGTTCAGATGAGATCAGTGATGGAAGAAGCGGCCTAGTTGTGTATAAACGCCTGTACAATGTGAATTGTCAACTGCGTGTCGATAAGGATTATCCGTGAAATTACTTTATACCACGAATGGCTCCCGCTTTGGTCGAAAGCAGGTACTAATAAATTTTGAATAAATGCAGACACTAAGAGGATAAGACTGCGGGGGAAAGTATTTGAAGCGATGTATACAGTCATCCTGGACAGTTCAAACGTCGCGTCATGTTCGACCCACTCGACTGTACATAATCATACTCTGCGTATTTTGCTAAAATTAATCAAATCTGATTTGTTTACAAGCAACCAATAAAGAAGCGATTGCAGGCTGGTCATCAAAATCGGCAATGTTGTTGCTTGCGAATAAATACCATTAAGTAGAGAACAGATCTAATTTGTATTCTTATTTCAATGAATTGTTGTGAGCTCGTTGTAAGAGACGGCGGTAATGAATTGTGCAGTAAAATAACGGGCATCAAATGACGATTTTCGTCTTGTTAGCATCCGTGCGCATGAAAAACAAGGGAAACCCTTTGGTTCAGCTGAGAACGAAGAGAAGATCGTTATACAATACGGCTTGTATTTTGAATTTGAAGACGGGAAGATACGTCATATATATACAACTTTAAGTAAATATTAATGAAATTTTTTGAGGCAAAAAAGTCAACAAGCCGACAAGAACGAACGAATTTTTAAATAATTTTGGAAATGTTTTTAAGCACGTCAAAGACCGTGCTTCCCGTTTTACTTTCAAAAAGTCTTATTGAACTACTGTAGTGCGATATAAGATTAATTTAGAACGTACTTTCGGCTTAATTTTACTAGTCTTATTTCTTTTTATTACATACAGAGCGTGTTTGGTCATGCAGCTTGTAGCATGCTGTTCCGCATAAATCTAGCGGCTATAGATCCCGGATTTTGTCAACAAGGGACTTAGGTATTTGTGCGACTAAATCATCTGTATTCTGAGTAAAAGCTTATAGAACTAGGTGAGTCGCAGACAATGATCACCTCAACTTAAATGTTACTGTTCAGTTCTCTCTACGTGAAAGGACTATCTGTTAATACCGTAACGATATGCGATAAATACTTAAGCTCTGGGTAAAATGCAATTGTGTCTCATTTGCAAACATGTAAAAGTAGCCTCTCGTAGTATTTTCAAACATTCTGTTTAGAGTATATTAATTGTGTCATATCGGCATTTAGTGCTAGCAGTCAATACATTTTTTTATACAACTACCTAATAATAATAACTAATTCAAATAAGAGCTGGCTAAAATAGCAACAAGGTTTAATCAGAAAGTGGGAAAAGGCATTTTGTGCTCATTGACATTTTTATTAACGAGAAATTTATTTCTGAAAAGAAGTGGAAGATCCCTTTTGCTGAAGTGATGATGAAAATAAACAAGACAATAGTTAGCGTCAGTATTCGACAGTAGATGCGAGCTGTTCCGCAACTTTATTCGGATTTACCTTCCCCGTCTGTCCGTTGCGACACCTAAATCTCTGCGTATCAATGAAGCTCACAATAGATTAAACTCATTAAACAGGTTAAACAACTACTGCGTAAGAATAGTGCAGATAACGACAGAGACACTACACATTTCAACAGTAAGATTATGTAGCTCGCAAGAAAACAAATCCTAAATGGCAACGAAGCATGAGCTCTGAGCGTAGCTCAAGGGCCGTACAGATTCGTTGCCCAGTATTCTATTTGAGTTACTTCATTTATTGGAGGACCATGTTAGAACCATGTTTTCTTCTAATACTAGTGAAGCCACAGATACTACGGAGAAAGGCTGTACCTGTCTACGAAGGCTCGGAAATCATTGGGGTACAATCGTATCGGGTGCCCTCGTTATTATCTGTGGTGGCACCTACATTTTCCTTTTTCTCGGCGCGCACGTTACAACGCAAAGAACTGGCGCTTACTTTACGATACTTGTACCGTTCGTATTTATCCTAATATTGCTAGTGTGGTCATATTTGTTGACCCTGTTCACTTCGCCTCGACGAGTCCCTTCGCGGTTTAAGCTGTCTGAAGGCGAATGGAACATGCTTGAACAGCTTGTCGACGCACCAACTGACCAGCAGGAGTTTGTCAGTCGGCTAGCGGCTGACCGCCAGATTGTTATTGCGGTGCCTAATGGCCAAATCAATGTGTGTCGCCCGTGTCGACAGTTGAAACCCGAACGAACCCACCACTGCCGACGGTGCAGGACCTGTGTGATGCGTATGGATCATCATTGTCCGTGGTTTAACAACTGCATACATTTCCACAACTATCGAAGCTTCTTCTGTACATTGTTCTACACGACGCTGATTTTCGCTTATGTTGCAGTATCAATCTTGTGGTACTACACAGCCGCTTTTCAATGGCATCTTCAGTCAACCGAGCTTCACGAAGCCGTCCTCGCACTGGTTGCGGTATCGGCCGTAGGCAGTCTTGTGATGGGAGCCTTCTCTTTTTACCACTTTTATTTGTCCTGTAACAATCGGACGCATATTGAAAATCTGAACCCTGATACGAATCGACTGTTCAGTTTGGGCTCGTCTTGGAAAAACTTCAAGGTAGTAATTTTGTAGTATTCTCGTGTGTGTCTTAAAACATCAAATATGGTTCGGTGAGTTAAATACTACAAATTAAACCATATTTTGAAATTGCTTGGTTTGTCAAGGTCAGTTGAATATGCTCATTATTTTCTACCGTATTTTTTGTTTTTTCAATTTGAAAAATCTACTTGTTTTCTACAAATCTACAATTTGAAAAACACGACTTTGAAAAATCTAATTAGATGCCAATACCAATACCCAAGTATGTAACTCAATGAGTTTGCCGCCAATGCGTTCAAGATGAAGGTGATCTTGTTTTTTTTCTGGCATTAAGCGAAAATCGTGACTGTCGAAATACCCGAGAGCAGGCGAAATATCATAGAAGCCAGGAATACAATGCGCAGAATTTTAGGTTCTTTCCACATTTAAATCGATATTGCAGAGCGTGATCAAATTTCATCGAGAAGGTATGGAATCACTTATGATTCCATACTTTCTCGATCTCTCATGAAAGATCAAGTTTAAATTTTTTTTTAAAAGAGTTTGGAATCAGATTTTTTGACAAAATTTGGGGAAACTCTGAAACCAAGCAGCATTTACATTAAATAAGTGCGCCAATGATATGTCGAGATGATAAAAAAGTACGAAATTTTATGTGTAAAAGTAAACTTGTTGGCCAAACAGATTAGGATTAACGCAAATAACGTAAGTTGGTGTATTCCTTATCTACCGCTGCTTTCCTTAGTTCCTTAAAGTAGAAAGTCCTCCCTGTCTTACTTCACGAAATGCCCCTAGCAGAAGCGGCGTTGTCCTATTGTACTGTAATATTTTGGACGCCGATGCTCACCTGGTCACATTTATCGTTTAAATACGCCCTGCACTAAATTGGTTGTCGTAGAACCAAAGTCTCTCAGCGTTTCAAACATAAATGGCTGTAATGAATAAACGCTAATATTTGTACAGGTAGGATTTGGGAAAGATAAAGATGTTATCTTTGACCGTTTGCACTTTTATTCGGAGCATTTAGATGCACCGTATGGAACTTTGATGGTCGCTCATAACGTAGCGATAGCTTATCGCGTGCTGACGTGTAAAATATTTAGTATATAAGCTTCCTGAAGCATCTGCCAATTGCTTCTAATATATTGTATGTACAATAGTTCTATAATTTTTAGTTAGTAATTACAGTAGTTCCACTTTTAGACTTTAAAGTTTCCAGATTAGCAGAAGCAAGATTTATTTTATGTGGACGACTTTTTAACATTTGTAAAAGTACGGAACTAGGCATGGGGTAGGGCACTAGTAGATAGTATCCGGTTAACCTAGCACCTAGGGAGTACGCGAGATAGTTATAACTGGTTTTGTGTACTTGCTTCGTTGTGCCGTGGGCTCTCTATTCTGCCGTAGGCTTCCTTCACCTCAGCATAACAATTCAGTGCCCAATATTAGAATGGCTTGAGCTGAGCTGGTAATACGCACCTGCCCTGCCATCCTTACTCATTTGTTTATTTTAGAGCGCTCGACAGATCTCGCTGAAGGTATACTGTTTCGACGTCTTTTTTGTTACTACCTTTTCTGTTATGTTTGACGTTGATTTATTGTGTTTATGCGAATGTCTCTGGTCATCCGGGGCTCAGTATAAGGAAAACCAGATCAACCTTAATTAATGAGCTTTCCCCAATTAAATTATACCACTGACAATTCTTGCGGTATGCGGCATTAACCAACTTCACCACTGTCGAAGCCGGCTGCTTGTTCAGTTGTACACCTAATTTTGCATTTTATGATAAAATAAATGATAGTGTCGTTACAGGCAATGCATGGTGCTTGGTATCTTTGGTGGCTTCCTCTTACCTTCCCTGACCACGACGGATGCACGTTTAAACGAGTGGTCAACTCACCAGAGCCGCGTGAGCGGCAGCCGCGGTGGCATCGTGTTGCCGAACTGTCTTACCCGATTCGTCGCGGTCATAAGAATGAAAAACGGAGTTACTGGTCTCCACATAAGGGACTACATAAAATGAATAATTCGTCCCCACGACATGGAAGTAAGAAATATCCCCCATTCAGTGATCATTACGCCTACGCCCTAAAGAGCTTGGAGAGAGAGCCAGTATAAGATATTCTGATTCTACAAAATGATCGTCGTCAGTTTACGTCAAACAGATCACTCAAATTCCCTGGAGCCCATATTGTGTTCACATGGGTTAGGGACACTAAACTGTGAATCACGTGTTGTCTGAATAATTGATCACAGTACGGCATGGGTTCGTCCGAGCAAAGCCAGCTATTGAATCAAGATATCAGCTAAGCGATCCGTCCTTTCCTGGAGTCTGGTTCAGAAGATTTAACACGCGAACACAAAGGTTTTAACAAAGGGGTACCGAAGCTCAATATGAAAACGCTCGTTTATGAGATAAAGGTCGCGCAGTGGATGCGGTCGCCGTCTGCTTGAAGCTAGCGATAAACTAAGTGAAACAGAAACGAAAACTTGCATAGGTACGCCGCTAGCCAACCAATTGCCTTTAAGTGTCATCGGATTATTTAACTCGAATTGTTAATAGAATTACTAATCTTTTCTGTGCAAATTATCCCCTATTTGGGAACAAGTATCCCCTATTTGGCAACAAGTATCCCCTATTTGGCAACAAGTATCCCCTATTTGGCAACAAGTATCCCCTATTTGGGAACAAGTATCCCCTATTTGGGAACAAGTATCCCCTATTTGGGAACAAGTATCCCCTATTTGGGAACAAGTATCCCCTATTTGGGAACAAGTATCCCCTATTTGGGAACAAGTATCCCCTATTTGGGAACAAGTATCCCCTATTTGGGAACAAGTATCCCCTATTTGGGAACAAGTATCCCCTATTTGGGAACAAGTATCCCCTATTTGGGAACAAGTATCCCCTATTTGGGAACAAGTATCCCCTATTTGGGAACAAGTATCCCCTATTTGGGAACAAGTATCCCCTATTTGGGAACAAGTATCCCCTATTTGGGAACAAGTATCCCCTATTTGGGAACAAGTATCCCCTATTTGGGAACAAGTATCCCCTATTTGGGAACAAGTATCCCCTATTTGGGAACAAGTATCCCCTATTTGGGAACAAGTATCCCCTATTTGGGAACAAGTATCCCCTATTTGGGAACAAGTATCCCCTATTTGGGAACAAGTATCCCCTATTTGGGAACAAGTATCCCCTATTTGGGAACAAGTATCCCCTATTTGGGAACAAGTATCCCCTATTTGGGAACAAGTATCCCCTATTTGGGAACAAGTATCCCCTATTTGGGAACAAGTATCCCCTATTTGGGAACAAGTATCCCCTATTTGGGAACAAGTATCCCCTATTTGGGAACAAGTATCCCCTATTTGGGAACAAGTATCCCCTATTTGGGAACAAGTATCCCCTAAATTATTTTCTATTTGGGACTAATTATTTTCTATATTGTATATATATTGTATATAATGTATATTAAAGTAAGAGGAAAAAAAAGCTCCAGCTAGGCTTTATGTCAAAACTTAGCTGGAGCATGTATATATATTAAGTGACTGAATGACCAACTATGTAATATTTTTGTGTATAGAAAATGTGTAGGGCTTTAGTGAGACATTATAAACAGATCGTGACTTGAAAAACGAAATATATACTCGGAATACTAAAAATATAGGTAAACTCGCTACGAAGACCTATTTTCAGAAAGCATAATGCTGCAAAAACAGAATACACTCGGATATCGAAAGATGGAAATAAACGCTTAATAAAAATACAGATTCTTAGTGTCCATATAAAATTATATTGGTTAGTAAATAGTTAATATTTACATAACAGAAACGCAGTTAGGGATGCAAATCATTGGCTTCTTTTTGTGTCAGCACAACAATAAAGTATCATTCAACAGTTACTAATGTGTGTATGTGTGCGGTATACGCTATATCGGGTGTAATGTCAGTACCTGCACACAGATTTTAGTTGTCTTTTCAAGATTGGTTGCACTTATACCACAATGCGACGCAAGGTACTTTACGGTGTATATAAGGTCAGAATACACTACTTATGGCTGTATAAACTTTATTGCGTTTTAGGACCAACTGAGACAATCTAGATAATAGTAATAACTCTATATTTCAGAAAAACCAAGTGATGCACGTATATCGATCGGGAGTACTCTGTCAGCATATTTCACTCGTCAGCCCTCTTTCTCGATGACGCCAGTGCATCTAATAGAATGAATGGGGCGGGTCTGAGCTTTGTTCTAGCTGCTAGACTTGATCGGTGTAAGAAACGTCATTGATCCGATTATCAAGCTTTTGTGCTGCAAAATAAGGTCCAAGTTAAGGAATATGTGATAACGTATTACTGTGGCTTTGTATGCTCCTTTCAAAATGAGATGCTGGCTGGGTCGAAAAGATGACAAACTTTGGGCCAAATAAAGGTAGAAAAAACTATTTACGCATAGATAATGTAAACCTTAGGCGGGTTTGTATTAACATCCATTAAGTGTCTACGAATGTACCTACAAATCAACCCTCAGGTAAATCTGTGGGAATCACTTTCTTCAAGATAGGTGATATTTGTGGCTGAAAAAAATATCAAGCAATTTTTTAGGGAATTTCCAAAAAATTTCGGCTATAATGACGTTTTATGATGTTATACCGTATATTACATCTATAATTACTTATACAGCTTTCATGGTATAAAAATCGGTTACTTAATTTTGGTCGCATAGCGAAACACATCGTATATAAAGTTCCAGAGAAAGGCCTATCGTCTGACACCTTACCGAACCAAACTTTCTTATTGAAATATAGATGCTACTTAATTGAAGATACTGTTGCCGTGTGCCGTTCCGTTCAATGAGAATAGGCTCTAGGAAAAGAGAATAAGTAGTTTACGTGTTACCTTTTCATTGCCTCCCCTTGGTCGCACTTCAGTTGTTCTGCGTCGAAGCTACGCTAGCTCGAAACAACGAACTCTCTCGCTGGTCAGTGTCCACTCGCGTGAACCCAATGTACTCAGCTGCTCAAGTGGAGAGCGTTGGCGAGCGCTATTAGTCTGACTAGTGGTGCCTAGGCCTTGAGCCAATCCTACTTTTGAAGCTCGCCGAGAAAACCCGTTCGAATGTGACAGACTATCATGACTGTCCTAGTCGTTTTCTAACAATCGTAAACGGATATGAGGAAGTGTTTGAAATTTGTAGTGGGCGTTTAGCCTGCTTCTGTTGCGATGATAGGGTAGTGCGGAAGAAATACTACTGCGGTGCCGAAATGACCCTATAGGTATTTAGCAAAATATCGATCCGTTTTTTGCTTTACGGAGACGCCAAGAAGAAAAAAAAAACTGCAACGTAACAGATACGCAGAATTCCGTGTAACATTTTGTAGCCTGCTTTTTTTTTCTTTATCATGAAATACGATAAGGCGCAGTAAACAACTTTTACGGGATTAGGACTTAACAATTGATAGGGACAAAGCAACAGATAACAACAGTTCAGTAGTGATTTTGACGAATACAGGATCTATCGAATTTGTGGTCTTTAGCCACATGAACTATTTAATGTTGGCGGAAGCCTTCTTTGGTCAGATGCCGTTAGAAGTTCGAACATTTGAACTCGTTAAGACTATGCCTTACATACTGTTTACTGAGAACCATATAATGTTTACGTTAAAGTTCTGATCACAATAAAGGTCAGTTAAGCAAAGTAATGTCGCTTCAATTGCTCGTAGTCGAGGATAAAGCTCACTTGAATTGCGGTATTTCTACTGGATGGATGAAATTTTTTGTTCTAGGCAGAAGCCATTTGGTGTTTAGTCATAGGAAAGTTCACCTGCAATTACATTTCTTTCAACAAGCAGAATGGTATTGTCACTTTTGGTCATTGTAAGTGATCAGGCTAATATAACTGTCCTGCTAACAGTCTGGTGTTTGTTGTGCTTCGGCCCTCAACTGGTGAACAGCAACGAGTACCAAACGACTCCGAGACCCTCTCTGGATCAGTTACGACAGAAGGCTGCCGTTCAATGTTCCTATCGATATAGTAACAGCATTGTAAGTTAATATCAATGAACATTCATTAGAAGCAACGTTTTTGAATACTTTATATAGAACCTAGAAGATATAATACATATGTAGAGAAATATTCTATGTAAGTCTGCCAGCATGCTTGGCTTCTTAATTGCTTTCCTCGATGGTGGAAACAACCGAATATATCTATTTAATTTTCACTACCAGAAAAACCGCTTAAAGCAACTACTCGTTCCACGTAGAAACATCTGCACGTTCTTGTCACTGAAAAACGCCTCTATCTTGATTTTCAGTACAACGTTTCCGAGAGACAATGTCGAAACTGCGTTTTACGTTGGAGCGGCAAGGTCGACCAGCTCACAGAGGAAGCAGATAAAGTACGCTCATTAGTATTATTGTTACTATATTATAATAAAGCAGTTGGTTTCTGCTAGCAAAGAGCATTCAATGTTATTTTATGCGAGTGATTAGTCTCACAAGAGGGGCTAACTAACGGAAGACCTCATTTGCGGAGCCACATGTTCTTGGGCTAATATAACACGGAACAGACTTACGTGTAGGATACAGGTTCCGTCTTAAAAATATCTTAAGACTATGGAGACTTACTCTGCTTTCTTATACATCACTTTACAGCTCGTTTACCGAATGACATTCGACTGTCGGCCAATGGTAAGGGAGCTCCATTTTTCTAATGTTGCATAACGACTGACTAAACATAAAAGATTCTGACGGTAGATAATAATAATAACAATAACAGTAGTAATAAATACTGTAAAAAAATTAGATTGATTTAAAGGAACAACTTCGAAGGCTGTGTCGATCATCATCTCTGCCGGAGAGAAGGGTATGTCGTTTTAATACATGAGCAGTTAATATGTAAAATACAAATGTTTTTTTCGTGCACACATTTCAATAGTGCTTTTTCCTACTAATTTGTACTGCTGAATTTGAAAAACAGCTTAAGCACTCGTGCTCTAAAAAGAACGTAATAACTTGTATGGGGTAATTATAATCCTTGGCTGAGAAGCTAAGGATAGCTAGTCTAGTATCGTCAGCAATATGTACGACACCGCATTACAGTGATTGCGCGATAAAATAAAAACAACTAATTAATTCACATAGGTGCTAATAGAGAATTGGTGTGTTTCCGATTACAGTCGCTACAGGCCTATATTGATTGTGACGACTGTCTTGCGCGGAACGGTGTCAAGGACGTTGGTACAACGTTTGACGAGGTATCACTGAGGCACACGTATCTGCCTACCTTTTGACAATGTAGTCTAATAGGAGGATCTTATAGAGATAATGTCTAAAGATAGCTTTTATTATTTTGCGAACAACATGTCTCCATATTATTCTGTGCATCTAATTCGGTTTTGAGGTACCACAGGTAATACAGGCGAGGCGGAACTGCATTCGTGTTGGCCATAAGGTGACAGTATTGACGTCGTCATTTGGTGGCAGAGTCTATAAAGACTTCAAGTATAACTACGATTATGAGCTTCTTAGAGAAGCATATCGCGAAGCCTGCGAGGAACATTTCAGCCAAGTAAATAACGTTTTTCTATGAAAACTAGACATTTAGCTCTGAGATTTTTTTAACGTGGGTTGTGGTAGACTTATATGGGCCATCAATGGCTTTGTACGAACGAGTCAGACGTTGAGAAAAGTTGGAACGAAAGCTTTTTTTTTTCAAGGAAGAAGTGTGATCGTGGTTGAAGAAAACGATGCAAAGTTAATTAAATCGAAGACCATTATTTGTCTAACATAGGCGTTCATGATGCCTTGGTGGGCAGTGTCACGCTGAATTCTAAAAGACCCAAATACTGACGCATTCAAAGGTTCTATTTTATATGTGAAATAGAGAAAAACTGTTTTGTCAATCAAGACCAATTCAACCGTATGCTGAATATTGATAGTTCTGGTACGATTAATTATTCCTGATTGGTTATTATCGGTGGTTATCCCGAACGTGATACGTTCGCTTGTTATATTGTTGTAATCTATGGTAACTCTTCAGATGGGGTACGGTTAAATGATTAGCGCAATTTCTTTCAAAGACAATCGTAGACATGTGATATAAAGAGCTTTACTTTTATCTGACTTTTTACATATGCAAGCATCTATATATCTCCATTAGGCTGGCTTGAAGCTAGTTCCTGCAGTTACTTTATCCAGTTAACCATCGATGACACCTTGCTTCGTTTGTCCGAATATAATGATCGATACAGGCCCACCCCAAACTATCCGCGCAATTTTCCTTCAGTCTGTATTATTTTGCCAAGTTATAATTTAAGAAACGTTTTATAAAACGCAACAAATATCTCACTCGTCTAAATCATTTGCCCCGAACAAAGATCTAGTTACTGGCATTTCGCAACATCTTCAGCCTCTACACGTGTTATAAATGACAAAAAAATTTAACATACCATTTTTAAAACGAATGGTTTCTTGTGAGCCTAGAACGTGAGCTTCTCACGTGACTAGTTATATTGTTCAACATGAACACTTCCAACCTATAAATCAGTAAAGCCTCAAAGATCCTATAATATAAGAATGCTCATTAAACTTCGTGTTATTCTCTATAACTTCGTTTTAACCCACATAAACCCACTCATCTATTTCGTTTCTTATAGCAAGCAGCGTCAATGTGCAATGCGTGCTTCGATAACCTTTTCCTTTGGGCTGACTACTCCGTTGACCAGGCCTCTAAAAAGCTGCGCTCTTGTCTGCCCAGTGTATGTATACGACAAGATATTAAGGCTACACAAAACGTTCTTCATCAGTTACTCGCATGTGCGTGTGTAAGAGAGCTGAATCGGTGATATTTTACTTCAGCTCGCGATTTAGCTGCCTACTTACTATAGCTTTGAAAGCTCTGATAATCATCATCATTATAGCGAATCGTTTCACCGGTCAAATTTACAAAAAGTTACAAAAAAAAAACTCGTCGATATCCATGAAATCTCGTGTTATTAAGTAATATTAGCTTGGTGTCGACACCTTCTTGTCTATAGTGCAGTTATGATGAGGGCATTGCTTACTTTGACTTTTTATCTAGTTGTCGTACAAAGAGGTTATGGCGCGACGATGTCGGCTATTGAATCATCCTATCTACAAGGTACGTCCTACATAAATTTCTTTACCTGAACATAACTGGTCCTTCTGCAGTGTTCTTTTTGTTTAATAATAGAGTTTGCTATAACAGAACCGTTCTTTTCTCTAGCAATGAAGCAATACATTCTGTGAAGAAACACCACTAAAAAGTAGATGTTTTTTGGTTGACGCAACTTCTCTTATTTTTTGACGATCATCAGAATGTCTTCGTCCCAGTGAATTTCGAACAATGTCGGAAATGTTTCGAGAACTCCAGCATTCAGGAAAGTTCTTCAAGGGAACAGGTAATCATGTTTTTCATACATAATAATATAATTTACACGTGTATGGCGGCATCGATTTCCATGTGTCCTATGGGGATAAAACCGGCAACAAAGTTTATGGTTAAACAAGAGGCTATGACCTTACCCGAATTACTTGTACATTGTTAACGCGCAGATTTTTACTAGTAACATTACTATGATTGTAGCTAGAAGAAAGGAACATAAATATCGAAAACCTAAAAAAATAATAGAAAAGTAATTACCTTCCAATTTTTCTTTGCAGCAACTGACTGTTTCATACGATTGCTTGCCGCCGGTAAACTTAGCGTGTTTTCTTGTCTAATTGGTATTTTTCTGAAATACGTCGATGCCCACGTGGCAGATTATTTGTATGCGTGATTCATTATTGATAAACTCACCCCTACTCGAGATGTTACTCTTGATCATTAAGACTGAGTTCGAGCAAAGAAGAGTCTGATCTTTCAAGGGGCTTTATTACTGATTTTTATGGAATATCGCCCCAGAATTGATGTCATAATAATTTATTTTTTTTTTATTTATATTTATGTTATTTTTTTCTAGGCTAACCCCTTGGAGGAGCTGCAACTGGAATTGTGCTCGAAGATCGACAAAGTTCTTCCATTTTGGAAGGAAGCACCTGAAAAGCAGCCGCGCAACCTTTGCTTCGAGTGGGCCAGCAAACAAAATTTGTCCGCTGGCATTGGGTACATTCAGGTATACCCAGGGTTTTAAAAAGCTTCACTGTAAAGCTGTTTCGATCGTGATTATTTGCCAGCTCCTTCAATTTCCAGTGTTATAACGAGGTTAAAAGTGAAGTTCCGTAACATACCATTGCAGCATATTAGGTCAAATTGGACTCTATGCGATCGGTATCCTTTTTCCTTGGCAGGCATGTAGATTAGGCTTCTTTCATGGCTTATCCCTGCTGCTAAATGCCATTCTGATCGTTAGATAAACTTTTCAACGTTATTACGAATTGTGTCCAGCTCCCTGCTACAAAATGCTATACACATCGTTTTTACGAATGAAAATTACCTCAAATCAAAATTTGTCGTTGTTACACCGAGCTGCGCGTAGTCGTATACTAATCTGTACAAGTAATAATTTCAATGGAATCATTGTATGGGAAATTAACAGATGCAATTCTCCTCTTACTTCGTCTGTTACCGCCTCAGTATAAGGCCGCATACCAGGAAATAGCTGAAAAGGTTCGTATTCAAAAAAGTATATCATTTAAGAATATCAAGCGTTATAGATTGGAGCTTGTTAGAGGCCTCCGAGAACGATTTGCTATTGGATTTACTTCAATGTGTTGGGCCCGCTATCTACGAATTTCGACCACCTAATTCAGCATTCACTGTCTACGCCTGGGGTAGGCTTGGGCTCTTTTGGGTGCTAGCTTATCTTAACACTAATAATCAATATGTTATCCGATTAGTGTTTTATGCGATACGTTTAGTTTAAGTTAAAGAGCGATTTAACAGCTCGCTGATATGCTTTAACTTGAATACGTTGACTAATCACTCTCTAAATTTACACCATGATGCATCGAGATACACCTTTACCGATTGACAAATTAATCCGACAAATTAAAAATGATACGTCATGTTAGCTATTCCCGTTCTAGTAAATGGATCCCTATATTTACAGATTATGAGTTACCTTATTGCAACGTGCTCAGAAGAACCTCAGGTGAGAAATCGTGGTACATGAGACTTGAACTGTACCCATGATTCTGTTAACAACTTCAATTGATCTTAGGCATAGAAATGCAATGCGTGAGAACCTGAACACGACTGAAATGTTCGTATACGATACGGCGCAAACAGAATAACGTGCCGATGGTTGTTGGAGCCATTTAAGCTCACTAACAGTTACTGGTCCTTTCTTGAGGTTTCTTGTCTATGAAATGGGCGTCTTCTGATAAACGGACACACGGAATTAATACTACGAGAAAAGCAAGCCCAAACTGAAGAGCTGGTTAGTGGTTAAAGCTGACAAATGCCATTGACCGTTTAATGATGTTTCACCGGTTGATTAGGAGGTGGAAAAATGTAAAAGCTGTATTCAGTTGACGCTTTCGGGAATACCGTCTTCGTTTTTACGAGTGACCCGTAAAAACTTCGAAGCTGCCTTCCGTTGTCTGCTCGTCAACAAAAACTGGGATTCGCTTGAGCTTGACAACGCTTTTACTACGGTACGTTCGTCGGACGACTCGGCTACAGGCGATTCTGTTGTTCCGGTGAGTCGCCTAACTAGCGTATTATAGTAAGATACGAAACTTTATGAGTGGCTTGTCATTTCGATCGCCGCGGCAGCCCAGAAGTAGGGAGAAAGAGTGCTGAGCACACAAACGTGAGGTCTCATATTTAATCGCCGGGTGAGAGCAATGGTTATTTCAGACTTGATTTTTTAAATCAGCCTCCTGTCGGCTCTATTGATTATAAGAGGGTGAGGCAAACGTCTTTTTTAAAAGTTGTAAACGAACCACTTAACAGTTTGAGACTCTTTGGTCTTCCTTCCTTAAATGTTTAGTGCACTTTGTTTTACTGCTACTTTTAACGGATTCAAAATCAAGACCCTCAAAATATTAAATGACCGTTTCAAACGTTGAAGATGTTTCTTTCCACGGCCCATAAGTCGGCGTTGGCTTTCAGCAGACATAAAACATTTACTGTACGGGCATTAAAATGGTGACGAAGCTTTTCAATTGATGAGGAAAAGTGCAGAAAAGGCTCACATGTTTTGTTGTAGAACTCAGGGTTGTCTTAGCAGCCTTCTGGACTAACCTTCTCCACTGTGACATTGCAGAATCTGAACAATGGTAGACAAGCGAACTATACTAGAGGTCCAATAATTCGCATAGTCAGCGATGCCTGATGAAACCATCTATTAGGAAATGAACTGGAGGATACCGGCTATGATGCAGAAAGCACAAGTATGCCGCGGGCTCATTGGAAAGAGTTTGTGTCGTGATATCCGTATATAAAATATACCTTATATTTACTCCATAAGCGTAACTGATGACGAGTCGTTCTTGGTTGGAGTTGTCTTTCTAAATTACGAAAAATAGACATATACAATAAATAGCCTTTTTTTTGAGACGTACTCATATGTTACTTATGCTAGAGCGTTCAGATCAACTCGTTGATCCTTTATTGCACCAGCTGCGCAAGGCAAAACCTACATTCACATTTAAAAATTATAATAGTAATTACTCTTTCTGGCAAACCAAATATGGAATTCCGTAATAGAAACATACCGCATTATGTTTAAGGGCTCGCGTAGGCCAACAATTTAAAATCCGATTTATTCAACTGCACATTTTTGTCCTTTTAAGGCAACCCTGAATTAATAGTTCATATTTTGTAGAGTAAAATATCATATGTTTTCTGCGAGCTTTATTTTTTTCATACTTGTCCTTAACAAATCCTTCGAAATGCCTCCAGTAAATCGACTCTAAACAGTAAGAAATACACATAGTAATCGTTTCGTTTATAGTTTTTTGGAATATATTTGTTGAGTATTACAGGGTATATTATAGAGAGTTGTATATCACTAATATAGACTTTGTCTGTTTACGAGCTCCCATTTCATATGCATTTTTACACAAAATTTTCTTATCGATTTCATAGAAATTATTGACAGCTTAATCCGCCTATGGCAACGGTTCATCGGCGAAAATTTCGCACACTTCGTTCAGGTGCAGCCTGGTGATCTTATTGATCCTGTGAGTGTTTTCTCTCTGAGTCTTCAGGTATTCACAAGAACAGCAGCGACTATGACGATAACGTCTACGTTTTTCCGGTACTCAAACTCAACTACGACCTTTACAATTATCAAAACTGTGCTGAAGATCAAGAGTGTTATATTAAAGTTAGTTATTTCATAAAATTGTCATTGTTCTGCTGTACGAGCCAAACTGAACAGAGGTCACAGATAAAATAATGTATTAGAGTAGATTCAGTGAAAATACTTGCAAAGTAATCATCTTAAAATTGTGCCAAAGGCTGATTCCTTTGAAAGTATCGATATTAACCATCAGACTAAGTGTTCTGCCTTACACGCATAAGTAATTTCACGAGCCTACGAAGTTTTCTGGCAGATTACAGAAAATTAACTACCTTACACAAATTGTATTTATTGGATTTGCGGACGCTTTTCAAGTTTAATCATCCGTTATAATAGACTGATAACAGTGAGGTGGGAAAGAATGTAGAACTTCCTATTTCACTTATATTTCTAATCTCCTCGAACAAGGGTTAAAGTCCGGGGCAGATGTGTTCTCTCGATTCCAGAGATGTTATTAAGCACAAGGTTGAATAAACAGACATAAATGCATCGACTTTGTCCTTAGTTGACGCCAAACGGACGTACGTAGAACGAACGGAGACCCTATTATTATACTGACAAATATTATCAGCGAGAACACATATGAGACATAAGACAAGAAATGCTCATGTTTTACGAAGTAAATCCTAAGATCTTAAGATGGCCATTTTTAGACAGATTAATAAAAAAATGGTGCACGGGACTTCTCACGTCGTCTTGAAACGAGTAACTTCTCGGATCACGTTTATAAACCAGGCCTCCTACTCAGGCAGCATGATGGGCAGACTGGCCAAGATAATAAACCGGTGGAGTGCCAAAACCATTGAACCCACATTGGAACGCCCTGCAAAATGCCAGAGGTGAAACAAGATATATTAGCAGCTGCCGCATAGTGCTAATGGCAAGAATAATTCTGTGTGACCATATTTCCTTGAAATGCGTGGGAAAGAAATTGAAAAAAGAGATTGTGCTTCTTTAGCGATGAAAAGGTCAAACGCATACTGATTGTTGAATTTGCTTAAAAAACAGAAATACACCTCGAATACGTTCCCATATTGTCTATGAGGATCCACTGGTCACACTTGATGTCAATCGCATGGTCCCATTCTACGATCTGGTCGAAGGGGTTGCAGGTCGCTCCCCAAAGGACGGTTTTAGCATCAGGTTCAGGGTGCCCCACATTGGCGAGCTCTTCGTCCGTCTCTAAGCGATAATAGCGCAGATCAAGGAGAGGCAATGTAGCACGCGGGATTGCGTTGAAACGCGACTCGTTGAGGAAAACGTTACGGATGATAACAACTGCAAGTGGAGACAGTATTTGCCAAGCCCTGCTTTTAGGTGCAACTTGTTTAGTTGTCTTATTCGTAAGTGGTATTAGATTTGGTTCATATCTACAAATATCGACTAAACCAAAATGTACACCCACCGCGATGTTCGTCCTCAATAGTGTCCTCATCAACCACATCCTGCACATGCTTTTCAGAGTGTGATTCTGATAACCGGTTGAATGTTTTATAGACGGGCTGCATTCTTGCCATGCGTCCCTTTAGATCTGTTGACGTAGATGCTGCAACAATATCAGTAGTAGAAAACGGTCACTTGCGGTAAAACGTGCCGTGGATATTACCAGCCTAAATGTATCAAAATAAACTTCGAACCTATGCATCATTAGGCGACTTCTGCATCGCTCGACCTATACAGCTATCTAAGTTTTAGGCTCGATCCATTATACGATAGGGTGCATGTGCGCTGAATAGGGCTAAATAGGAATAAATATTGAAAGACTATCATTTAGATGGGAACGCCGTTTCACTAAGTGTTGAGACTCAACATTCATAGTTTTTATGCTCACCAGGATGCACTTCATCAATAACGCAATCCTTGACAGCAACTACTTTAGCGCAGAGAATCCACGCGGACGTAGAGAAGAATTGGCCAGGTTCTGCGATGATTTGAACCCCACAGCCGACCGGGAAGTTTCGCGCCAGTGAATTTTCAATTACAGCCGCCGCCTATATACAAACGTATATACATATACATACATACGTTTTTTTTGTATGCATTTAATACACTTCTATAATATAACATGGTTCAGGCATATTCGATTGTGCCTTTTTAAACATCTATGGCCCGACGTTCGCATTTTCGGTTCTTTCTTCATGAAGATACCGGTGCAACTTACTTGAAGAAACTGTTTCCTTTTTCGTACACCTCCCGGAAACGACCCGCCGATATTAAGGATGCGCATGTTGAAGCCCATGTTATTAGCTTCGTCGAATACCTGCTTAGAGCGTCGGATTGACTCGTCATAGATGAGCGGTGAATCGAATCCTAAGCCCACGTGGAAGCTTTTAAAATCGGAAAGAACGAAATATACGCAAACAATATACATTTATTTTATTTAATTCCACATGTTATTTACGACAAATAGCTAGAGTGAAATTAAAAATGCCCATTTCTTCCTCGACAAATTACCTTTACTAGAAAACTTACAATTTGATACGTTGAGCACGATATGATGTCTAATAGTAGATGTCTGACGGACCGTATGCTTCCAAACATACAATAGCTAACGTTTAGTTAGACGACCTGCACGGGGCCAAATATCGGTCCTCTATATAATTGAAACGTTACTACTTACTGGGTGCCAACAACGTTCAGCTCGAGTTCCTGACATTTTCGGAGGATCTTGCTCACGAGCTCGGGCCCGGCGCCAAATTTCCGATTGAACGTGATCTTGCTCGTATGCTCGCTGCCCTGTAGACGAATTAGCACACTGCGAAAAATCACTACCTGATCCATCGGCGCGAACATTTCAACATAGTCAACAGAGCACTAGCTGAATTACTAATTTCTGTGAAATCAGAAAGTTATCGAAAAAACGTAACGAGTACAGTTCACGTAATAGTCTAGCACTACTCCGTTTCTTTAGCTCTACTATACGTTGATAGTAAACAGAAAGTAGCAATGCTGGATAATATTAACTTGAAACTGCGGTGGCTGTATGTGTGACTATCAAAGATATAAGCTTAGTAAATAGTGAAAACCACTTATCGATTACCAATGATGACGAATACACTTAAGGTCGAATAGTCGTACATCAGAATATCTGTAAATTTGCCTCATCTGTACACGTCGAACAGGGATATATTCTTAAAACACCGCTTTTTTTTTGCAATTTTTAGTCGATATTATCAAATATCGCTGACACTGAGTCTTGTTGCGGGCGGTACCAAGTGTCACGAATTCGACACCGCTGCCAGGCTCGATATGTCTGTTTTTATACATTGACCTCGCTCGATAAGAGGAAGCAGGCCGATGAAAATTATAATTATCCAATCTAATTTGTCAGATAGAAAAATACCATAATTCGGTAGTGTCTATCTAGTCTATTTTATTAGTTTCAATTTTATTATCTAAGCAACTTCCTTCAGTCAATGTTTATTGCTAACACAAGGGTCAATGTTACCGATTATCGCCAAGATCTCTGATTGACAGCGGAGACATTGCGACACTCAAGATCTAGTATAGCGAAATCGGCCTGTACACACGTTTGTCTTGATGCCGGTGTATATTATTGGAAATCAACGAAAAGGCTCACATACGCACTGGGAGTGCACTAATTCTCTGGAATGATCATCAACGATGCGTGCATTTGCTTAATTTAATTACTAGCGACATTTACGTAATCTCTGTACCCTTTGTCAGTGTAAGACTGCTCCTAATTCTGAAAACAAATATCTAGGTGCACCACTCACAGGGCTTGCTCCTTATAGGGAAAGATTTTCTCTAGTTCCTCAACAGAATCCACGGTCATAAGATTCGCTCCAACCTCACAGCCGAACGCGATATCCTTCCTGCATTTGGCGGTATTCGAAACAACAATATCCGACCCCCGAGCTCCCGGAACGTTGTCCAGAACGAAACGAATCTCACGCTGTGGATAGTACAGCACAGGATTGATCGTAAAATTGCATTACCTATAAAAAAAAACCTAACTATACCGATATTCTTAACGCTAATTGAGTTTAATAGGAATTTATAGCTTGTATTTTGCCCAATGAGTTCGCATCGCGTCACAGGGAGTAAGGCAAGTTAGTGGTGTCAGTAAATCCACGAAATTGCCTGTACTCCGTGCAGTCGTAGTGCATATCAGCAACGTGTAACTGTATAGACGAATAACATAAAGACGCAATGAGATTATACTTTCCCATCGATCCCTATTAAAACATGTTTTATTGCTATGTTATAATAACTCGTCTTTATGAAAAAAGAGAAATTTTAATCTCATAGTTCAAAAAATAACGTATTATATATTCGTTGCTGTTTCACTGTTTGAAGTCGAAGACCGTTGCGTGGACAGTGTCACTCGAGCTTCTTGCAGGCGATCTGCAGTGAACCCAGGAAGAAAGGTAGCTTACGAATATTACAGTTCATCATTGAACTTCGTCGGCAAAGTCATTCAGTGGATGCACCGAAAGCCGTTTATGTGAAAAGTCCACGAAGAAAACTCTGAACCGTGGTCAACTTAACTTAGTTGGGCGGTAATCAAGAACCACGTCGTAGTGATTCTTATTTCGTTCTGCTCTCACACTACATTAGTAACTTATTCTTGCATTGGATCGTGAGTTGCATGAACAAGTTATCTTACATGGTAATCGCAGACGGCCACATCGAAGGCTGGATGCAGTTCAACTGCCGTTCACAACCATAGGCAAATGCTCAAATACAAACCCTTACTGTTTTTACGGGAGTCTCTAGTAGAGGCGTTATCCACCACAGCCTCATGAGTCCTGGGTCACCGACCAGAGAATACGACGGACAGAGTCGGCATTGAGTAGCGGAGACTAGTGAGTGGAGCTAAGCTACTACATGATTTCAGGACAACGAGGCGGCTGTCTGGTATTGACCATAGTTTATACCAGAATAGAACAATAGCACTTTTTTTGTTTTTTCTTTTTTTAAAATCTCGATAGCTCTTGAAATTGTTCAAATTTCAATAGAAAGCTGAAGCTGCCAGTCGAGGCTTCATCGACTTTCGTACCCCAGACTGCATTGCAACGAAAGAGATAGCACTAGGTCATCTCATATAAGCTAGTGATGCTTTCGAAGAATGTTAGAAGAAATAACGATCTTGAATGACCTAGTTTTGCCTATTGATTTAGATTATATCGGGTCAATGTTATTAAATAATATTCGATGGATAGTACTTACTTGGTTCGAACAGTCAAATTTGACGCCATTTTCGAACAGAACTCTGGTAAATAGAGGATCAGGATTGGATTTGACAGCGTAGAATGGAGTGACACGGGGCAGATTTTCTTTCCACAATCGACATTTATACTCCGCATCCCGAAGGTCACACATGAAGAAAGCTTCATCGAATCGCTGTGAAATTGCCATAAGATTCAATACGATTAGATAAAGTATTATGAACGACAATGCCAGCTAGGTTTGCTCTTTTAAGTACAGGACGAAGTGAGATGTCAGGGCACCTGGTTTAGTTTCCATGCAATTTTACTATTGATTTGTCTTTGTCGTTTTTCTGACCCCCCCCAGCGATCGACCATTCCGCATCTTATACGATACACCAAAGTACGTACGTCTTATATTAAGAGTTTTATTCGTTTAAAAGATATAGCAACGGATTGTTCAATACACTATCATCGGGTGATGCCAGCTTGAAACAGCGGCCGGACGTTAGATGTCTCTTCTCACAACAGCTCTGCGATGTGGTCGAATCATTACGGGTTTTACGACTTTCCGTCAAAAAAACCGAAAAACTAGAACAATCGTTTCCCACAGGAAGTCCTTTAAAGTGGCGTTATTGAGATCAACGAAGTGCATTGCGGAGTTTCCGTCTGTATATTGGCGTATTCGAGTACAAATGCTGGTTGCGAAATTCGCACATTAAAGACAGCTATATCCGAATAGTATATTCGTCTGCTCTTTTCATACAAATATCATAATAATCATTTGTTTATATTTTGATGTACAAATATGTGTACATCTATATAGAAGTGCACTGTGTTAATTGTCGGATTTTCAGAACACCATGATTATGGAAACACGTTTTGTGTAGACAATAGAGAGGTAATGGTAGAAAGGTACACTGAACGATACTGTACTAGTAATGTTGATATGATACGACGAATTCATCGGCGAGTACTATTATTTTATAATGCCTCACGGTTTTGGTATCTTATCTTCAAAATGTTTCGACTGTTCATAACAGACGAAAAAAAAAAACTAAAAGATCACTCTATCGCTTAGCCGAACCCATGCGGCAAATGCGCAAAAAATTCTGTCTAACTAGCTAGTTGAGGGCCACCATATGGGGCCAGATTTTTCTAATGATTATCTGTAAACTCGTTTAGTTTTAACGTATATATACATCTTTTTTTTTTTTTCGAGTATCGAAGGTCACAATGAGAACGTGCCTCGTGTGGCAAACAGAAAATCTTTCTTTTGGCAGGCGAGGAGCCGACAAACCGATTTTACGCACGCTGCACATGGCATATTGTATTTTTGAACGAATCACGAAAAAAAAGTTGAATTTCATTCATAAAGGTTATAAAATTATACCTTTACTAGTTGTGCTCTCTATGATACCGTACAAACGTTACACGTTGATGACTTCTGTGCTTCCTTTAAAAGTTACCTCTTACTGCTAGCACAGGTGTAACCCAGATGTAGGATGCCTGCTGAAGCTTGAATGAATACCATCTTAGTATCTCAATAAGCTCCGAAGCTATATTAAAATCAATAAGTTTTTAAACAAACAAGTTGGGTTAAATAATTCACATACGGTAATTCTCTTATATACAGGCTAAAATTTTCTGTTATCACTGGGGCCTGGATCCGAACACTAAAATATCAATATACCCTCAAAAAAGCTGACGTCTTGCTGTCCAAAACATACGACCAGTTTATCAGTAGCCGATAATTAGTATGGTTAGAGCTTTCTGTGAATCTGAAGCTTTTAAGAACGGGCTGATACAAGCATTGGTAAATCATAGTTTTGTTCGATACGCACTCTAATGCACTGCCTTGGAGTGATCTTTTTGCCACCGTTTGCCGGTCGGACTAACTGCAAGCCTGGGCCTGTCCCATGATGTGCTAGTAGAGCTCATAACATGAGAAAAACATCGCTAGCTGAAAGTGTTGCACAGTAAAAGAACGTACACCCTGTCGTCGTATGATGTCGGAGGCTAGTTTGCGGCAGTCCGGAAGTGTCGACATTTCCCAGGGGTCAACATTGACCAGTTCTATGGCTTTACGAGTAGTAGGCATTTCGGCGTCTTACTATTGTATTCTTGCGGCTACCAATATTTCAGCTTAATCTAGAAACGTATGGACAACAAGAAATTAAACGGTGTTGCAGGAATAACATGTTGTTGCTATTATTACTGTTATTATTATCCGATAAAACCAGGTAACAAATGCGCTTCCTAAAACAACACAAATCTAGATTACATAAACTAGACATACTTGAAAAGGCCCGCTCACATGCGGGGAGATGAAGAATTTCTAAATTGCATATCGACACTGTATAATTTTTATCCTGTATCTTCCCTGAAACACCCTATCTCCAGCACTTAATCCGACAGCACAAGTCGACAGGATATACAGATTTTTATAAACGGCCTTGTTGTGTACAATACACATGCTTGAAAAACGTTCTAAACACTACCATATTCAATATGTCTAATGAAAAAAAGGTTTTATAAAAACATCTCCTACTATCCAAATCGAGCGAATATAAATCTAGAGAAACATATGTAGTTGCACTTAAATCCCTCGACATTAAAAACTACTTTGTTAAAACAATTACAATTGCGCCCTTTATATTGTATTTTTTTGAAGTTTGTGTACTACACTAAATTGAAATTTCGAACCTATTCGAAGTTAATGTTAAACATAAAAACACGAATAGTATCAATCTGTAATAAAATAACACTGGTCGATAAGTCCAAATGTATGTTTCGAGCTCTACAACCTGCACTGCTATTCAGAACACTACGTCTAATTTAGATGCTGTAATATCACCCAATCTCCTCATTGTTCTCAACAGAACTATTACATAAAAGATTTTCTGAGATTCACACTTGCTGGACACACAGAAACACACATATTGTTTACGTTGCACTACATTTAATTTGCACCAAATTCTGTTAGATATCCTTTAGATGGTAGATTTCAAAGGTTTTCGCGCTAAAAATTATGTTCCGTTGTGAAAATAGGAAGTTTCGCCTACAGACAACTAGGAAGAAGTAGACACACTTGGGGCATTCCGCAAAAACAGTAACCCTGGGACGACCGACTCATTTTACCACCGAAGATACCTCCTGGTGATCATCGTCCGTTCCCAAACAGCTAACGCAGAACAGGGGGTCAGGGTAGAATGGGGTAATAATGATACAACTGAACATATTACTCTAGTGCGCCTGGCTATTAGCACTATATCTGGTTCATTCCGTCACTAGCCATGCACGATTCCTCGTATCGATCAACATAGGACGCACCTTTAGCAGTGAGTCGTAAATTTAGACAGCTCCCCGGAGCCAAAAGGCAAGGCTTTTATGAAACCTCTACTTGGCATCGGTGCGAGCGCAATTGTGCGAGTGGGAGGGTGTAAAGGAGACGCTCGGGGAGAGTGCGGAACTCGCCGCCTATCGCTGCCGCCTCCGCCGTCCGACGAACACATATATAATCATCATCAGCATTAGCTGCAGCAGCATGATCATCAAAATCACTATCACCATCATGACTGGTTACTTTGTCGTCGTTCACCATCATCGTTCGTTCTAGTTAATTTTTTCTTGGCCTTTGTTGTTGTTGTTGTTCTGAATTATTGTGGTTCTTGTTACCCAACTGTATTGACCATGTTGCTGCTGCCTTTTCCGATCCGAATAAAGAAAAAGGATCTGGTGACTGCCTTCTTAATATCGACGAACCAATTGAAAGTCTACGTGTCCTGATAGAATCAATGTGCCGGTTCGTCGTTCTGGTTGGCCAGCGCCTGACGGTACCACCTCTTATCTTCCGGGCAGTACTAACTCCCGCTTTCCCCACGCTCCGGCTCTAATGGACCAAGGCGGCACCGACGACGAACCGTACAGCGTTCACCGATGCTACAGGCGCGATACGCTTACCAACTGGGCGGCAAGGCTTTTGGAGGAGGAAACCGATGTGCGCGACGTGAAATCGAGCAGCGTATGCGAAGGCGCAAGCAGTAGATCTTACTCTCTGTCATCCGCCTCCCGACGCGACCACCAACGCTGAGATAGGCGCTAAAATGGTGCTGATCATGACGTAGAGGTTCGCCATAGAGGAATGATCAATCGAAGCGGCTGCTTGGGTCTGATCTATGATGATATCGCAAATTGGCCGAGCCACAGGTGAAAACCGTCCGATGGAGTCTTTCAAGGCTTTGGGGTGCGATTGGCTGACAGTTTATGCGATGTTGTTCTGTGAATACCGTTCTGACAACAAAATAGATTCAATGGAGCGCCCGTGTTGACCGGCTCTATAGGAGATAAGAACCTAAGGGGCTTGGCGCTGCTAAGCTTTCGTTGTCACTTGTTTAAGGAAATCTAGCGTAATTCGACGTGTGGTACTTCTTTTAGATATGATTTAAGCCGCCGCGAATCCTGCTCTTTGCCGCAGCCGTTAACTAATATCTCCGTGAATGTGTCTAGTTGCTCATTTATCTGGAGATCAGTTAAGCACAGCTGTGCCGACAGGCAAGTCTTTATCAGCGGTTGTCAATCATTGGGAAATAGTAGATGAGACGAGCATCTGCAACGTTATGACGGCCTTAGGGTTTTTATGCAGAAATCGCTTCCGTTCCTACATATAAAGCGATACACGAAAGGACTGCCGAAAAATTTCATGTAACGCGGAAACACTCGCGTTTTTAGCTTCAGAGTAGGCCAAAAGAATGGTATGCTATTAGAGTCCGATGTAAAAGCACATCAAGCTGTATTGATTGGTGCTACCTGGATAGGCAAACTGGCTAGAAAGTTCTAAGGTAGGTTATTCCCTGCTAACGGTTATACCTTTGCAATCGGTTACTTCAAGAAGCATTATGTCGAAGATTCTGTGCCTTACCGAACATTTGAGTAAGACCTTCAAAAATATGTCCTGCACAAATTCAGCCAAAAATCGAACGTCGCCCCTTTGTTATTAAGTATTTTCACTGTCCTGGAATGCCCTACGACACCAAGCTTCGGAATCTCTTCAGGCACTTCTATGGAAGCCGTGAGATCCGCTCTCGACCTCATAGAGACGCAGTCTTCGTATGTGCTCTTCCGGCATTTTTGACCTATCAATAAGATTCTTCCTTTTACGAAAGACTCCCTTCTCCTTGTTACCAGATCTCAAACGATCTGATATCTCAAATTATTGTCACCAACCCATCGTGGGAATGCGTTCTCGTGAAAAAATTTTCTGCGCATATGTCCTTGTTTGAAAGTGTGGCCTAAAGAAAACTAAGTGATTATACGTTTCTATCTCGTACCATTACCTTCCATCATCATATTGTATTCAAATTTCATTGCATAGTTATCTTAATCGGCTTGCCTGTGACTTGGATCATTCCTACTTGTTTGTAGCAGAACAATAACAACACAGCCCGTTTAGTAGTCCCGAAATGCAGGCTAGATTAATATGAGTTAAGAATATTATTATACTTTTGTACTATAGAAGATTTCCTGCCTATTACCTAGTTGGTTGGCTAAGTTTAAAGGGGCATAACTGGCTGCTTATAATTTTTCGTTTATGAAACGCACCCTCGTCATCTACGTGGAGATTGTTTCTGTCGCCATATAGATAAACCGAAATTAAAACTAATCATCGATTAAGCGATCAGACCAACGAACAGCCAGAAGTCTAAGCCCTGTCCCTGGCAGGATGCCCTGGCGGTGCTCCCTGTTCGTCATTACAGGACAATCGAACAGGTGATGCAGCATGCATTTGGGCTTACTGAATCGCGTACTAAATTGAATTCGAGTAAGCGTAGAACGGTCGGAAGGATTTAGCGACGCCGCTGTAGCATCACGAACTACAAAACTACGATGATCCATACAAATGGGTTCTTTCTCTTTTGATAAGAACATCTTTAAAGCAGTGAACCGTGTCCAATATGCAGTTCTCGCCAGACAAAGACGGCAGCTGAAGAAGGAAATACGTTTATACTTTTTGCTAACCGATCATTTTCACGGACTAATTTTGTTGGTACCAAGATATGTGAAGGAAATTTGGCAATGGCGTGAATTGCAGTAAACTGCATTTTTTTTTTGTTACGAATACGATATTTTCACATTCGATGAGGTATTTGAGGTACAGAAAGGGTAAAACACCTTGACACTGAGGCGAAGTGTTACTGAATCGGTACTTAAAACCTCGACCTTTCACAAAGCAGGGTGAAATATCGCATGACACATAGGTATACAGTTTACGAAAATGTTGAAGATCTTTACCAATGCCATGGTAATACAATAATAATAATAACTACTGTGTTTAGGCTGCCGGAAGCGTTACATTTTCGTTTCAACATGTATTAAGAACGCATGCTAGCCTAAATCTAAATAGCGCGTCTGCCAGCGTGCCGCCTATGCAATTGAATTACTATGATTTCTTGTAAATCACTAAGACGAAACACCAATAAGGTTATCCTTATCTGTCGTATCTACGCTTATATACGTTCATTGTATTTGTGCATATATGTATCTGTTTATGGTTATAAATGGATTAAATCATTGATCGATGTGCTGGGTTCACCGTTCACTTTATTGGCGATTCAAAATAGACTAAAAGTGGATACTGGCGGAAGATTGTGGCCGGAATTTCGAATTATCTGCCGTGGAGAAGAAAGGGGTAGCCCTCAGACACTTTGGACTACCCCTGCGCCGTAAATAAGTCCTCAAAGCAGTTCTTTCGATCAAAATATTAGGGCGACAATTGTTACGAATTACGTACAATAAAATATATTGAATAAAGGCTGTTTATAATCATTGCGCCTAACTCGTAGTCAATTTCATCAACAAACTTCAATATGATTTTATAATCAGTGTGGTCAAGTGTATACTACCAGACAGTTATGTCTCCCTGATAGCTTAGAAAGTATCACATTGGCAAGATAATCTAAGGACACGTTGTGTCCTGTACTCGAAGCCTGCTATAGGCACACTTCATTTCGTACTAGATTAATTCCGTCTGATGGAATACCTAACGGCGATACCGGGCGTAAAACTTGACAAAGTAGAAATCAAATCCACTGCCTGCAAAATTATGACCGAAACCTGGCTCTCCTTGAAATCAGGGAATAGTATGAAAGTATAGAGAGCGGGCGTTAACCAGCATTGTATAGACTTGTTTATTTCATCAAGTTGTTTTGATTACTTTCGATATTTATAGAAAACCAGGTATTATGCGAGATAGATTGTCCCAGGGGGGAACTATCCCGTCTATCTGGACATACTGTTGCTTTTGCTCGATTGAGATGTCACTGACGTCTTAGAGTAATTAACGGTACAGCCACATGCTTATTATTTAACGGTACCCTTCTCTAAACGCAACGCTTTTTTTGTTTCTACCAAATCGAAACATGAAAACGTTTTTCTTTAACTTTTTGAACTCTCGTCTGAACAAACCAATCGGAATTAGATCCCGCAAGTTTATTGATACCTACACTGGAAACGTTAAATGTAGAGGCGACGTCACAGTTCCGAGCATCGACGACGTTTGGCCAAGGAATCCGAAATCATTCTACATGCTATTGTTGTTGTATTTTGAAGAACTTCTTTAGTTGTTTTATACAAGCACATTGGTACACAATATCGGTACACTTGAGAAACTAGGATCTATTTAAGCTAGTAAATACCAACTCACATGGCCGGGGTGTTGGGCAAAGGCAATTGTCTACTTTTTCCAGTTCTTACTGGTCAATGTGAACACTGAACCTCTCGGACGGCGACAGTATTTGCAGAGCTTCTGCCAAAAGATTTTGCCTCGGTACAGGATATCTTGTAGAGTCTCGGCGAGACATAAACGCTGATCACAATACATTTGGAGAATTTTAGCTGTTAAATGATCACATAAGGAGGATGTCTCAAGCTGCTGCAAAAGAATAGGTCATCATATCTGATAGTCACTTAGGTGAACCTCATTGCTAGCGTGGCTGCGATTACATAGTATTATGTGAGATCTGCACGTTAATGTCTAGTTATATCAATCCTTGGCCAACACAACGACAGAGTCCTCGCGTCGAAAGGCTGGCGAAGACAGTGGCGAGTACGGCATGAGACGCCTACCGTTACTTTTACCTCACACATAGACTGTGCTGAACAATTCATGCTGAGAAACGCAAGGTGAAGCAAACGCAGGCCTAAAGCGAACTATGACCTCGACTTTTTCCTTTCGACTCACCTCTTGCACTTACTTATAAGCAAGAGCTTACCCTTGTTCGTATACTATCCTGTTATAAATATCCTGACCATAACGGATTTCCTGTTTTGACCATGATCGGATTCGGAATCATGTTCGCCATAGAATATCGAGGCATTGGCCGCAAATGAGAATATCATTTGACAAATTGAAAGCTCAACGGCGTGAAAGGGACTAATTAAAGGTAAATAATTGTATTGTCCTTAGATGGCACTGTTGAGTCATTTTGGATTCACGTAGCTATTTACGCAACAGTTTGTTTACCTGCAACTGAATCTACTACTCGTCCCGCATAAAATCAATATTCGAAAATAGATAACGAAGGCAAACAATAACAGCATTCGCTCAGATCGCCGCAGCCGCAAACCCGCTGAATATTGTCATTTGATTATTACTTCGCGCACGCTTTTATACATACGCAGCTTCTTTTAAATACAGAAACCCGACCCATTGGTGACTGGGGTGCTGGCACACGGTGCGCAGGAACATTGACTTTCTAATCGATTTCGTCATCGTTTTTTTTTTTGCAATCCGCAAACGGTTCGAACCATGCGCGTAAACACAGCACTATTATCGTTTTGTATACTTGTTTCTCCGCTATAGCTGTTTTTATTAGTTTGCCTATTTTTTTTTTTTTTTAGCGCAGACCAACATGTTCATCTGCTATTGCGACTGGCGCACCGCAAGGTGAACCGTTCAAATCTTTCTTTCAAATCATCATTTGGTCATTTAGACGAGCTCGATAATGCTGTTTCCACGTATTTCTTTCCGTCTTTCCTTTCATGTTGACATCGTTATCTCATGCTGGCCGGCTTATCGAAAACGCAAAGGGTCCAACAGTTGGGCCACCAACAGTGATGAATAGGACGCTGGTCTTTTTCATTCCGCAAACGGTAGAGGCGATGACCAGCCCCTCCTCTATCGGGATTCCTGCACTGTTTATAAGATAGTTAGCTGGACGATTTACAGCAGGACGTCACAGGATGTAATTGCATTTAATCTGCGTTGATGATGTCATGAAACGGAGTGAGTAAGCAGATCATAACATACATAGTTGAATGGCTAAGATTTTGATAAGGGTCGCGTGGAACCGTAGAGCATTTGCTACGGCCGCTCATTCTGAATTGAGTTCCGCATCATATCATGTAATGCGAGTGTATAGATTATGTTTCTCTAGTCCTGTTTGGCTGACGTCGTTTTAACCCCTAGTTCGTTTTGAAATTGTAAATATCTGCATCGTCTACCTATTTGGAAAATCGTACTAGGTCGTTTCAAAGTCACGCCCGTGAAGACTTGGCTTCGTGCTAAGAGTCAGTTTGCGGAAGCAGCGATTAGTTGCAGTAGCAGACGTAAGACGTACCGAAAACGAAAAATGTTTCAGGATCACGCTTATTCATATAATTAAAGTGCTTGAAACAGAGCCGGCAGACATAAATAGATTAACCGTTCGTGCAGCTTAACTAAAGTTGTCGTAAATTAAGTAAAAAAAAAAAAAAAAAAAAAAAAGGTCGAAACATTTCGGTACCGGCCATGAAGACGTATGAGATTTTCTTTTATCATAGACGTTGAACAGGCGTAATTAGTTCTCCAGGCACGTCTCAACTACTCATCTACCAGTCGATTTATTGATGAACGAGTGACTGAACTAACCAGCTGCTATAATCCGACCTTGAAAGTGATCTGAATTGTCGTAAACAATGAGCCATTGCTAATGCCTTGACACCCCGGACAACAAGAAGATCAGCATAACTGATCCAAGACATATCTCATTGCATTATATAGTTATAACGTTACGAAGGGATGCTCGAAGGTCGAATACGTTGATTCCTGCTTCTGTTATTATTAAGCAGTACGTTACGTCGCGATCCTGCATGTTACGGCACCGCCGACCCTTCGAGAAAGCTGCATGTATATATAATTTATTTTTTAATTCAAATTTTTAAAAGTCTACGCTAGTTGAGTTATTGATGTCTAGTGCTGAGAACTACCGCTAGCTGAAACGGATAGTATCTATGTCTGAGATAAACAATTTGCATCCGTTTTCCACATTTTCTATTCTGATCGTCCCGGAGATAAATAACGCGAGGCACGCTGATTGTGGCTTTTATCTATTACAATAACGTATCTCGATTTACTATTAAATCTGTGATTTAAACCTCTTGCCCATCTCTTGATTACATTGTAAATCACTTAATGAAGAGGAACAACGCTTCTTTTTTACAACAATTTGTAGTACTTCGCTTTTAAAAATCCAGTTATGACAACGAACGTCGCATATAACATAAGCAGTACGTTCTGTTAGAGATAAATAATCTTTATTCGTCTGCCACCACTGAAACATAATCTAGCATCTTCTCCTATAAGCTCATATGCTAAAGCAACTTTTTCTCCTTGGATGAATGCATAAGGATGTCCTGTACATAGGAAATCATCGGTATAGATCTATGCTACCAAATGTATGCATATGTTTGTATTTATGCGGCCATCAAAATGCCTTGATCTTATCTGGTTTGTAAGCTACCCGTATTTTCGTTGGTCGACGCCATGGCAGCTCGAGGTTGTGAGACGGTCGAAGTCTTTGTATTGTCTTGCAATTTTAGCCGAACCTCTACCAGAGTGTCTGGTAAGTTTTCCTGTGACGTTTCCGGTAGTACCAACGACCAAAGATAGCCAGAGATTACAAGTACAGCGCAAACAACATTACGCCACCGTGAGTCCTGTCAGAAGCATCAGTGATCAGAGACCGACATCAATTAGGAACGGAATAATTAGTTATAAATTGTGATACACAACACTCTTTTCCTATATTTAACTAGTGTAAACAACGTAATGATTTATCTCTATCTTTGTGCTTTAACAACAACAACAGCTTGCCTGAAATTCAGTGACCATATGTGCTGTTATCATTATTCTATGTAAATGTTCGTACATTGAACTACTCCGCATGCACTTTAAACAAAGTCACATAGTTATGCTACATTTCCAACACTTTTAAGGCAGAACTGTATGTCTACCTTATTTTTCGACTATTCAGCTACCAATATAATATATAATAGGAGCGTGCAATGAAACGCTCTATATTTCCTGTTCCATGTGTGTTCACGTGAGATAACTTTCACTCGTATAGGATTATACAGTATCCTATTTGCGATGTCAGGATGTCCTCTGGGCTTCATCTTGACTTGTATGTCATACAGCAAGCGTATACAGCTTTACGGTTAACAAGTTTTCACGAGATAGAAATAGATTGGGGGTTACTACAGGACTTGTCGTACGTTTCCCTGGAAACAACACGGGCTGCAACGATTACTAGTCCTACTGACAAGCGTATTCAGCTGGAGTAATTATACCAATAGTGTATTTTTCATCTTACTCCTACTTTTCAAATAATAATTTCTTATAATAATATAAGTATTACTTATAATAAGACATTCGTCGTGAGAAAAACATACGGTGTTGCGCTGGCGATATCGCTATGTGAACCAATCAAAATAATGGAGTCCTAGCTCTCTTGGATAATAAGGACAAGCGAAAAAGACAAACGTTTGTGCGACATATAATAGTATATTTTACAATTGTCGAAAACAATTGGGTCCTTATTACTCACCAGCCGATTTATGAAAGGTGCAATGATAGCTCCGATTCGAGACATCGTGAGGGAGCTGCCAACGGCGAGAGCACGTACTTGTGTCGGAAAACACTCGGCCACGTGCACTACAAGCAACGTGAAAAGAACTTGCGATGCCCACTTACTAATCATAGCAAGCAACATCTCAATCCATGTGTAGCCTGTAGCAGTGAACAAAACCATGAGACAGATCGGAGGAAATCTTAACATGCTGTTTTATCTAACTTGAAGCAGTTTATAGTCAAATACGATCGGCGTTTCAACCTTAGGCAGCCACTCCTTGACCTTTTAGTCGGTGAGGGAAGCTGTCACAATTTTCAAGATCATCATTGGGGAAGATGTGTCACAATTGTCCAGCCAGCCATAACTAGGTTTCTAAACAGCTTCCTAATATAAGCGATAACGGTTTAGCTCCTAGGTTGAAAAGACTTAAAGCTGTGTGGTCGAACTGGGTTCATTCGAAGTGCTATGCTAAAGAATTGGGCCATTTTTTTCATGTCAATAAAACTAACGTCGGTAGCAACCAATAAATCTTCCACTCAGTACAATAATAAGCAGTGCTTTAACTTTTGGGTAATGGGTAGCACAAAAAACCGTTCTACACCTTTACGGCCATCTCATTTTAATGCCTACTTCAAACGCACATCCTGTATTTAGTCAATTAAAAGTGCTTCAACTTGAAAGAGAGATATTATTATTGTATGCGCGTATTAAGTCGACGTATTAGTATGAACTATGTACAAACAAACGATGCCAACCGCAATTTATTTCAGTGTCACAAGATCAGTCATATTACATATTGACTCTAGAGTTAGCTGAAGTCGTTCGTTGACGACCGAAGATTTCATGGAAGAGTGTCGGTTGCTGTTTCTGATTGCTAAACTTGAGCACCGTGTAATCCGAAAACGGTGGTCCATCTAATATCATAGCTCGCGTTAATTTTGACTGTTTTCTCTTCAAGTCCGTGTGAAATGACAACTTCTTCTGTGTTCAGTTATCTTTACATCCTTTACTCATGGACGATCTTCGACCCCCACGGGTAAAAGCTCTAAATACTGCAATAACACTTGTCTTGAACTCAGGATATCGCTTGGCAGTTGTCCCCAGAAGATGGCGTCTAAAACACGTGTCCCGTTCTCCTGCTTTTTCGTTCCCTCACCGTTACGGTCTCTACCTGTTACGAACCGTGAGCGATTGACAAAATGCCAGGCGTTTTCCTGCCGTACGCGGCTCAGTTTCCCACTGACGGTGTAGTCCTTCAAGATTTTATGGTGATGAAAAAACAGCGGATGAGTAGCGGGACTATTTCATGAGAGTAAAGCGATGCTACAAGGGCATTGTACCCTTAAGACACTTAGTTGCAGAGAGGCAAAATATGAGTCACGTGACGCGGATGCAAGCACTGATAGCAATGGCCAGGTGAACTACCACCGATTATAATGTAATTATTATTGTTTATATAATTATTACTAGCAAACTGAGTTTTTTTTTTCTTCCGGCCCTATACATATATGTGTATCCTATGAACTCGTTCTACTCAACATGTAACGGAACTTTCTGCACCGCATTATTCATTCAGCGTGCACGCAACATTTAGTACAAAACCACAACTAAACACAATCAACTCACAAGTGAGACCATTAATCAGAATAGACTATTTTACTTCGTCGACTGCACTACGTACGGGCACAATGATTGTAGTGGCAATTATATACAACTGAATAAGATGTGTGTGTCTGTTGCAACGTAATGGTCTGGTAAACAAACCTGGCGGAAGACATGCGAGTCCAATCGATGCTAGCAACGACGGAAGATAGAGAAACAAGTAAAGAACTCTTCGTCTAAGCTTCTTCAGAGTGATATAGCAGACTGGAATGAGCGGTAGTTCAAGGAGACCCGATACGAACAAGTTCAGATGAGGATTTGTTCCTATGTCGACGATCAAAAAAATTAGCGAATAGTACAACAGGATGGATACGGCGCTGGAAAAAGTATCAGCAACATACATACCGGAGTGTTAAATAAAAACAAACATTAAATTGATCAACTCGTAATAGTTATAGTATGTAGAATAGGTTACATTATTTTTCTTTGAATTTACGTGGACTTTTCTCTGCTTTCACGCATGCTGGTGCTCTCGAGAAGGCTGTTTTCGCAAGAGGACAGCCCATTTTGAAGTGATAACTCGTCTGCCTAAAATAGTTCGTATGTGCGCTCAAATCAAACTTCAACGGAAGCCCAATATATGCACCAAAATGATACCTGCTTATCACATATTTACAACATACTGTCATCACTTCGTTGGTCTTGAATGATCTGGTTCTGTACGGAACCCTTTCTATACGGATCAAAAACAACTTGTCTGGCACACGTTGGCCAGTCACAACGCTAATCAGTGATGGCAACTAGGGTAATCTTTCCTACCGACCTGCTGGTTGCTTCATACAACCTTTGAGTAGCGCGTTATCTGGCCTTGGTATTCATCAAGAATCCAAGACCAGGTAAAGGCGCCGATTGAAATTGTATAAACAGCAGACGATTTCTCCTTATTTTCGAGAGACCTCTCGTCGTTTGCAGCTCATCCGCGTTGCTTACATATCAGAGCAATCCACGCCTCGGGCCGAATTGGCGGCACCGACGATCCTTTGTGCCTTCTCATTGGGCAACTGTCTTTTTATGGCCGTCGGAATTACTGGAGTCGATAAAAGTCAGAGGGAGCTTGCAAGCTAGCCGGCACAATGGCTCACCCTGGGTGTTTCATCCATGGGAGAGACAAAAACTCATAGAAAGATAACATGCTACCAGACATACACAAACATATTTTCATACTTGGGTGCTCCTAGATCAAATCGAATTAGACTGGGTAGTTGCGCTTTCGTTCGAGACAAACATCTGTATGCGCTCATAAAAAATACACCGAAAAAAAAAATCTAGTAATTAAATGGGGCGACTTGACTAGCTTTGTCAAAAATGAGACTGCGATGATTATACACGAATCAGAGAACAGGGAAGAGCGCAACGGAGCGGAATAAGGGTAGATATAGAGCCACATAAAAAGTCCAATGGTATAACATACGTTAAAACCGATAAAACTGGCAACAGGTCAACACAGAATTCACTAGCATTGTGGCCTTGATTACGATGATACGACACATTCAAGTGTGTCAATTGTAAAAAAATACAAATAAGTCTGGTTTATAAGATCTCTTGAAGACTAGTCATCGAAGGCACCAGGCACATGCTCAATGACGCTCTGTTCGTTAAAACCAAGGTGATCTTTTAACTTGGTCGTGTTTTTCGTAAGTAACGGATAATTCAAGATTCGTAGTCGGAATATATATACTTGCAAAGCACTTAAATTTCATTAAATTCAAGATAAACTTTGTCAGGATGCTCGTCGGAACGAACATCCGTCCGTTTTTCGGCTTTTCTGATCAGCAAGAGAAAATTAAAACAAGCGGACAACAGTGTATTGTTTACTTCAATCAGCTGGCTATTATGCAATGCTGTCATGCGCAACAATCTTTAATAAAATCTTCAATTTTTTTTTCCAAACCCGCAGTCGACGTTATTGCCAGCCTTTATGTGGCTTCAAAAATTCGAAGAACACTTCAGTGAAATAGATGTGAGGAATTTCAATTGAGGTTAGATTGAAGGGGATCGAGAATTCATTAAGATATTTGAGAAAAACCATTTTGATACGCTTGCTTTTTCCGTATGCGAGAAATCAGAGTATCAATTGCCGATCTGCTTAAAACTTTGCAGGTTTTGAACTTTCTGACCGATTTGAGACCTTGCATTTTTTCAAAGTTTGGCCTGCTATCGGCCCACAATTAAATTCCGCTGAATTTTTTTTTACGCTGCGTATTTCGACAACACGACGATGATAGCTGGATGAGTAAACAATTGTTTCAGCACCCATTCACAAAATATAATCATAAATAAATTGGATTGATCGCGGAAGCGGATCTACGATTCGAAACGAAGTCCTTTGAAAAAATTGGGCGATATGCTGTGTTCATACGGGTGCTTGAACTGTCTGTAGACTACTAAATAACAATAGCGGGTTTGTTGAAAACACTTTTAGAAAATGACCATTCCACTAAAGCCGCTGCTTGCTTTGAACGTACTCGCAAAAAACATAGCAAACTGTTTCAACCATTAGCTCGACTTGTTCTCCTAACAACAATGGGGTTTCCTAGAATTAAAAATAAAAAGACTTACAATTGCACGTAAAATGAGCAGGCCATCTTACCAAGGCTCCATTCACGGAACAAATCGACGACACTGGCTTTACTAGTAACAGTTTCCTGAAATAGAATTATTAAGGCCCACGTGTTAGATTTTTAGTTTCGCAATATTTTGACAGAAGTTACAGCGCGTTATTTTATATGGTGTTCTATACGCACCAAAAATGCCTCAGCGCTAGATGATCTATATGTAGCACATATCATTGTGCTGTCAACGGAGCTAGAACTCTCGATGTAAACCTAATCGTGTATCTTCAGAGGCTCGCATCTTGAGAATCATTTATGGACGCTACCGATATTTTTTCAGGAAAACCCATTAGTCAAAAAGCATAAACTTAAAAGGTGTGTCCGAATTCGAGACCGCCTACAAGATACATTCAAAGGATTTCATAGTCTCTTTATTTTCCTTATAACTTCTAAATTAATTTAAGCGATTTAATCACACACGGCAGAGTGTTTACAGATTGGAGCTGCTTTCAGTTGCCCATATGATCGTAGGAAAACAAAGCACACGATCGGTTAAGTAATACGGATGATAAAAGAAGTTACATTACAATATTGTGTCGAATAAAGGTAAGTTTAAACTTGTTTGTATCGGTCTACTAATAATTTGCGAATGATGCTCTCAATTATTCAAATAGCTTTCACAGTGAACAGCTCGCGGGTCTTTTTTATGACAAAAAAAAAGTTCGGTCATAGTATAAATCTAATTATAGACCGAACTTTTAATTGCGATGGAGAACTTTATTAATTGCATGATTGGCTGTAATTTACTGTGACTGCTATTGAGTACAGTACAGCGATCAACTCGAAATGGATGTACCGAAAGTAAAGATTAGTTACCACAAACAAAATCTAATTGATATCGAAAGTGGAAGTTCGGCACCATTTACGTTCAGGCAAACCGCCGTAGATACTCTTTCGTTTATGTTGATTTCAATACTACCTGAACGTACGTACCGCACTAACCGCACGAAACCTAAAAAAGTAAGCAGCTCAAGCGGGAAAGTCGTACGCGCTACATAGATAAAGGAACATGAAATACTAACTGCTTTGCCAGCGTTTTTACCTATTCAGCGGTGGATTGCGTCTTGCTTCTTCACAGATAACCAGTTGACAACACTGGATTTAGCCGGCTTTTGGAAAGATCAATATATTCATTGCACAGACATACATGCAGAATATATCATACCCCCGTATCTGTCAATGAAACTTAACTATTTAATTAAAGTTTGTAATTTTTCCAGTCAAAAAAATACTAACTGTAACATAATGTGGTCTTATCTAAAACTGTCAGACATTTTCGATATAGAAGGTTCTCAACGAAAGTTGTTTTAACTAGATCTTGTGTGTTTTTTTGACCGACCCTCCTGCCCTATTGTACCTTGGAGCTTGCGTTGTACGCGACTGCGAGAGCTATGAAAAGCGCCTACTCAGCGTAACCTCGATAGCGTAAGTTGGTAAAACTTAGTAAAACTGTATTTGAACGTACTTATTACGATTGCAACATACATATTATATAATTTCTGTGGTAGATATTTGGTATTATCTATGCTGAACGAATTAGATTGGTGGGACAAGGTTTAGATCTACGTATTTAACTTATGAATGTCCTAATTGCATATTTATTTATACGTAAATAAGTTAAGAGCAAGGCTGATACGCACGTTGTTACGTATTATATAGATGGCAAGCATATACCAATGGGAACGGCTAATGGCTACATAGACATAATCTTTTAATGGACCGCCAACTGTGCGTAACACTGTCAGAATATCTCCCGATCCGATGGACCTACATCGGATAGTTTATCTTATTTATCAGTTATCTTATTTAAACCTTTCATTTAAGATCAGAAAAGGGATTAGGCGTACTGGCAGAACTAATATCTGTCGCTCAGATAAGCACGCTCGATACTACACGTATATCTCAGGGTGATATACGTCCGTATATGCAGAACCACTAGCGTAATCTTTGCTAGCTATAATTAGAGCTCAATAGAACAGTTCCATTTTACACGCAAGACTTCCTGTGAGTCTCTATACCATCGGCACGTTTTTCCATGTCATAGAATTAAAAAAAAAGTGAGCAACAATTCTAGTTCTAAGCTGCTAGCAGCTAGTTATCTTTATGACTAGTTATACGACTATCCCAAAATGAGCATCCTGAGAGGTATTTTACGCAGGTTTGTCTCCCAAAAAAAAAAAGATTACTGAGGTTTTACAGAGGACATCGTATCATCAAGCGCTATTCGCATCTCCCACTTTTGGCATAATAATAATAATAATACTATCTAACAAGAGAGGCTCGTTTTTTTATATCTTCTTACGAGCTGAATGCCATTAACATGTCGGAGTTTGACGGTCAAACTCAATTATTGAGTCGCTTATCGAGAAAGGGTATTGTCTTGAAACAGAAATGTATGATTAAATCTGTTATTCGCCAATTGATCGCTCTTTTATCCAGAATTATTCTGATTTTTTCAGTAGTACCATATAGGGACTACGGTTTTATATCAACGCTCTCTTACCTTGCCGCTTCTTCCGCGTAAAATTTTTTCGACCTTGTTCACGTAGTCCTTGATCTCATTCATTTGCCCAATTTTCAAAAGGAGTTTTCGAGCTCGTTCAATATGGCCATTAGCGACTAACCAACGCGGGGATTCATCACACCATCTAAAATAACGGATCATTTTTTTTTTTTTTTTTTACTATTATAAATAGATCTGATTGCCAGTGCAAAAAAGACGATTTTTTTTACTCTCTAGAAATCATAGTTTTCTATAGTCTTCCATTGTGACTCAAACTTAAGTTTCACGTTTACTGGCTCCCTTGACTTACATGCAAAGGGCTAAGATAATTAACACCGGTCCAACAAGGGATATTTGCAGATATCGCCAGTCAGTTAGCATGTAGGTGAAGAGCGGAAAGATTGATATCCCGATGATCCAGCCGAATTCTTCGCATGTTGTAACAAAGGCGCGTTGAGAAGGCCCTACGGATTCCATGGCTAATCCGCAAAGATAAGCATGTTTAATATTACTATGGGTTGAACTAGGAAGTACGATTTCAACTGGAATACGCAATGATTGAACTTGTTCCCATCTATTTTGAGCTGTTCTTTTCCTTGCTGCTGCTGCTGCCGCCGCTGCTTAAGGTTTCTTTAAAAGTTTTCTAGAAATTTCAAACTAACCTAAACAGCCGCGTCATCGACGCGTGTGTTACACGTCAGCGTATTGCGCAATAGCCTACTCTTAATATACTAGATCCCCATAAAGCTGGCATAGATCCGTTTGCTTTGACTATGTGTTTTCGTTGGGGAGATTATAGCATTAATGTTGTATTTTGACAAATCGTCTCACTGGCAAAACTCGCAGTGAACGAGGCCCGGTTTTTTGCGCATCGGCGTAATAACGTACTTAAACTTTTTTTTCTTTTCTTTTTTTTTTTTTTTTTTTCGAAGTGCTTTTCGTAAACTTTTTTTTTGTCTGTATTTAATTTTGCTACCTCACTAGAGAATCAAATGCACAGCAGGATGTACTACCCGGGTTTTCGGAAGAATTAATGATCTTTCTAGTTTCCTGTTTAAATGATAATGGTGCTCTCTTAGAATAGATCCTGTCGGTAAATAAACCTTTCTGACCCACGGAGATACCAGGCGTCCTAATGAAAGCTGTATATTTCTACGGGCTCGTTGAGGTTTTTACAGAAACATGTGAAGAACGAACGTTTTTTTTTCTAGTTATATGAAACATTAGTGTAAAAGACTGAAACTGTTTATTGACGAAGCCAAAAGCATAGTATTAACTGGTGTGTATATCTTTTCCCCTATGAATCTCATTACAGTGGAAGGCTTCGCTCCGACCGTAAGATGCCCGCTATGAGATGTTCTTTAAGAAGCCCAAATGCAACGTACTCATTGCGAACGGTATATTCTGCATGCCTCCGTAGCCACACGCTGCCAAAAAGGTGAGAGCCAGGATCCAGTTGAAGTTGGGTGATGCGATAAGCGCGAGGTTAAATGCAACTTGAAAGAAAACACAGACGAATATGAGCAGGCGTCGTCCGAACCAATCCGAGAGATGCGAAAACACGAAGTTGCCCACCATCAAGCCAGCCATTAGAACACTGCGGTGTACTGAATTCATAAGGTCATCGTCGCATACGGTATGGTACTAAGCGACAAAAGAAAAATGGCAAGCAATGTAATTTTATTGCACGCTAATTTCAAATAGAAATGTAACACTATTGGTTTAAGCATTTCAATAATATAAAACGAGAAATATTGCCACATTGCTAGATTGCCAGTTACTATCATAGAAATATCGCATCGCTTCGACAAGCATAGCGATGTCATACATACTATGGAAGTCTGTTTTGTCCTATAATTTATATACATATATATATATATATATATATATATATATATATATATATATGACTACTGTTGATATAATGTTCTTGAATATGTCTTCTTGATCTATAGTATATATGAATTTCCCACCTCCCTTGAGCAAATCGAATTCATTGAAGATGCTACGATTTCCTCAAGCAGCGCATTACTTCAAAACTCACGTATATATATATATATATATATATATATATATATATATATATATGCAATCGTAAAACACAAGGTGTGTGTGTGCGATTGTGCATATTCTTTAGTATGCTGGTATGAAACGGCTCCTGATAAAGCCTACGTATAGACGATAAGCGTGGCAAAATGCAATTTTTTCGCTTTTAGAGTAGCAGCCAACTTGTTCGACGCTAGGCTCAAGTTAACCTACTGTAGATAATTCAGGCTAGAGGCTTTTATTTATGTTTTTCAGCCAGTGCTAATGGAACGCCCAACTACAGCATTTTATAAAGTCTGATACAGATCAATGTAGTCCTATTGAAAATTCTGATACCAACTGAAACTGAACAGGAATTCGACATAGCTAATTGTCGTAGTAACATAAAAACAACGCAATTAACAAAGTTCCTGTACGATTACAAACCCAAGTCTCATAAATCTGAAAGAAGAAAATGGATATTTACAAACTGCAAACCAGCTGTGCGTCCCGACGCACCAATATCAAAAAAAACCTCAAAACTTGCCGATATTTTAGCTACCTGCTCCACCAATGACCAGCTGTTATCACGCTGCCTTTGTTGGCCTTCGTTCATGATGTCTTACAATACGTGCTGTTCCACAGTGTTGAACAGCACGCATTGTAAGACCTTTGCGCGAACTGCTTTTCTTCCAAACCCAGCTAAACAATCAAGCGGAAATGTTTCTCGTAAATCCACTACTACTGATAACAGCAACTGTTACGAAGGTCAAAACAAATGGATAAGAAATACAAGACACTAACATAGGCACATGAGGCCCATCGCCAAGCCTACTATCGTATACCTCACGTGTAATCGATGGGCCTCATTGTGAGGTTTCCGTGTTAAGATGAAGCTTCTCTATGGCACGACTCAAATTTTTAGTTACCTAGAGTGTGAATGGATATATATTATACGTAGCCGTGACCACTTTTTGTGCAAAACTTGTAGCAAAGAGATGAGGATCAAGCTTAGAGGATCACTGAGAGCGTTACCTAAAGACCGATCCAATCAAAAAGGCTACCTTGATACACTACAGATAAATAACTGGAGCCAAGGTTGAAAAGACGGAAACGATATGTCGAGAATGCCAAGCTTCGACTCCCTGCAACTCTAGAATTTTTCTACGATCGCAAATTTATCTTAGTTGGCAAGACTTTGGCAGCTTGTATGCATCTGAAGATTAAAGACTGTTGAACAATTTGAATAGCGACATTAAATGTATCTTTGGAAGATCCTGGTCGATCGATGTAAACAGTATGTGTTCATGGGGTCAAGAATCGTCAGTGATTTTCCTCTGGAACTACCATTACCAAAGACAGTCTATCTAGATGATTTATAAATAATATATAGTTTATCTGAATATGAATAAACTTATTTCGACGCAGCTTTATGACTTTTGCATGGGCAGCCATTAATCTGCAATGCAGCAGCGAAAAACTTGCCAATCCGCATAATGTCCGTTTGCCGACCCATCATTATGTACATTGATAAGAAACATCATTTTCTCAGTCAATAACTTCATTATGCCGATTGAAAGTCTCCCGCCCTGCTGGCAGCGTTCGTTTTCTATAGAAATAGACAGCAGTAATTCAGAACTTATTATGTATAGATAAACATTGCTCACGTCCATCTGTAGGGTTCTTTTGAATTCGTGGGTATCGAATTGCCAATCCGTGCATTTCTCCACTACACCCGTTACGTTCAAGTAACATCGATTGTCCAGGCCACTTTCTATTGCCGCCGCTTCACTGTATGACAGATTTGAGCTATTCATCATGAAACAGGTATAATTTTGTTTTGTAGGGGCCATAAATGACGGAGCCATCACGAACCACGCATGCGGTACAGCAGCGTACGCGTTCAGTGCCAGAACAGCCCAATGCCATCGGCCGCGTTTCTCCAAAAAGTCATCCATGTTCACCTATTTCACTCCGAACTGTCTCGTTTTTTTGTAGTCAAAATAACTAGTGAATTTGTTGAACTATGCCGGTTTCGATTTGTCAGCCGTAGTATTCGATAGTACATTTACTCAAACAACGTCTCCTGGTCTAATTTTGTCAAAATTAATTCGTTCAAAATTTCCGCATCGGAAACGTATGTCGCTCTTTTGGCTAGTGGCAGTCTTAGGCATGTAGCACTATTTCTACCTGTAGTGCGAAAACACGTGTTGAATGATGGAAGATTTCGGAAGAATGAATAGTCGACACGATACCTCTCTGACGCAATTTTTAGCGTTAATCATCTCTGATTGGCAACGCACGAGGCACGCATCGAGGACCGATAAAAAGCACCGCTCGATCAATTTATGAGTTCAGCTTGCGTTATTGCAGCGAGTCTCTTGCGGTTTTCATGGGGGGTAACTGCGATTTCTTGCACCATAACACTATCCGCTGGTGTATAGTTGATAGCTGTTCGTTCCAGAACGGTTCAATAAAGCTGACACACGACATATTGCCTTTGGCAGTGTTACACCCAAAACAACTGCAGACAAGCCACACTAAAACTCTGAGGCTCAGTGAGCGCTAGTGAATGGACTGTAGTATGACTAATAGTCTCTATTGCACTATATACCCAGTTGTCTAAAGTTAGCTTACAATTCGAGAGAAAGGCGAACGTTATGGACCAGCGAGGTTGTCACAACTTGGCCAAACACTGGCCCTTCTTAGCTCTCAGCATTGTTCGTATTTCGTCGTTCAGAGCTGACGTCCAGGCAGAGCAAGACCGCTCTCTGACGAGATCGCCGCAAGCCGTTATACATTTGCCGCTGGTTCACCGCTTGCCACCGTGAAAGTTTCTTTCGGACAGAGTCGAGCGTTGCAGCAGCAGCAGCAGCAGCAGCAACGAGGACGGCGACGACCCACGACACCAGCTGTAATTACTCGCAGTGGGTTCATGGTCCTGATTACGAGAGTGGAAAGCTTTTGCGCGTGAGAGGTCACAAAATCTACCACTTGACAAAATGAGAGCACGAGTTCACAACGTCCACTGCTACAACCATTAATGAAAACACGATGGACACATAACAATACGCACTTTTTAAAAAAAAAAACAAAATTACTATGACCCTTGCCTTTGCGTGACATCACCTTACATATCGAAAACCTAAATCAAGCCTATTTATTATGCAATCGAACGAACCGGAACAACAACAGCAGCAGCAGCAGCAGCAGCTCAGGTGTTCACTGTTACAATGAGAACAACAGCGCCGACGTGCCCAGTGCTTGTAACCCGCCGGCCGATGAAAGGTAATGCGCCTAGGCAAGGCCAACGTCACCGTCATGGGTAGAGAAACGTAATTCGAAAAAGAACGTTACATTGAAAAGATTTACTGCAGCTTGTTTCTATGGATTGTAGTTATCAGCGAAGAATCGCATCGTATTACGCAACGCGCACCCAACAATGTTCACAGAGGCGTTCGCTCTAATGGAAGGACAGAGTATGGGCTCACACACACAAGATGCAAATGACTATATCGAAACGGCGGGCTGAAAAACTAGAAGAAAGAGAAAAATCGTCGGAATCAGGAAGAATCATCGAAAATCTGCATGCTACTGTTGATCATTTGCTTGGCCAAGTTGATGTCTAAACAGAGAGAGCTTGTAGGTGCTTCAAGTTTTCTTTTGTATGTCCTACAATTTTGTTTTCACGTTGGTATCTTAAAGGAATATAGTTTACGCTGATATGCTCCCGGGCAGCAAGTGCTCGAAGCGGTCATGTTTGTACAATAAGATATATCTCATAAATATTACTGGCACTATAGGATATATATATTTAATTTCCGTTGAGTGGCATCGCTTAAGCATGGCCACGTAAACGAATGAAGTGGCATTACTTAAGTGGTAATAAATATTCTCTGCCAAATGGGTGAAAAGAAAGACAAGCTATGCTATTGTCTTTCTTCGAAAAGCATGTGTTCCGGCTAAGCGTTGACTGAGTCCTACGTGCATGCAGGATGCCTCCTTGGAGCACTAAGTTGACCTTAGTACCGACCTCTATTTCAGAAGATAATATGTGTGTAATGTAATTACATAAATTGTATATAATATAATCGAAAAATGTTAATAGCCATAAACTTCTGCCTTTCATGAACCCCAATGACACTTGTTGGAAAATATGCAAATATATAGAATTAATTATAGATAAAAACGCGTAGATTGGTACTAACATCTGTCATGCTAGAATTCTGTTGAGAGAAAGATTAATGTATTGATTTATGTTTGATTCAGAAACATTTAGATTATTTGCTCTGGCTTAATCAACTTATTTGCTGGAGTTTCTCCCGAACTGTGAGACAAACACAAATACAGAGCGGGTTGTCAGTAATATCGTCTCGATGATATACCTCGCTACTTGTTAGGAACTACTCTGTGGTTATACCAATCAGCTAATGGCCACTTCTCAAAAGTGACTATTGGCGCCATAGGTGTAAACCTGTGACCTCTCAGGCGTAAACCTACGCTGTAGGTTTTTACGATATTCAACTTTTTGTTGGAAAAAAAGCTGAACGGGAATGAGGGGGATGAACCCTTAAAAAATATATTCGAAATAATCCGTCCGGCAAAGTAAACTATAGACCCATCAACTATAAATAAACTTCTAGTGAATTAGCTGGAAAATATTAATTTGCCAATTACCTGGCACCTTTTCCATGCTTGGAAGATCGCATTGCTTAGGATGTATTTAACGCCGTGTTGAAATAGAATTGAGATAGGAGATAGTAGGATTCTAAACAGGGTTCGTAGATGGTTCTTGAATGATATTTAGCTGAATATTAAATGCATAACATTGCTAATATTTTTTATTGGGATGTTTGCGCAGTTAAGTGATATAAGATAGTTAAGGCCTAAATAGTTTAAGGCGTAAAGCATTTTTAATGAGTGATAACGATCCTCTTTTCCGTGTGGAGAAACAAACGGGAAAAGCTTGTGCTATTACCAATCGTAAGCAATATCTGATATATGTATATCTACGAGCACCGATTCCCGATACATTCATAAATAGTGGCCAACGATATTTATTTCCTTAGCACACGTACGTCCTTATTATTCCTGTATTTCATTATAGGATCTATTTTAGAAATGAACAAGGTGAACTTACAGTTAATCCATTTAGTGCACTGCCTAGTGTAGCGCTTCAGAAGAAATGTGGAAACCGGCGTATCGATCGACAGATTCGATCAGGACATACGTAGCTAAATTTCATCAGATCTAACCCACATCGAACTGATATTATTTTATTGATTCGGATCAATTAGCTTGTCTTAAATTAGCTTGATTTAGTTACAACGAAATTGTTACTTACTTTGACACAGAAAAGTTAGCACTAGTGAAACTGCGTTGTTGTAATGGCTTATTTAACAGTGATTTAACTTCTAAGTTAGCCCTTAAACCCGTTACCATTGACCGTTCGCATACTAGATTTCCTTTAGAGGAACGCTCTTGGAATTGATTCAGTTAACGTCAGGTATCTTCAGCTGTAATACACATCACAGATTTACATTAACATGTTGAACAATCTGATACCAGCTACACAAGGATAGCTTTTCAGACAAAAGCAAAGTGATCGATCTGTAGAATTCTGATCTAGAATTTACGTTATTTTTCCCTTCGCTTAGTCGCTAAAAGACGTTTTTTTTCTTCTTGTTTTTGTACCATATCAATAGAACAGTAGACGATTGTCGAAGTAAAATTATTTTGTAAATAATAAACTGAGCATTTCGCAAGCTAGTACATGAGTTTTTGTTCATAGGGTAATCGCTTATAAGGCATTGTGTTTATACCGCCAAAAAGCACTAAATATGCTCGGGGCACCAGGCTACAGTTTCGATCTGGAAGGAACGTGAGCACAGCAGTGTAGTTCAATAAAAATATATAACGATTTGTTTAACACATAATGAACTGTCTTAGTCAATCCTATCGACTACTTGACTTGATTAACTAATTTTAGGTAATTCCAAAACGACAAGGCCGACACGGCGTCAGCAGACCCGTTCTCCTTTCCGTAAAATCAATTGCAGACGTTATCTAATAGACGTTTTATAGACATCTAACTTCGTTTCGAGCGACCCCCTTCATTGTGTGGCAAATTACGTTCCCCGTTTTAGTTGGCACTAGACGCAGCGGCCCACGAGCCCATAGTTACACTACATTCTGAAAATCGTACCGCGTTGCAGCTAACTTCATCGCCATTGAAGACACTTGAATATCAGAATGAATTTGTTTAAAGGTAGGGCCCAAATTATCCTTTGACATTTTGAAGGTCTGCAATATACATCTGTTCAAGTTTCAGAAAGATGAAATGTAAAAGCAATTATCTGAAAAAGACTATTGCGTTTATTTTTCAAACGGGGTTTGCATGAGCTGCCGAAAGGGACGCCCTCATCCCCACACCGATCAAATAGGCCGAATTCTTATGTAAGTTATTCACAAACCAATTCTATAGTTCAAAAGAATGACAGCAAATCACTAGTGCACCACTTCCGAGAAGATGAGTAATGAGTACACATAGCGTTACTGTCTGCCTATTGGTCCTTTCACTGGGATCAGACCGATTAGTCTATGACTGACTAAATTAAATAGGTAATCAACGACCCCGTAGTGAGACCTATTTATCTCTTGAATACAGGACTATCCTAAATATGGTTGTCCTACGAGAGACACTGTGTGGCGGCAGCAAATTAATTTCGAACGCCGGCCCATCATCAGCGCCACCGAAGTAGCCTTCCCCGTGTTCTAGCAAGACTGACCGGAATAGCTTTATCAAATCTGATGAAGATATCGTCACGCTTACAAAATGCCACTACGAAAATTGTTAGAGCTACTTCTCTTCTGTTATGACTCACCCCTATCATTACTAAATGAAACAGTATCAAATAGACCTCGCGCAATTAGCAATTTTTTCAGACAGAAAATAACTCTGGCTAAATAGCTATGCGGCTAAGGTTATGCCATGTTAACTTACCGGCTGCTTGAAGGTGCGTTCATATTTGCGCGTTTCAAAGTTTCAGCCGAAGTCACTTTTAGCATCAGGCACAACAGTCAGCTACAAGATATTTGGAAAGCTATCGGATGTAGGAAAAAGCGTGTTTCGTTGGGAACATATAATTATAAGGTGTAAAACTTCCTGTCTTTTCTCGGCACCTGTTCAACAATTTTCTAATTATCCAAAATATCTGTATGCCACTGTGTTAGGTGCAGAACAGCGCAAAGTATTGGGACTATAGAGTATCTTAACCTACTGTGTCGAGCAGGTTCCATATGCAACGGGCACTAACAACCTAAAACAACAATGCCTTAAAAATGGATTTCCATATAAGTAAGGCCAAAAGAGAATTCGCAAACTTCAGAAAGAAACGAACTTTTATAAAAAAAAAAAGGTGATATATTTTGCTTGGATTGTGTTGAAAGGAGTGAAGAACCTAAATGGAACTAACCGTCACGTTATAACAGGATTTGCTTTTTTTTTTTATTTAGCGGCAAAAATGGCATAACTGACTGCACAGTTTCTCAACGCTCGATCCAATATGTGTAACTAAATTCGGTCGTTAAGCCAACTGCTAAATTAAATATTTTAGGGCTACATATTAAAAAAATTATATGTATTTTGCTTGTATATAGCCAACACTGCGAAAGGTAGACTGATGGTAATTGTAGTTTAATGTTTGAAATAAGACGATGCACGGAATTACTTAAATTAAAAACTCAACTTGAAAAGAAGTGCCGCTGAATCAGTGTGTTAGATGTTCTGAAAACTGTTTTCATTTATAAAACTATGTAGTAAGTTATACTGGGTAGAGGAATCACGTTTTTGGAAATACCTAAAAACATGCTGTACACAGAGAAGCGGCTTCGACCTCTTTCACAGGCTATATGTATAATTAACACCGATTATTATTATTAGGATCTAATGTTTCACAGGGAATTGACTAGGCGTTTGTTGGGAGCAAAACTCAAAAAATATGGCCGCCAATCACAAACAGAGTAGATTCTGCATAGTGAGCTGAGGATTTTGTAAGGCTTGGTTTGAACCCTTAGTATAATCACCTCAAGCAAACTTGTTCTTTCAATATATCTCGCAAATTTACTATTTTCATAGAATTACTGCCTATTCATTTATTTTATCCCGTCGTGTAAGGATATATATGAAACAGCTGTTAATATTTGGATATTCACATTTTTTTACGGATCTCGCTCAGCTCATATTCCAATAATATTGAATTTATTAGATCGGAAACATTTCTCGCACCGTACCGAAATCTAATACCACATTTTGTGTATTATTATGATAATATACCATTTAGTTGCTCTTTATCGACGCGACAGGGCTGAATTTGTTGTCGCCTAAAAACGTATACGCGAGGTAGCATTAACTGCAGCACCAGCTGTATAGCACAATGGCCTTGGATCCGCGCCAACTCATTGGTCTTGTCGACGGTCTTGACGGAAGCTCTCCCAAGATCGCGCCACCAAGATTGGCTTTCTTTCAACGTCACTAGTGCTGAACGCCTGATGCCCGTGTGTCAGTTTGCCCCTATTGTACACAGCCAACTCTACGCGACCCGGTACGATAGAATAGTGAGCCATAGAAAATTGCTCGACAAAGTACAACGCCAGTGCAAGCATATGAACGATGTTATTTTCTGATACGCCGTACAAGACTGGTGATCCATAAAGGCGAAAAGTACGAAGTATGAACATGTCGTTCACCAGATCACTCGTACCAGATCACTCGTATAATACTCAAAGTCATCGCTCAGCTGGGGTAGCAAAAGCAAAAAATACATTGACAGGGTGATAACAAAAAAAAAGGGTTTCTAACAACAAGACACTAGTAGCAGTTGATAGCACAACTGACATTGTTTGTATTTAGTCGGTATTTTGGCATATTCAGCGAATAGCTCGTGTTTGAAGGGTATGGTTAACGGTAAAAGTACGACACTACCAATTCGCCGATCTTCCCCAAAAACTCCTGCAAATCGGAGAGTTGTTCACTGCTCTTCTTACTGTTTTACCATGGTATTATTTTTATCTTATATTTTTACTAGGCATCTTCGGCGCCATTTGTGGTCCAGGTTTTGAAAGAGACATCTGCGGTCCAGGTTTTGCCGGGAGTACTTGTGGCCCAGGTTTTGCTGGGAGTATCTGTGGTCCAGGTTTTGCTGGGAGTATCTGTGGTCCAGGTTTTGCTGGGAGCATCTGAGTACTTGCCATCAACGGCCCTGGCGCTCCAGGCTGTCGAAGCGTCGATCCAGGTGCAACCGGAGGTCGAGTGAGCACCGATCCCTGTTGCGGTCTGACACCGTCCAGTAGCACTGGAGCAGGCTGTCTAGGTTCCCCCGTAAATTGGTCCTCACTCTGAAAAACTTGCTGACCATCGTGCATCATCATTTGTTGTCGCATCAGATTCGCGCTTTGTGGTTGAGTACTGATCGACATGGCCATTGCCTGTGGTCCACCGAAACCTGGCTGTTGACTACCCATCGTGGACAAAACGACGGGATGCTGGAAGCCCCTCTGACCACCCAGGTATGACAGAATTACGAGAGGTTGATTAGCCATGAAAGACAAGATCACAGGCTGTCCGCCGACTTGCTGACCTCCCATTGTTGAGGCGACCATAGGCTGCTGTTGGAGGTATTGCTGTTGGAGGTATTGCTGTTGGAGGTATTGCTGTTGGGGGTATTGCTGTTGGGGGTATTGCTGTTGGGGGTATTGCTGTTGGGGGTATTGCTGTTGGGGGTATTGCTGTTGGGGGTATTGCTGGTGTCCGCTCACAATCGACACGACGACGGGATGCCCAGACGGCTCAATATGCATCCCGTGGCCACCCATCATGGGCGCGTATGCCATTGTTGCTCACACCAGCCGCAGCGATTGATCGCTCTATTTTGCTAGCCAATCGATGGCCACTTCTCAATACTCAATTAACGAGCAATAGGCGATTCTGTCAGCATTGTAGATTTATATATGCATTCGGATACGTTCCTGTATACTGAAACGTGCGTCGTTGGCTAGCGGAGGTCGATGAAATGCCTGATTATAATGTTAGTAATGACGATGCCACCATGCTTCGCGTTGGCATTTTACTTCCGTCAAACGATTGTTAACAAATGGTTAGCGTTTTGACTAGACATTGTAGCAATCGCTAATAAGGTGACTGAATGTGATTATGTTTCTCGAAGAAAAAAAATTTTATATTAGTTCATGAGCAGACAATGTGACAGAGCCTGCTTGAAGAGCGTCTAAATTGTCCGAATCGTACCGTTACTGGTTTAGTTCACATTCGAAAATTATTAATTGTAAATTAGAACATTTTAATGGAGTTGGCGTTGACCACAACGAAAATCCGCCACATGAAGCCGACGGAGCGTCGAGGTTGATAGCATACTGATATACAACCATTTATTGCTCTACAAGGCAAATGAGTCGCAGAAACAGCTATAGGATATACATATTCCATCTTTCTCCGCTTTCAATTGGAACTTGTTAAGAATCCAGTCGTTGAGCAACAATAACAATGTCGTAATATTTTTGTTAGACTGCTATTTTTCTATCCTATATAGTAAACTCAATATTGTGAACACATATCCTGTTCAAATTCTATCCAAATGATCATTACAAGCTAAAATGTGTGTTTGCAGGATGTCAGTGATACAGTTTGCGGTCTACCAGGAAGTAGCCGTTCAATAAGACCTCAGCAGTTTGGCAATTCTCCACGAAGCTATAGATTGCTCGTATAATGGTAGTAAATCGCGCATACAGTTTCTCCAAAGACATGCCGTTGGTGGTACTAAATCGTGAGTGCCTTAATTTTCACAAAATAATTTAAAAAGCTAAACAAGTGATTCAGCATTGTTTGACTTTTTGTTTAGTTGTGAACGAAAGATGAAAACACACATACCTATTTTTTCTAAACATAAGCATATACATAGGCTTATGTAGTGCTTCCCATACTAATTGAACTTTAAAGAAACTTAACGAGTATTATCATGGTACTACCATAAAATAATGAATAGAACTAGAAAAGAACGTAATTGAACTTTAAAGAAACTTAACGAGTATTATCATGGTACTACCATAAACTAATGAATAGAACTAGAATAGAACGAAAAGTTCTACAAAAATGTTTTGCTTTTTGACTACCTAATATCTCTCGTAACATCAAATTTTATTCTTTATTCCGCACGTCTACGAGAACGCAAAAACGCGTATTCCGACACGTACACCCGCAGCGACGGATAAATACCCCAAGTTTATGACCGGCCCTATCACAAAATTGATACAACACATGTCTCTTCGGTCTTTAAAAGTTCATAGTTCACCACCAATCCCGGCTGGCGATATAGGCTTTGCTGCCATTGCAAGACTGCAGCTGGTTTTCAAGTCTCTGGATCGGGCAGTTGAGTTTCGGAAGCTGTATCGGAGAAGCCCCGAGTTATGCGCTGGATTAGATCGGAGTATCACTCCAGTGAAACGTCTAATAGCCCATTTGGCTTACGACATTTTTTATGCTATTGTGCTGTCATACTCAGTTAGTGATTACTTAACATATACAGGTTCTGCATCAGTGCCTGGGGGTTGCCCCTCATCGAAAGAGTGAGGCGTCTGTACCGATGGAAGTTAACTGCTCATAAACGGCAGCATAATCCGCTGTTGTTAAGGTGGAAGCGGTTGTGGCCCTTGGTTCCCCACAAACGATAAATTCACACGAGGGGGCATCGATATGATGATAAACAGCTGAGTTGGGGCGAACGTCGAAGTTACAACACGCTGCCCGGTCATGGCTCTTCAGATATCTCTCGTTCTTGTCGCACGCTTTAGGCGTAGACCTGGTCGACGACAAAAGTGCTTAAAACTGGTCTTCCTTGTCAGTTACTTCCCTACAGCACGCAGCAGTTACATTCACGATCCCTTGAAGCACGCGGAGAGTGACTAATCCTAGAAGTGTAGAGCAGAAGACTATGTACATATATATATATATTCCCTCAACGAACCAAGGTCGGTCTGTCATTGCTAAAAGCTAAGTAGTCAACCAAACCACATGGTCGTTGTGATAGCCTAGACGATGGCGCTGCGACCTATAGCTAGTCTGAGCTTGTGCAAGGATCTAATGGTCTCGTACTGAAAATAAATTAAGGTCAGTTAATCTAGATAATGAGTAGACTATATTTTCGTTTAGACAAGGATATTTGACGCCCTTTGTAGAATTTGACCTTGATAATCACAGCATATTAGTGGAACTTGGCCTAATGATGTACCTTGCCATAATCAACATTTTTTGGCTGAACAAGCCAGGAGTCAATGGTTCACACCTAGCCATTGACATATACTACATGTGTGAGATTAAATAAAGTTAAATTAGAGGATTTGTTAAATAGATGCATAAATGTTTGTTTTTTGTTTTAGTTTCAGCAAACCATTTTTTTTAGCTATTTTTTTATAATCTGAAGCTGAATTAATCAAAGCATAGCCTCTAAGTAATTGACTTCGCCGGGATACGCTTCTTGCAGAGCTGTGCATTGAGAAGGACGAACTAACGCTCATTTTTGAGTCGGTTCGTTCTCGCTACAGCGTAGCTTCAGCCTGCTGGTTTATCTGTAACTGCACCAACCGTTCCAGAAAAAACCTGTTTAATTTCCTGCCACACAAACTAATTCATTACTTGACAGGACAAACAGTCCAAGAACCCTCGTAATTATGAATATTTCTATGACATTTTTTGGACGGAAATCTTTGTTAGGAATAAAAACAAAACGATCTTTCTGCGGCGTGCCCCGACGTACCGACCCCAAGAGTATTTACAATCAGACCCATTAAGTTCGACCCATAGTCGTATACCTGCTACATCTTTGACTGCTGCAGCTGTCGGCATTATAAACACTAGCATCTTTTACTTTCTAGAAAAAGAAGCACAATCTTTACAGAAAACTATTCTTTTATAGAAACTAGAATAAATATAGTCAGACGTACTGAAAATGTTCGTTTTCGTAAGTGTGACACCTCTAAACCTCTTTCCGCATTTTCGTAGCTCGGACGATCCTTAAATACTACTGACTAATATGAGGTTTGGAAATTAGATTTCTAAAAGGCCTGTATATTACAATTGTGATCATAACGTCGTGCAAAGGTAATTCTAGCAGGTTAACTATTGCAACTGCTGTTGCTCCGTTGAACTGTTGAACATTTTCTATCTAGCGAAATAGAATGCACAAGGACTTGCAATACAGAATAAAAGATAGTAGGGATGCCGAGTGAAAATATTAACTGAAATGGCAGTTTCAATAATTTGCTTGGAATCTTTTCATAACTTCTGGTTGTAGGTGTACGTATTCCAGTTACTTGATTAATCGTATCTGGTTGTACAACCAGAGCTTGGTTAATAGTGACGGTATAGCTGCTGGAAGTTTCAATACACGTCGAATATCTACGGAGCACCAGGACGCAACAGACGCATTATGGTTGAAAGTACTAAACGACAATGTAAGTTGTTTAAAGAAATACCTGTTACAAAACAAAAATGAATGTACGACCAGTCATTTCGATAAATGCGCTTCTTCGCGCTGAGAATTTTGCTATTGAGATTATTTTTGAAATAATATCCCTTTGCATAATGACTGCGGCAAGCCTACTGGAAATTTCGTGTATTTTCTGTGTAGGCCCAACTCTCAACACAATTTTGGGTAAATGAAATCAATCTGTTATTTATTTGAATTGACTGTTTTAACGATTCCAAAGACTAAACATATAATGAACTGAAGTCTCGAAAGGAATTTGCATATTTCATTCCTTTAGTGCATGTTATCATCAGGAAATTAGAACAGGATACCAATGACTTACGATTTTTGTACGTATTTGTGTGTTAGCTTTGTCTATAACACGAAAACTAACGGAATAATTGAATAAATTGAAATAAATGTTTTATTTCCCGTTTTCCTTTAAACTAAGATTGATTTCTATTGACTAAAATAGTAGATAACCGCCTTTTTTCTTTGGTAGAAAATTAAGTAACTTTTAAGTTGGATTGGAGACTCACACATGTAGATAATTTTTTTTCAAAAAGTTACTATGAAGTGAAACAGATCGACTTTTGTTCCGGTATTTTCTCCTGGAAATTGGACACGAGCGAATTGAATCAGAAAAGATATTGGAATAAAAAGTATACACAACGAGCGCGTTCTCCGCAATCCGTTGAGCATTAGTCTTCCTCAAAGAGCTACGAACAGAACTTGAACGGTGGAAATGTCTATCTGAAGAAAACGACAGGGCTTCGCAGAGGTACGGAACGATCAATCGGCGTTAGCTTCCGTCAACAGAGCTTACGATGCAATATAACACAACACAGCAGATAGTAACTTGCACAGAAATTAGCTGTTCGTCTCGTTCAGTATGGACAAGTTTTACTGACATGTTTTTAATGCTTTGTAGACGTTGGCGCAAATGATCTTTGTCATGTCAGTAGGCCCTTTTTAATGCTGGCCTTCCAACACTTGTATTCATTTGGTCAATTTTTTCACAATTCTAATTTTCGTAATTTCAACCTCTGGCATATTTTTGTTTGAGAACGCTGTAATTTCTAACTATGGTCATCATTTTTAATGTACCTCACATAGCGATAAACTTCCAATCTTGTAGCGTCCATTACGGTGACTAAAGTTATCATATTAAAAATTGATTATTATATTTCACAAAGCGTACCTGTAAGTTCCAGCTTATGTTATAGGTGCACTGCGCGTCTAGCAAAAAAAGCACCCATAAAATCAATGGTGTTCAGCATATTTACCGTTATTTGTTTGCTTTAAAACAATTTCGTGTCGATTTCTTTCCTCATCGGTAGCTTTCTCAGTACTTCTCTACCGTAAATTATGCCAAGAAGATTAATTGAACAGCTATTAAAAAAATAAGGTCCTTCATTCCAATTATTGCGCCTTCGCAATATACACATTTTTCCAACCCGTATCTCAAAGGTTCGAAAAATGTATGTGTACTTTTGGCGTTCTTTTTTGTCAGAGACAGCTGTTCTATTGAAATTTTTATTTTAATTTGTTATGGCTAACTGAGTCTATCACATTTCTAATTCGGTGTTTTCAACGTAAAATAAACCTGACGTATTTTTCGTTGCCACTCTGCATAGCTAGCAATACTGAATATCTAAAAAACACCCAGTACATTGAATATGAAAAAACCTTTCTGTTTAAATCGAACTCGGACTGACAGACAATCACAGTGATCTTCAATCAACCGTCGCCGCTACAATGGCCTGCTGTAATGGAACGTTTTTTCTACGAGTTGGCAATAGCATTTATTCGATAGCAACAAACACTTCGCTTTTTCGTTTCGGAATCCAGTGTTGAGCATTGACCTTCATTGTACCGCGTACTTACAGCATATTTTCAGCAATAGCGTGTGTTTAACATTTGTTAATTTTGCATCTGTTCGAAATAGTGCGCCGTCCCCAAGTCGCGCATGCTCAGTGGCGCCATCTTGGCTAGATGTACACATTAAGGCCCGAGTGGACGACAACTAGTTTCGGCCAAACAGTTTTCAATCAGAGTAAATTTGTAGCCTGTATATCGGTGTCGGATAGTGAAGCGCGTGGTGAAAGAAACTGAGTGGAGTTCAGATGTGAGTGCGAATCGGTGAGACAGAAGGTTTCCGTCGCGACCGGCAGCTTGGCAATCGTTTACCTTTTTATCCAGCCAGGCCAGTTATCCTCTTTCGGATGCCCCGTTTGCTGATATATCCATACCACCAGCAGAAACGCCTTCTTTGTACGGAGCTCCCATGTGAGCTGGCCGTTCCCGCTATTGTCGTCTCTCTTCTAGGTCGAGATGAGCTGACTGCAGCAGTCGTCAGCCGCACGGGCTAAACACTATTCGATCGACAAATATTAGGATGGGAGTGTTCAAATTGTCATCAACTGTGCTCTTTTCTGCTAGATAAGTGAGTGTGGTCGTGCTTGGCAATGGTTTGTCGCCTCGTCAGCCTCGTTGATCCTTGCAGCTACTCCACGTGAACCAGTTTTACTAGTTTTTGTTGTAGGAAGATTTACTGCAGTAGAAAACAGGATAGAATTGGAATATCGTTGTTAGAAGCGCTGCTAGTTTGCTTCCCTAACCGTCGACGTAAGTTAACCGACAGCGAAGACAACAGTCAAAAGGATTTTCGAAGATATCGGACGCGCCAACGTAGCTGACCAACAAAGTAAAGTTAAAAGCTCACGATATCTTGGTAGCGCAGTTCTTCCTGACAGTCGCCTGGGTAAGCTAAAACAGTAACTCAAGTGCACGCACATATTTGTCAAGCGGACAGAGCGTCACAAGGACTGGCTTCTAATATCCGGTGGGCGGATTTTTGGTCTATTCGTTGTGCCGTGATTATTTGCGTTCTAGCAGCTTTGAATATGGTCATATTGAATCATATTCACACAGATAGAAATCAAGAAAAGCGTACGAGTCACTTAGTTAATGTTGTGTTAATTATCGTTCCCATGCCATAGAACAGCTGGTAAGTTGTACAATGGTGCGGTATATTGAAGCCAATGGGTGGAACGTAAACGTATGAGGTATGAGGAAACTTCATAAAGGCCGTAACATAATAATGCTGTGTTGCTAGAGAAGCCACAGTAATATCTCCAGGCATTAAAACTAGCTATAGTTTCATTCATATGTCGGTTGCTAAGGGGAAGAATTTTAACCTGTGGATAGAAATGCGAGACGGCTTTTCTCCGCGTTAAATTTAAGATGGGCCTTTACAGTGTTATTGGGCAGTTAGATACAGGCCGGTATACGGTGGAGATCGTGATTGATGTACACCCGCGAACACAGACGGTTGTAGAATAGACAAATAAATACGTTGAAGGTATTCGGCTGCGGTGAGGTTTACTATTTTGATTTTCGGTAATCCAATCGACTGTGGCAATATTTTTGGTGCAAACAATTTCGTTGTTATTTCTTCGTGGCGCACCTTTGTAGATGCAATTTGCTCACGCAGTGTTAGCTGACACTGATATTTTAGGCTGGTTCATGTTGGTGATCGATAGATAATGTGAAGAACGTGCTGATGTAATTAAACTTCCTGAGCGAACACAAACACATAACGCAAAAGTTTCTCATTTATTATCGGTGCATTATTCCTCAGGCGAAAATTGGCGCCGATCGCCATCGAGCCAACAGTAATGAGTAAGAACAGCTTGAACGCTACTCTCTAACAAAGGCCACCCGACAGCCATTGTTGACTTATATCTAGCCAGACACGCATATCCGTGTTGCGGTTGTTGCTTCTGAAAACAAGCAACGTCTTCTGATGATCCAACGTGTCAACGAGTCCATGCTTGCTTTGTGCAGGATGTTTATTGCTGAACGCACAGTTACAGTCGTTATTAGTAACGCTTATTAGGCTATTTCCTTATGCTGCACATACTACTGGTTAATGATGATAGTAATAAATGCGGATTGTACAACTGGACAGCGTTGTTCTGTGCTTGCAGTGAATTAGAAACTGCATTGTAATCTTCAACTGCTCAGTGATGTTTGTTAAGTACTATTAGTTGACAGATGGGAACGATAGACAAACATAGTTGGCTATTGTCGAGGAATGTGATTTTCGATACAATCCATATCAATTCCATTCCATTCATTTCCAATCCAATCAACTCGATCAGACTTGGCAAATTTCATTCCCACTTGCTAATTTCCATTTCTACAGTAACGTAAAACATACGCTGTGCTGCGGGTATACCAAATACATGAACTTAATAGCTCGACATGGCAGCTTAGTCCCTGTTGTAAGGGGCCACTTAAATTTGCATTCACTGAAATGAGTGTTGGCACTTCCTAGTTACATCGAAGTTTCACTAGCGATGGTAATTGGTTTCTAGCAACGAATGGGATAACACCATTGCGTACACCAATCAAACCTGCTGTTCGAGTGTCATACTAATATGATGCTTGACGCTACCACGTTCTAACTGATCAAGAGAATCGAGAGAGCGGTGAGGTGCGGAAGCTTAACGGGTTTGTTTACTTGGAGGTTCAACGGCTCACCAATAACCGGTGGGCACATACTAAATTGGCTGTTGTAATTCGACCCAACCCAATTGCACGTATAAGAACGGATCTATGAGACAGGTCAAATTACGTTACCCAGTGGAATAGGGATAAATTTCTTGGATTCATTTGAACACAAACGGCGACCTACTGTGTCTCTTGCTACTCTAAAATCAACAGACGTCGAGGAATCGTACGCTTGCCTACTGCAATACGATTTCTTGCTTGAGGCCGTAAGCAGCTGAAGAACAGAGGAGCCGGAACGAACGTCCGTGAGACAGCGGCGACAACGACTCTATGTTGAAAGACATCTGGTCTCATTCCAACTGCGTTTTGGCGTTATTTGTTGTCGGTATTTTTTTTTGTTTGCATAAGTGTTACATGACTGATGTGAGCATCGGTGGGAGTTTCGTACTCCATTTTGTTGCAGGGCCGATGGCCATGTTTTTCCTCAATGATAAGTAGGTAAAATAACGAAACATTAGTTGGTTCGGGCACAGCTTTCAAGCTATCTGACTCATAGAAACCTGCACGCGTTTCTGTGGCCGTACTAAGAGGCGGCAGATCGAACCGGCCTACAAACGTTTGATTTGACGCATTATGCTCATTAGCATTCCAATAATAATGCTTTGGATGACTAAGTATTATAGTAAAGGGTTCACATCAGTCTTATTTAATTGTAGGACCTTCGTTTGTGGCTATATAAATGAAAAAAAGGGAATTCATTTTCTTTTTATATATATAATATATATATAGGCTAGTAAATGTGGATTGTAAGCCTAGTCCATTCAGTGAAGCAGTATTAATGCGGCTGACAATGACTGCGATCATTTTGGCCTTTGCTTACAATAGAACACTAATTTGTGTAATCTCGAACCGTTAACGATAGGGTCCTTCGGTTAATAAATTGGATTTATCTCAAGTGCACTAAACACATCGATCAGTGGAAAAATTCGTAATATGACCTCTATTCAATGTATATATAGTGTTTGTGTTATAGTTTCTTTATGATATTTAGTTCTCAATCTATTAATAGAGTTAGAAAATTTTCGATTAACAACCACATTTTTGATTCAAAACTGTCAGTGCATAATTATGAACATACAATACACTCTATCCTATATTATACCTTTGTGGGAGTAGAAGCTGATTAAGCAATACTAGGATGTCGATAACCTCCGTTAGGTACATTTTATGATTTTTCAGTGAATGTGTTGATCACGAAATCCAAGTCGCTGATCTAGGCACTTCATATTTTCAATGAAACAAGCCATTCGATCCTTAATGGTCGTCTAATTGCTTGCAATTCATTGCAATCCAAGCAAATACTGTTATTACTCGTTTTCTATCTGAAATACAATATGTTTGAAAAGTTTACCAGCGGTTGCAGGTTAGAATAATACAGTAAGTATATGACTGCACTTTCGACAACATCGCTAATTACGAAAAAGCTCAAGTCAACCGTAGACTCATAAGTTCTTATGACTTTGGTAATTTCTTGGGATGTTGCAGGGATCAAGCTAGCTAGCAGGTAATTTCGTAATGTGTCGATAAAACTTGCGTTTTCTACCGAGAAGAGTACGTCACAATGCAAGTAAAAATGCCAAAAAAAAGTTCATATTCTTACCTATGTAACGATTTCTAGCGTTATTACTAGAGTTAGTTTCAAAAGGCAAAAGCGTTGCTGTTTAATTGATACTTCAAACATCCACCATACGAGGATTTCGCGACTTAGAGCAAAAATAACAATGTCTAGGAGATTTTAAATGTTTAATCGTAATAGCTAACTAATAAAATCAAACATTTTTTACTAGAACATATTAATAAAATGACTTTTGGTTTTGCTAGATATGTTTAAGAAAGCGTGAACTAGCTCGAATTTAACAGTAACAAACTACATCTAATTGCTTACTTAACAAAAGTGAACCGATGAATTATAGATAAGAGACCGGTAAAAACAACGAATGCCCAGGCAAACACATGATATTGGCGATATCTCAATTGGGGACCTACCCGGCTTCAGTACAGTGAATGTATTTTTTAAAAAAAGGGCAAGTGGCGTCTAGATCAAATAAGCTTGGAATCATCTTATAAAAATTCTAAAAAAAAAGTGAAGAAACGCGTAATTGATTATACAAAAGTTACAACTTGCAGCTAAAGAAAGCAAGATAGTCTACCATGCCACTTAATAGCTTTAACTTTTGTTCAATAATGTTATTTTAACGTTTACACTTAGCTTGCACCCTTTGGGTAGGATCAGTGCGGGTGCTATGTTTGCATAGATAATTTTGTTGTAAACGTTATGTTTTTTGAGAAACTGTAAGAAATATATATTCTGTTGGTTCCGTTCTAAGATACTAGCAAAAGGTCAGGTTTAATTTAAAAAACCTCGTAAGCTCGTGCTCTTTTGTGCTCGTGAATTATATCAAAACATGTTGTTTTTTTGATCTTCTACCCTGAACCGTGTAAAATTGTCGATATACAGACCGATTCTTACGTGAAATAAACAACCGTTGGCGTTACCCACATCTTTGGATTCGGTCGGGAGTTCATCGTTATAATATCGTCCATAAACGCATGGAAACCCATTGATCCAATCAGGGTGAAAGAAGTCGCTAGAGATTGATCAGTTGGTACTGTCCATCGTTTTCAGTTTTATCAGCCCTCGAATATAGCGGTAAATAAGAAATTTTTTGTAGATAGTTATCATATTCACGCTACGTCCGGATGAGCCGCCGAAACTGTGACCTTCATTCTTATAACTTATGGAAATATTGTTGAGGTTAGAGATATGCAATCATTTACATTTTATCCGGCTCTAGAAGTAATATTCAAGCTCAATAAGACATATATTTTTCGTTAAATGTCAATCAAAAAGACTACGGGCAAAAGAAGATGTACATTATTTGCCAAGTATTTCAGCAGACCTGAATGATATAAACTACGGCCTGGAATTTTTGAATAGTTTAATTCCTAAGTCAAATTAAAGAATTAGCGATTAGTGTTTGCTGGATAGTTCACAACGGCAGAAGATATTAGATAGTTGAAAGTAGGTTGCGTTAGTCTTTTCGCGCTATCAAAGTTTTTTTTTTTACTTCGGAACAAATCCCAGAGCATTGATTATCATTCAAACTTGTTAAGCGAATTATAATATTACCAGAAATGATTTTCCACGCAAAACGGTTCTGCATCGTTCTATAAAGAACCATACAGTGTTGTACAACGCACGTGTCCGATGTCTATTGAAATACTGATGAAAAAAATGTGGGTGAGTCGTACTATCCCACAGGTGTAGACGGTATTTTTTAACTTAAAATTTTGTCGGCACACATTAAATTGCAGCTTCCGCATGGCCGTTTTTGCGTAGGCGCCAGGCCGGTGCTGGTGAATCGGCGATAATGTCTCCGGGCGCTGGCGGTGGCGGAGGTGTTCTTAGTGGAGGGCGAAATTCCAGTGTAAGTTTAACTAATGAAGATGTGGCGTGCTACAACGTTATTAAGCTGTCATGGAAGGGCAGATACGCGCGCATCTTCTCGGTAGGCACCCGCGCCATTACGACATACAACGTCGGCGACTCGATGGTCGAAACCAACAAGGTTAGGACATTCTTTAGCCAAACAACAAAAACATGAAAACTGTCAATTAATTTTCGTGTGCAAATACTGCGGTTTTTAAGTTTGCATTTGAAAATTAAAGGTGGCCAACAGAAGGAACAGTTATCAATGTTGACGAACTTTTGACTAATTGTGAGAAAATCAGTTTGCTTGTTGTCGCAAAATTTTTTCGAACTAAGTGCTAAAATGGCCACACTTTATCTATGTCGGTGAACCACTTGTTTATTTGTCATGAAGTGCAGCGAGTTTTTCAGTAACTCAGCAAATTTTGGGAGAGGGATGAAGCTCGCAAGTCACAAAAACTTCCTTGGTTCATTAGAGACCTTGTTTTCCCTTGACCCTCATAGAGAAGCTGCATGTTTATATAATCAACTCAATCAAAATCTGTTATGATTTTAACGTTTTCAGTTCGAGTACCAGGATTTCGTCGGTATAGAGCCCGTATCCGGGAAAGGTTCAGATACTGAGTTCGTAATCAAATACCGAAAGTCTCGTGAAGGCAAGAAAATTGCCGATATGAAGTTCGCATCCGAGTACCGAGCCGATATCCTTACCGAAGCTTTAGTAAGCCCTCGAGTATATGATTTATAAATAGACAACTGCATACAAATGCTTTTTATTCTGTGAGATTGATACTTTTATCTATCTTATTTACGTAAGTCTTCATCTACTCAATTTATCCCCTCACAGCCGTTAATTGAGCTCATTAGAACATAACTCAATAAGTATTTAATATTAACCTTACTAAATAGAGGGTATCTCGCTTCGTTTTCCTTTGACTTTATCTAGAAATTCAAGCATTTATTTTGTGAGCCACGAAAGAACGCTGTGTGGTTCAATGCAACGAAAAAGGATTTTGCCGACCTGAGGGTACCCGTCATTTTGGAAGTAGGTGAGGTGGCTATCACACAGCAAGACCCCACATCCAGAGAATGCTTCGGCCGGTATGTATTTAGCTTTGCTTTACCTGTGAAAAAAAGCAACTGTTTCCATGTAGAACAACCCGCATGGCATGTGAACATGTCACCTAGATAGAGACTCTGTATGCCTAATTAAAAATTGTGGCTTTGAAAGGTCGACATGTGCACCTATTCTCCCAAGAATTGTGTTTCTTTTTGAATACAATCCAACATTCGACTCGTGCTGCTAAAGCAACAAACGGATAATAGTCTGCTTGAGAAATTTAGTTTTCTAACTTTTCCTAGCATAAAAATGCAGATACTTAACACAATTCAGTCCGATTTACTCGGTACAAACTTTACAAAGCTGTACATAATTTCTACGGATAATATCTATGGATGATGAATACGATATGCTAATAGGTAATCTTTTCAAACTAGCTCTCGACCCATTTGTATTCTGCTGTTTTGTTTACACGCTTGTCTTCAGGTACTACTACAAAGATATAGGCAATTTAGCGAAGCTTATGGATGGCCCACCAGGCGGAATATCTATCTCAGTTGAAAGCTACAAGCGGTTGCACTTGTTTGTAGTTGAAAAAAGGGACGTGTTCCTTCAGACCGTCGCTGAGTATGCTATGCGACATGTTGGCGTCTTAATCTCGTACAAGGAAGAAATGAGTGAGGAAACCGCACAGCTGAAGCGATTCGGCCGATATTCAGTTGACGAAGCTGTCACGAGTCTCTGTGACTTCATGGTTCACAAGATTTCAGTTAAGCATCGGGTACGTTCTTCGTATATATTAGCACAGATGTATGCTGCCGGTTATGTTGTGCTGGCTGCAGACGTTGTCGCATAGAATAGTCGCACAGTAAAAATCAAAAATAATTTTACTGATCTCGATATGTTTTGGTACTATCGTCAAGTAACTCCTAAAAGGCTCGTGTCAATTGTTTCTTCCCTATGTTATAGGATCCGGTAAAACGTATTCTAGGCATTTCGGAATCATGTCTCGTTGAGCGAGACTGTAACACATATAACGTCACCTCTTTGCGTCCGTTAAGCGACGTCGCGGCATTAGTACGCGATCGTGAGGAGCCGCGCAAATTCTCTATTGAATTCGTTAGCGGTGGCAATGTGCAGAAGTCGTATTTTTCGTCGAATCGGGACGCGTTACTTGCCTCACTTCTTGACGGCGTGCGTGCTTCGGGTAATCGCGACGTGCACGTCCGCATGAGCCATATGCCGCGAGGGAAGCGCTGCGGCCCTCTATCGGTACCTGTCTGCGAAGACGTAGAAATTGCTCATTTGAAGTTCCTTCACACGCATCCAAGTACGTACATCGAAGTGCATTTGAGATTGGAGTACCTCGTTTGCTCTATTTCTTCTCTGTTCACTGAAGAATACGTTGCTGCACTGTTCTGAATACCGATGATGATGACGATGTAATTCTACGGAGGTATGGTTGTCGAAATGAAAGTGGTCAAGCCGTATGGGATAATCCCTCTAGAAGGGCCAAATCAGCAATTTATGTGCGTTTGGAATACGCACATGCAACTACTGACTCCCAAGTTCTATAAATCCAAACACGCTGCATTACCTTCAAGAACTCTAGGGATAAATCGTTCCCATATAAACCATATATGATGAGATTGTTACAGGTCTGGAACCTTTGTTAGTTGGAATTTTTAAATTCAAGATGATACCTTATCGAGTCAAAACTACTTGGACACTGAAAGCCTATGTTCAGAACTGACTGATTTCTGATGAAAGCTGATAGGAGTGGGGCCCCTGTGCTTCACTCTTTTGTTGAATTTTATCCAGGAATCTCGAGTGGTGGGGTATTCTTTAATAGCTATTTATGCTTTAAGTTCTTATACGTAGACATGATTTATAGATGGTTTACAATACAGAATTTTTGTTTTTACCTTCATCATTCTTTTTCCAACTGATAATATAAAAAGATTGCCTGTAGAATAGAATAGGTGATGGCGCAGAAAACATGGTACCAGAAAGTCTCAATTTCAGCTGGTTGAAAGCATGTAATTAATGCGATCTTGAATCACAAAATGTATTAATAAAGTTATTAAATTATTATACTTTAAATTTTAAGAAGGGGATATACCTCCATACAGATAAGGCACCCGTCTTGTTCCGGCTGTTTTTCTCATATACGCCTGTGTGATGTGTATCTGTTCGTCTGTAGCATTAGTGTGGGTTCTCCGAAACCTTGACACAGGTATTGTCATACATTTCGATATTTAGTTATTAGACGTCGGTCCCGTTACATGAGCACTTTTGAGATGGTTGCTCTTTGGTATCCATTAATGCTCACTGTCAGTGAATCTATGAATCTGAATGGGCGGGATCGCAAATTGAAACGAAAGTTAGGTTAGGTTAGAAGAAGAATATTCGTACCCATCTGTGTCGTTTTTTAAGCGATGTGCTCCTTGTTTTTCGCATTTTTGTATCACACGCATTCTGCGTAAACCTCAGTGTGTCCCATGTTCACCTTGTATGTGAATTTGATTTTTAAATACAGGTTCGTGGAGTTTTTCTGAAGCGGTAGAACGCTTTAACGCCAATGTGCCCTACTCCGGCTTGCTGCACACGGCGAAAAACAAAGATGCACTGTTTGAGAACAAAGACAAAATGTTCCAAGCTGCACTTACAGCGGTGCTAGCCAAGGAAGGTGAACAAGACCGTATTCCCTTCGATCTTCTTGAACAACAATTTCATGCGCTGCGAAGGCTTGTCGCGTGTAAGGCAGGGTTCGCCGCATTTACACAGGTTCCGCAGTAAGTACGGCGTCGGGCCTGATATTTGTCTAAGCGTGTTAATTTATTTATGATTATTGTTTGAACCTTCTATGCCAGCGAAGAGATACACAAAGAATAAAACTGTACTACATTTTAAATTTGATAGTTTGAGGTTTGCCACGTCATATTCGTAACTGTTGAATGTGTCAGTTTATTTAACGTCTGTCTGATTCTATGATACGTTATCTATGTTAGTTATCTGTGGTATATTTTTTAGTACATTTTCCTACTCAATATTCGACTGACGTTTTCCAGGGTGCGTGAACGCATCGGCAAAAAGGTGATTACGGCATTGTCCCGAGGGGATCCTGCGGTTTCGCACGCAGCTGTGGACATGCTCTGCGCACTGATTCAGCCGATGCATGACGACTGCGACCTGTTTCAAGAGCAACAGAACAAGCTCAGCGTACTCTCATCAAAAAACTTTCTCGAACAGCTGCTCAACATGTTTACTCAACACGTGGTGGGTTGATCTCCCTGTTGTGTCTCCAGTTCTCTCCAACATTTCGATAACAACAAATTCTGCGGTAAACGACGCATCGACAGTGTGAGAAATACGCATGACAACAGTAAACAGCCATTTATCAAACAGCGATCCGTCAACTATTTATACATTTATTTATAGTTGGGTTTAGTGAGTAATAGCGTATTTACAAATTCGCAACAAAAATATCAGACAACACAAAAAAGTCATAGTTTATACGCAGGGACGGCCACTATAACAACAACTACAGTTTTACTACAATGTTTTACTTATATTTTATTAAACAAATTTACAGCAACATGGAACTGGTTGTCTTGTGGTGTCAGCTATGCTAGACTTTCTGACGTTCTCACTTTGCGCACCATATTCGGAGACGACGGATGGAGCACAGTTTGATGCGCTTCTCGAGCTGGTCGCGCAGCACGCTGGCCGTATGCTCTTCAAACTGTTCCAACACTCATCCATCGCCATCGTGCGTGGAGCTGGGTTGGTGATGAAAGCCATCATTGAGGTAAGCACACACAGAGGACTTCGGAGATGCAACAATTTTTATATATATAAGATATTTTTTATACGATACGTGGTCGTTGTTGTTGTGTTTACTCTGCTGCAGGAAGGCGAGTCGGAACTCGCAGCAAAGATGCAAGATCTTGCCTTAGCTGAAGCGGCACTTCCGCGGCATCTTCTTGATGCGCTTTACGCTTCTGGGTCCGAGAGTCGGCTTTTTGCGTTGAGAGAGCTATCGAGACAGCTAGTTGGCCTATGGCTGACTGGACACCCACCAACAATGAACGCTCTGAAAAGAATTATGGTAAGATAGAGGAACGACAAGCGTTAACAGGCATCTATTTCAGGTTATTGGTGTTACAATAACGTCCAAGTCTATTTACTTATATTCAATCGTCGTCATAACACCCGTCCTTGACCACGATTCCTTTAGCCCGCGGGTCTACTGGCATACATGGATTCCAAAGAGATGCCACCAAAAGAGGCGATTGAAACTCTTCGGACAAGGGATAACCTTCGAATGGCTACTGAGCATTCAAATAATATGAATCATCGCGCTAGTAGTCGGCAATGGCGCGTGGTAGAGCGACATGTAGAACAGTTCCTAATGCACTGGAAATCTCGGGTACCTCAAGATTTAAAAGGTCGCATTGGTCTTGGCGGCAGCGACGACCGCCCAACAACGCGGCAGCAGCCAGTTGTCCTACGGCGAAGACGGCAACGAGTAAAAAGCACCGCAAACTGGACCATGTTCTACTACCAATTCCATCAGGACCATGCAAAGCCGCACCTCATCTGGAACTACAAAACAAGGTGCAATAATAAGGAAAATATTTTGTCTGCTGTCTCTATCTGTTTGAAATTGATCTGTATGCTGTGTACTTTGTTGCTAAGAGGTAATATAAATTAAAAAAAATACCAGTCTAGTATCGGATATATAGTAGTGATTCTAGTTATAAGGTAGTACGGCTTTGAGGGTGGTGAATGCGATTGGCCGATTGAGGCCTGCCTGCACGAATGCCTGCAAGTTACTGTTTCATTCTTACGAATTGTTTATTTTAACACGTTTAGAGAAGAGTTGAAGGATGCCCTTGAGAATGAACTACGAAGTCTCACACAGGATCGAGAGTTGTGTCACGATGTGACCGTTTCGTGGAACCATCATGAATTCGAGGTAATCTACCCGTCGCTCTCAGAGGAACTGCAGGTGGGCGACTTCTTTTTGCGGCTCCTGCTCGAAGAGGACGATCGTACTATAAAGACGAACGCGAATTCATTTAATAGTTCTACGCAGCCATCCGGTTTCATAATGCAGTCGTACGTAGCAATTTTGAACATTAATTACTTGGCCATGAAATTACATGATTAGACCAGGATGTCATAAGGTTACGTATACATCTAAAACATACCCGAACGCCCCAATTTAAAACTTAAAAAATCTACTGTTGCGATAAGTTATAAGATACAAAGCGAAACTGAGCTCATTCTTTTTTAATATCTCGATATGGTGTAATTATTTTCTATAGCGCATAATGTAAATTTTAATATTGACTATCATATAATCCAAACGAAGCATCTATATTTACGTACTTGTAGATACTCGTGAATAAACTTTTATGCTTGGGATTTTGCTGACACATGTTATAATTAGCGCTTCTTATATATTCTCGCTGGGTTAATTACCACACAGTAGCTCATTGACGTTTACTCGAGCTTTACATATTGTTTGAGCATTACATTGTTTATGAATGAGACAAGGTAGCTATAAGGCACGTTCATAATATTGATTCTACTCGTCGTTCAACTATAGGAGTGACTTTTTCAACGACCTCTATCATCGGTTTCTCCTGTCGAACGAAACTGATATGAAGTGTTTGTGTCTGCGGGCAATGGCAATTGTGTACGGTAGGCACCACTTCGAGATCGGAGCGTTCAACGATACCAAATACATAATCGACATGCTACAGAAAACAAGCAATCGACTTGAAAGAGACCGTTTAATTATGTTCATCGACAAACTCGTTAACAACAAGAAAAACATCAAGTACTTGCTTGACTCAAACGGTATCAAGGTAGGACACAGCAAGGTATTAATTATTGAAACCAACTGTTTTTTTTTTTAATAAGATCGTAAGAAAGACGTAATTTTCTTCATAAGTTTTTCAAGATTAACTTCAAAGCGTTGTTTTTCCTAGTTAGCCATATATTTGTTGCTTTCTTCTAGATGAAATCTTTTAAGATGTACAAGTAGTAACTTAGTAAAGTTGTGAGCTATATCTCATCGTTAATGTTTTCTTTCTTATTGACATCATCAATCATCTACGCGTTTCTCTCGCTAACTGTATGACCGATATGTGACCTTTTGTATCAGGTGTTAGTAGAATTTTTATGTTTGGCACATCTGCACACGTCACGTGCGGTTATTCCAGCCCAAACAAATGTGATTGAGGCATCGACCGAAATTATGATGGATCAGGAAAAAGAGTGGTTCTACAACAACAACGAGAACGGACCTCACAGTATTAATGAGGTGTGTATGTAGTTATCGTTCTGCCATTATAATCTATCCTAAGCCACTTAGTTTTTTTCGATACCAATTTGCCGTTTAGATGCCGTATTCTTTTCGATCACCCAAGCGCATTTAAATTCATGCATATAAATTTAAGTTTTTTTTTCCCTATTTATTAAATATAATAATGACTATTACCTAATGATTCATTCATTGCAGATGAAAAAGCTATATAAGGAGGGCACGGTGAATACGGATACGAAAGTATGGGCCCAGGGTATGGATGGTTGGCACAAGCTCAGTGAAGTCGGCCAACTCAAATGGACCCTAATGGCGCATGGAACGGCGCTTCGAAACGAGACAGATTTGGCTGCCCTTATATTAGATATTCTTATTAAAGTGTGCGAGGTCTACCCTACAAAGGAGCCTGATGGGAGTATCGTTCGTCCTCTGCCGCGAGCCAAGAGGCGCCTCTGTGATCCCTCCATTATGCCTCATGTCGTTCAGCTGCTGCTAACCTTCGATCCGATCCTAGTCGAGAAGGTGGCCGTCCTTTTGACGCATGTCATGCAACACAATCCTGCGATTCAACGTTTGTATCAGTCTGGCTTCTTTTTTTTTATCCTTATGTATACCGGTTCAAATGTACTACCCATCGGAAATTTGCTACATCTTACTCACACCTGTCAGGCTTTCCGAACTGAGGAAAGTAGCTCGCTAAAACAGCGCTCGATCCTGGGCAATATTTTACCCGAAGCAATGATCTGCTATCTGGAGAATCATGGTGCCGCAAAGTTTGCCGAAATATTCCTAGGCGAGTTTGATACACCAGAGGCGATTTGGAACTCAGAAATGCGCCGTTTCATGATCGAAAAGATTGCTACTCACATTGCCGATTTCACGCCTCGACTCAAGTCCAACACACGAGCGCCATACCAGTACTGTCCACTGCCACAAATTCAGTATCCACAACTACAGAACGAGCTTTTCTGTAGTATTTACTATCTACGTCACCTCTGTGACACTGTAAGGTATCCTGATTGGCCGATTTTGGAGCCCGTTCAGCTTCTGAAAGACGTTCTCGACACGTGGAAGACTGAGTTAAATCGCAAACCACCAGAAATCAATGAAATCGATGCATGTGAAATTCTCGGTCTTAAGCAAGAAAGCAAAATTAACGATTGTGCAATCCGCAAGGCGTACTTTGGTTTAGCTGCTAAGTATCATCCAGATAAGAATCCTGAGGGTCGCGAAATGTTTGAAAAGGTCAACAAGGCGTATGAGTTTTTGTCCGACGCATCGACGCGAAAGACTAATGGACCAGATCCAGTCAATCTGAGTCTTATCCTCAAAGCACAGGCTATCCTGTTTTGTCGATGTCGTGAAGCACTGCATCCATACAAGTATGCGGGCTATCCAATGCTCATTAAAATGATCGAAACTGAAACGCAGGACGACCAACTTCTGTCGAAGCAGACTCCCCTACTTGGTCTGGCCATTGAGACAATGTACCATACACTTAATTGCTCCGAGCTAAACGTTCAGGAGCTACGGCGTGAAGACGGTTTGGCAGTGCTGGGAAAGGCGTTTGTACGCTGCGTCGAGCAGCTGAGCCACTCGAGCACCCCGGAAGATCTGGTTGTATCCGTATGCCGCCACTCTGTTGCCTGCTTCGCCGTGGCCGCCAAATTTGAGTCGTGCCGAACCGTGTTGATTAAGGATCTGCCGAACTTTGTCAACGATCTCTGCCGTATCCTGTATTTCAAACATTTGACAGAACTATGTGCGGCAGCCGTTGAATGCATAGCATCGCTTAGCGTCTGTGAGCAGCTGCAAAACTCGATGCTCAAATGTGGGGTATTGTTCCACCTGCTGCTTTTTTTTTTCAAGTATGACTACACATTGGGCGAAGGTGGCGTCGAGGTCAGCAAGGAGAGTAATCAACAGGCAGTTACCAATCATCTGGCAGGTAAGACGACGCGATTCACACTTAATTTAAATACATACTGTATGTGTGAAAGCTATGCTCTAGAACAACCTGGTTTTTGGTGCTGACTGCCTACAAAGTAAAAGGTCACTGGCTGCTTTTTCTACGGTTTGGCAATTCGTTTCCAGACCGTTTTTTTCTCTGCAATTCTGTTTCCTAATTTAATAACTATGTAGCGATATGTCATGATTTTCATAAAACTCGTGTTTAACCATAACTGCAAAAATGGTATTCATCAATGAACATGCTGGATTTCCTGTTCTACTCAGTTGCTAATAAACTTACTATACCGCTTGTTTTTGATAACATTGCAGAGCTATCTGTTCGTGCTTGCGCTCGACTTGCCGGCCTGGAATCGTCGGATTCCACTCCTTCGAACCAGCGGATACGCCAGTGTCTGGTCGCTCTCCTGACGCCCTACGTCGTCAGGAAGTTAGGCAATTCCGAGCCATCTAGCATTTTGAAGGTTCTCAATTCCAATACTGAGAACCCGTACCTTATATGGGACAACTCGACGCGGGCAGAGCTAACCGAATACCTCGAGCAACAACAAAAATCCAAGATCCGATCGGTACGTAGCAAGAAATGAGTGGATCGTTAGCATGGGCCTCTATATGGTTTTTCTTCTTTGAGGGGTTTTCTATATTTGTGACTGCCCCGAATAAATTTATTTACGTATGTTTGGACCTATGACACGCAACCGATAAAGAAAGGCATTTATATATACATGACAGAAAAGACTCGTTTATACTTCTTGTTTAACTGATAGCTTTTCTGTTGATAACACGCACAAACGTTAGGTTTAAAATTTCTATTAATCGACCAGCAATGTGTTTTGCAAACTTTTGTTAAATGATCGGTAGACTTAAATCTTGTTAGATTGTCAGTTAGTTTATTCTTATTTTCAGGGTGAGTGCGATGAAGACTACGGCGCTTCATTCTTGTATAGCTTGTTCGACAAGGAGCTTGTGGTTGGTGACATCTTTGTTCGAATCTATATCGAGCAGCCAACATTCCCACTAGAAGACGCTCGCCAGTTTACGAAGGAGCTCCTAAGTTTCATTGGATCGCAGGCTCAGTTTATCTATTCAGCTAAAAACAGCAATTTGGTCGTAACAAAGGATGCCGAATCGGATCGGATACGAAACGCGGAATTGGCGATGGAGGCTCTCCATCACGTCATCCTTAACAACCCGTCTGTTGAAACTCTGTGTATAGGCCACTTCAAATTATTGTTCCTGTTATTAAACACAAACTACACGCGGCTTCGGGTCCTCGCCGTTGGCGTGATTCAGGCAGTGACCGGCAACAAAAACTGCGTGCAGGATATTGCCAGCGTCCATGTTCTAGTCTTTCTGTTGCTTGTCCTCAAGTCATTCCAAAGTAACCATCAACGTAAGTTTCAACTGAAAATTTTCTGGCCTCTTACAGGTCGCACTCGTTCAGTAGGTACCGGGCAGTAGATTTTCGTTACTATTATCATGACAATGGTGATGATTAGTGTTATTTTACAAAACTGCGTATTGACGTTGAAGATCCTTAAAATTCAATTTTACCTCTTCCTATCTTTCTTCAACGTGATTTACCGAACCCTGCTGCAGATCAGCAAGTAGTGTTGGATACATTGCTTCCATTAATGTCCAGCACTCAGCTAGTTAAAGAAGCCTTAAGCAAAGGCGCTCTCCTCTATCTCCTCGACGTGTACTGCAATGCGAGCGATCCGAAAGTTCGTGAGCGTACTGCTGAACTGGTGGCTAAGATGAGCGGCGACAAGTTAAGCGGGCCCAAACTACTTCGTATGCTGGCCCGCTTCATGCCTGCCGTCTTCCTGGACGCCATGAAGGAATCTCCACAAGACAGCGTCACTTTATTCGAAGGCAATCAAGAGAATCCAGAATTGATCTGGAACGATGAAAGCCGAGAGCGGTTATGTTTGACCGTCAGACAAATGTGTCAGGAATTATTTGAGAGGCAAACAGAAAATCCGACCGAGTTATGGAACGTAAGTTGGTGATCGGCATCACACGCTTGCTAATTTTTGTTTTTGTTTCACGTGTAACTTTAAAGACCCGCATCTCTGTGATAGGCGTACGTTGTGCAGTGCTGACTAACTTGAACTTCTATAGCGCGAGATGACGTTTTCAGAAATGAACACTATGAGCGAGTGGGTTCAAGAATCTTCTTGCTCATCGTGTTATTATATATATATATATATAATGAAAGTATGCTCTTGTGTGACTTTAAACTAACAACGAATGTTAGCACGGTTCAATCAGAGAGTACTAGAAAAATAAGAAAACAATATTATATTTTTGCCGCATGGACCCCACAACTAGCCATCACCGGACTTCAGTTTGTGTGCGGAGGCTGCAGAAGACGAATTGGTAATTGGCGGTGTGTACGTACGGCTATTCGTGCAAAGTCCGGGTTGGTCCTTGCGCAGACCAAAGGAATTCTTAGGAGAATGCTTAGATCGTGCATGCCAACTAATGGCCAGGCAAGATTCCGACGTAAGTATCACACGCTTTTCCGATTTTACCATGTAATGATTTTTTTAGTATGATGATAGCAGTTAGCAATTTTTGTAATTACTTACCTGACTACCTATCCCTACCCTTAATACTCACTCTTGTCATGCAGGAGGCAATGTTGGATACCGTGACAACAGCCATCGTTGGTCTTCTCGCTAACCAGGGTCAGCTGCGTGACGCCATCCCGGTGATGGGCCATATTCCGCGATTGGTAGCTGCTTTGGGCTCGCCCGCACCCCAGGCAAAGCACGCCGTACGTTTGTTACACGAGCTCGCGCAAAGTCAACAGTGTGTCGAACAGCTATGCGAAAGTGGTGACTGCATGGCAGGGCTTCGTTCTGCCATTAACAATTGCCCCGAAACACTTGATCTTGTTGCTAAAGCGTTAAACCAAATGTTCCAGAAAGATGCCTCGAGGCTTGTCCAGCAGGCAAGTTTTAAATACTGTATTTACCATATGTTACGTAACTTATTTCACCGAATAAAAATGTAGTACTTAATATGCCACTTTGTTTTGAACCGACGATGTCTAGTTCTTTCTGCCAAGTTACTTAGCCATCTCTACTAAGATACTAGGCTGGAATCCCGCATTCATTGCTGTTAGAAATTATACCAGCTGGTGTGACTGGAATCATAAAAATAGCACTATACGGAGTAAATATCTTTGTTGGGTGTAAAATTTCTTAATGAACGTGTTACTGTCAACCTCTACTGGTAGGCGTTGTTAAAATAACTAAACATATGAGTTTCATTGCTTATTTTTCAGGCCCTAAGCGTAAAGTTGGTATCCCTTTTACTGGAGCTTCTAGAAAGGTCGGTGACCAACGCCACTTCAAAGGCGCATATCGTGCAGGCGCTTAAAGCAATGCTTGCGGATCCGATCTATGGTGACGATGTAAACGAGCTTTTGACAGCTTCGAAAACCTGGGCCGACTTTAAAGATCAAAGGCACGACCTCTTTACTCGTGAAACAACCATCGCTGGATATTTACCAAGTAAGTATCCTAACTAGTTTTATGAGTAATGGAGCTGCCTATCTTTTAGTCCCTCAGTCATTCGATGCAGACCATCGTTTGCAAATGAGGTTTGATTAGTTGTCTGCTTTCTAAGTAAACTAAACTCCAAGAAGAAGATTCCGTATGAAAAATTGTTTAGTCGCAAATGTTACAAAAATATCATAACAAAGATATATATAGTTAGCGTTTATTATAGTGAAATATAGTTGTCCCGGTCCTTAGGAATTGAAACCAGAAGCTAATTTTACGCTTTATTTTTAGGTACTACTAATATCGCTGGCTACTTGACGACCGGCACGATAGGGCCGAACTTTGCGCGCCAGCCTCCTCCGGTAGACCAGTGAGATATACAATCAAGTCAAGAAGATCAAGCAATGCTGTTCTCAAAAAGCTGTTGGCACCTATGGGCGAGCAATAGTGACGGAAAATATATAGTGAAGTCATGGGCGAGCAATAGGTGACGGAAAATATATAGTCAAGTCCTGAAGATCAAGCAAATGCTGTTCTCAAAAAGCTGTTGGCAACATGAAATTTAACTATAGGCGAGCAATAGGTGACGGAAAATACGTCACCAAGTACTCAGTGAAAAAACGGTATGGAAGCAAATTAGTGAGCTCTGCCGTTTCTGCGCGCTCCGCTGGGTCGTCACCATAAATTCTGTGCCTTGCTTGCTCACGGGTATTTCGAAATAGTTCTGATCCTTTTCCGACGGTAGGATCAGCACTAGCCCGGCGAAAGTTGCAAGTCCAATAGCGTGAGAAAAAGCACAAAGGCAACAATAACACACAAATGATGCAGCAAGATGGCCGACTCTTTCACTCGCGCACTTCTCTGTCAATTAGCAGGAATATTTTATTGTTTCGAGTTGATGATATGGTGGTGATGATGGTAGAACTGAGGGAACACTAACAATGAAATAGCGAACGACGTTGTGCAGTTGTAAGCGAGGCACCGACTCTACGGACCAGTACCAATCGAGGCAAGTCGACTACTTCAATTAATGTTTGTCTTCAGGTGATGACGACACCCGAATGCTGAGGGGGAGGAACGTGCATGCGAATATGTTTGTAGGTGTAACTGCACAACAGACCGAACTACTGAATCCCAAAAGCTTCTCAAAGAAAGCTCGATAAAGATGCTATATGAAGGTTCGAACAAATTACCATGGAAAGCATTATTGATATGAACAGATACAGTTGCGCGGAGAACAGGCCAAAGCAGGCTGAGATGACGACCGCTATAAGGAAATCTAATGACAGCAAAAAAATGTAAAATAATTTAACCGTCGTACTATGATAAACAGGTTTAAGAAATAGATCATTATTATTTTGGGCAAGAAAGCGTAAAAAAAAAATTAATTTTGTTGTGCCTGCATGAGCGTGTCTGTATTTAGACAAGAATGACAAGCGTTAATTCATGTGTCTGCAAAAGGATCAGAGCAGTGCGGGACGGTGCCTGCAAAACGTGACATACCACAGATGTGATGTGATTTAGTACTGAACTGCGATGGTGTTTATGAATGGTAATGGTAACAAAAAGAAAGATAAATATACGAAGTTATTATTTATAAATTTAGATATGCACCCTTTTTATAGGTACGCAAGTCAATAAATAGTTTCAAATGTAAATATAGGTTCTTTCAAAATCTAAGCGACCAGCTTTGCTCAGGTAGATATCTTTAACGGCGCATTGGTGTACACAGTTCAACCTTTAGTTTATAAGCCTGGTGGAGACTGTCACAAAGTTTTGAACGTTAGCAAAAAAACTATCGTACCTTTAAGTGTGTGTAAAGTAAGCTCAGTTCTAAGAAAGTAATCATAAACGTCGGATCTACGTTTTAGGAATGCTTATCTGTAATGTGTGGGTATTTTATGTGTAATCCGTAATGTTTTAAGAATGCACAGAAAAATTATGTGCGTCTGAAGACAAAATTCAAATCTAATTCTCGAAGAAATGTATGGACTGCGTGCGCAGAACAAATTACAACATAAGGGCAAATAAAATTGAAGTGCTTCTAATGAAAGTATCCTGTACAGAGAAATGATCACCGTAGTAAGTGATTCTCTGAAATTCGAAATTGATTCTAAGAAACAATACTGCAAACAATCTAAGTACTGTACGCTGATAATGCCGGTACAGATTCTTACAGGAACGTCAGGAACTTCGTCCAAGCTTAGTTTGTCATCAATATTTAGGCGCTCATGTTGACAACTAATCGTTCGTGTGTCTCACCTTTAACAAATGCTAAAGTTTCAGTTTTATGAATTATGAACTTATGAATTATGTTCACGTTCATTATCACAAAATCCCCCTATGAACCTCTAGCAAAATGCTTCGATACGTATGGTACCTTTGCAAGCCGTATTGCGATACTCAGGAAATGTTCAAGTCGCATAGATCTACTTCCTTGGCTGACCTTCAGCCTGAAGTGCCTTTCAATTTCCGGCTCTGAATTGTAATTGGATACTACTGCAGAAACCGCGAGGTGCATGCACTCCGTTTGCAACTGCGCTGCCCACGCATGTGTCTTTGTAATTTTAGTCGTGGATTCTCGCCTTTTTGAGAGCGTTTTTTGCGCGGACTGGAACATGCGACCTGAGAAAAGCAGACTTAGTATGCCAGTCCCGTTAGTCGTGTACAATTGTATCTAGGGAATACCAACGCTTCGGTGATTGACTACATTTTTTTTGTGTTTAATGACGTAGCAGTGTCAGGAAGATTCATAAATTTTTGTACGGTACCAATTGCAACTTGCGGATATTTTCATACTTTCGTTCAGAAGTCATGAAATAGCTGGATTCCTGTACTGTCTAGAATATACGAATGGTAGGCACGTAGTACATTTAGCTAAATTCCTGGATGCTATCATTTTTTTTTTATATATATATCTACATATATCTAGAGAGAGAGAAAGAGAATAATGCCAAAATTATCTTTAACATTTCGACGGTGTGAAATTACGCGGGCTATGTATGGTTGAATATGAAAATATGATTTTGAGTACGATTTCTTGTATGAGGTTAATAACGTTAACGATGGGCGGACATTTCTGGCTTTATCTGTAGACAGCTTTCTTGTTTACTCATAATGTACATATTATCAGTGAAACGATGATAGTAGATCAGGCTGCTATTTGAACCAATATTAATTGGACGCGAAATTATGATTGACTGTGAGCTGCAGCGCCTGGACGACCATGCTTCGAAGATGAATTTCGAAATACTACTTCACATAATAATTGCTTATTAACTAATTACCAAACTATAAAAGGCGATACACCCTGTTTTCCTGTCAGACATTCAGGTATTAACGTTTAGTCCAACGCCGCGTAAATTTGAAGCAACGAATATTCGACTGAGTGCTTTTGATTCACCCTCCAAAGCATGCTTGCGTTGTGTTAAGGTCGTAATGATACGGTAAGGTGTAGCGATACGAAACTCAGAGAAGATTAGTTACATCAGTAGCTTCTTTTATTTTTTATAAATAAAGGGTAGCGTTTCTTCGTACCTAAATAAGCACCGACGCGACGCATTAAATGACTGGCGACGAAGGCAGCTTCGATTCGAAGTAAATTTGCCAACTCACCCCTTTTAGCACATGCCAACGCATTGGGAGTACTGTCCGTTATTCTTTCTAGTCTCCACCGGCTGGACCTGCCCACTGTTTACATCAACAGCCTCGGTGTTGTTCCGCTTGGGCCTTCATAGTGACTTTTGCTAGAGGAGAAGTTAACACGAAACGATTTCATTGTGAGGAAAATAATTGATTGCGACACTCCACTAACTACGTGCTTCAAATTCGTTAGATATGAATAAAAACCATATCCTTATAACTTAACCGCGGTGAAGATATCATGCTCCGTAGATCAGATCGTCGCTACTCTCAGTTATACCGCACTACCATTGCCTTGTGGCAGGTGCCATCGAGTAGCAAATCCATTCAAGTACGTTTGTAACTTTAGAACCGTAAGCGTTTTAACTAACATCTCACCATTATATATATAGGAGATCTTAAAGAACATGTGTAGAGGTCGCGTGGCTATGAGTACGAGTGCGCGGCTTCCATAGTTGTAACCAAAAAGGCTCCAAAACCGGAACTCGTGACGGGTTCCAGGCTGACCTACCTAAGATGTGAGCAGTTTTAAATATCTAAGTCTTTATCGAAGCTCACCTGCTAGAGTATGGACATGGCGTTAGTGACAGCTTCGTTTCCTGACTTTCACGCTATCACCATAGCAACTGCCTTTGTCCTGCAGCCGTCCTGATCAGATTTCGAGTTCAATGGCAAAGTTCGCCACCAATAGACACCAAATAGATGTTAAATCTTCAGCCGTATTATAATATATGATCAGTTACCTAATCGGCAATTCAGTGTTGCCGGAATGCACACTGCATCTAAATAGTTTGAATTTTACGTCCAGAGCGCTTGGGTCGTTAGATTCCATTGGACGGCCGGCTTCTGCCAGAATTAAGTGAAACACTCTGCGTCCTGGGCTATAGATTCTAATTAATAGTGATCACTAAACGCTGATATTCCTTCTGAGGTTGGTAACGATGTTACTCGAATGAAAACTATTTTTTACTACATATTTACCATTGCATATTTCTTTAACATAATTTCTCACATAGTAGTTCAGCCTTTGGCATCATTCCAAAACATCTCACAAATCATTGAACATGTTCTTACAGTACAAAAATCTTTTTGGGAATAATTCGAATGGGATTTATTTAATCGATTAGATGACTGATTTAAAGCTGTTCGCAAAACCCGTTTTACTAGCTAACCATATTCGGACGATCCATTTGGTACACATCTCGTTTAAGGATGGACGGCAGCCTTGATTAACAGCAATGGCTGTAACCTCATCAGCGCTTCCTAAGCCGTAACTATTACCACTTGTACATTTAAGAGGTGGTAAGTGTGTAAAAAAATGTGTAATCTGGAAATAAGAACTTGAAGGTTGTCCCCACATGCGGGCAGTGCTGTTACTGTTCAACACTAAGGACAAAGAAAGTTAACTTTGGTATAAAGTGTATTTTCTACAGTTAATTTCTGCAAGCTGATCATCTGCTCTATTATCCTAGTTACCTATGATCTAATTGCTTAAATAATTTCGCCAATCGAATCTGGCAGAAATTGCATGGACTTGTGTACTTAATAGCATGTGATCTGGTCGGAACCAAGCACCCACTATCTCCGCTAGACTGACTTCGATAGCGTGGTGCTATCGAAATAGCTTAGATATGCTCATACCTTGTTTTTGTCCATTTCTCCAAGATATGTGTATCACTTGGCCCTATACCTCCACGCGGCCTTGTTGCAGTTGTAGAGAACTTTGCGTTCAATGGCGGCTCCGCCAGTGGTAAGCTGCGATAGCCAAAATAAGTTATCGGTAACAGCGTTCCTCCATTTGCATCAGTCAGTTTATGATTTACTTTTCTTGCCTAGTTTCTTGGGTCGGCCCGGCGAAAGGCAGAACATAGCTAGATAAAATTTATTCCTCTTTGCCTCTCGTACCTCGTCCCTTAACGAAAAACGAGTCTCGCTGTAAAAAGAGATTATGTCGAAAGCGCTACTTAGTCGAAATGAGAGTTTCTGAACGGCGACAGGGTAGTTCCCTGGAGCTGATCTGCCCGCTGCTTCCGTTTTCAAACGCTACTGAAGAATGTGGGGCGGCTATTCCGGGCCAGTGTTGAGATGCACGCACAAGGACAGGAATGAAGGGAGCGGTAGCCATGCATGGTGAACTCAGAAGTGATCAAGGTACTTCGGGCTAGGGTGTACAGTCACCGATTGGGGTGAATCGCCAGCGAGTATGAGCTATCATGACCAGCCAATGAGTGCAAGAGCATGCTAACGCAAGCCAAATGGCATGGCTTAGAGGTAGGACTAGAGCAGGGCACGAGGGAGAGGCTCTTCTTTTCTCTATTTCTTGTCTTTACCTATCTTTTTTCGTTGATTAGGCCACAAACCACCGACTTCTAACTTCATTGTTCCCACGTTCTCAGTCGGTTACATGGTCGTCTGGTTGGTCGAAGAATCCGTGACCCAAAACATAATACCGTCTCTTTTATTGGCCATTTGTTAACGTTCGGGATCACACATGAGAGACCATATGGACGAACCAGTCATGCTTCTTCTACTTGAGTACTAGCGGCTGACCACTGACCGGCTCGTGATTGAGTGGAAGGACGACGGTAAATTGGAGATAAGCGAGGCACGACTGCGCATCCTTCTACATTGCTGATCGCGTATGTCAGGAGTGTCAGGAAATGGGGGTCTGAGTAGGGTCGCAGAAGAAGCACGGAGACGGCACAGTGCGGAGCAACTTTTCGGTGGACCAATTAGTTGCCCGATGAGCCGGGAATTTGCCGGGAAGATGAACAGGTCAAAAAAAAAACCCAGGGTTTTAGGTCTCGTCTGGGCTGACTCTTGTTGGCCTAGTCATCAGCTTTAGTCAGCCTAACTTCAGGGTATACTGTCATACATTCATATCTTGCAACGACGGCGGAGCTGATGTACTGCAGTGCTGGCCCTTCTAGGTATAACCTGAGGTACGAGCAGTTATTCAGTCATGGATGGCTTCGCGACCTCGAAAATTGCAAGGCTATGAGAATGCGAGGCCTACAATGAAGATGATTTTTACAAGATCCACGAGAAGAACCTAGGGAAGGAGCTTCTGGGAGGGATTTTATGGACTCCACGGCCTCCTGCTCTTAGCCACTGGTACGACGTTCGTTCCACGTAACTCTAGTAGTCCTCTAGAGGCCAGTAGACAAATGTGGGAGGCAAGAAATAAAGAATAATAAAAAGGGAGGGACGTACATAGAAATGGGCCATTGCTTTATAAATCAGAATAACGTGTACACCGGAAGGTCATTTATGCACAACACACACACACACATTAGGATACAACGGACTGGTGCTGTACACCCTAAGCTGCTCGGAGTGGCGAAGAACCACTGTCACTACTCAGCAGAACAACTGAGTAGAAATGGGTATATGAATGACAATAATCACGTAATTAAGGTTACCCGAAGAAAACTAGCTGGCCAACCTACTTAGGCAGTGAAAGGCACTGCCTGTTATAGTAGAAGCGTTCTTAAAAATTTGCTGTAGTACACAAAAGAGCTATAGAGGTAAGTAACATAAAAGCGAATCTTATTTTATCCTCTAGAAATCATTGGACAGACAGATACAGCGAAATGTAATAGAAATGAAATTTTTATTGCAGCACACACACACACACACACATCTTCAGCTAATAACGCTTGATAGCGGTCGACTGAACTTTTGAGTACATATTACAAATTACCAACAAAAGTATCATGATTCCTAGAAGTTGGGATAACGATTGGACACTGTTTACAACTTAGTTTTTTTCTGATAAGTGACTTAAATCCAAAAGGCGAACATGAAGTTTGTAACATTTCGGAGCGTCTACGCTATTCTAGATTATGTTACATCTGTTCTAAAGTAACCCACTGCTTTGCGGATAATAAGTGCTATGATCCAACTTTTTTTAATCCACGCACTCGTGGTAGAATCACCTTCGCTTACGAACAGAGGCTATGTAAAAATTTAATTTAATGAATATAAATTATTCACCTACTTCATTTATGTATTACTTTAGTTGTGAAAGTAAGCTTATAGTAAGTATTTTTTTTACAGATTCATATAAAAAGTTCACTATATGCTTCTAAAAAAGGAAGCATCTTCTCCTTATCTCTACTAAACTTAAAACTGAAAGAGCGTCGCCCTTTTGCATAAAGCGATATCCTCGGAAAATTAATTCGTAACTAAATTTCGTTCCCGGCAATTTCAATGCTAGCAGACGCTTGTAATCGGTATTTCAATAAGACGTAGCTATTGAAGTTTTTTACGCAAAAAGCATAAGATATGACATGTAAACTATATGAAAATATACGTGAAACGCCGATACGTAAATTCAACGCTGTGGCAGCTGTGTTGGCTTTGATTGATTCGCACTTTCAAAGGAACCTTCAATAAATTGCGCTCTTCTGTCAAATACGACAATCACATAGATACATACGCCGATACCGGGCTTTTTTAAATCTAGATTTTTCTTCGTTCGATTAGATTGTTCTAACAAATGCTACGTTTCGAGTCATGAGTGCAGCACACATTGGATGCATCCGAAAGTAAGTTGTTGCATCGGATGTGTGCTATCATTGTAGCTGGACTGTCAGAGGATATCAACTGAAATCGCTGGGCACTATTATCTCTGAAGGTACCTATGACACAACAGGTCAATCACAACGCCTACTCCGGCCTAATTACACGCCACTATGCTAGTCTGAATAATCAACGTTTTCACGCCCTTACCCAAACACGTTCTTTACAAACACGAGGTTAAAAGGTAATGCATTATGTAGCCTAGACTTCGATGCCAATATATTATTGTAGTAAAGTAAAGTTCCCATAAATTAAATTTTTTTTGGACTAATTCTGATAACTCTGCACATCATAACAACGCTCACAAAAACGATCTGTAAGGAAATTCATTGTAAAATCGCTGCGCATGCCCTTCTTGTAATTGAAGGCCTGTCTTTCTTAACTGTGAGTGTTTTGGTATCGCGCCTGCTTTTGCATATATATGTATATATATTAGTAATCAATATGTTCGCATTGTATTCAATGTAGGGTTGTTTTCTCCAACAAGTGGCTCTAGAAAGAGACGGAAATCGGTTGATTCAATAAGCTGCAATAGCAAAAATGCTTCCTAGAGTCTCATCCATTACACCGCTTACTCTAAACTTTTTTCCTCTCCTTATTTAGTCGGCCGGATGCCGGCCTAGCTCACTCCAAATTCAATAACAACTTTTTTTTGAAAGCTAAAAAAACGAAAATTGCGCTGATTAAACAGCAGAAGGTCAGTTAAAGCCTTTCTGACCCACTTTTCTCTCCCTCCTTTCTCTTTTTGCCTCCAATTGTCTCCTGACGCTCCTGTTGGTTCTGCTTGTGGTAGCTCTGTACAAACCCATCGCTAGACCAGAGTAGCACATTCTGTCTTTTCCCAGTGTTTCTATCTCATTTTTCGTCTCCTTTCCCGCTTCTCGTGTTCCATTTCTTGCTCATGCATCAAAGCGACCTAGATGATTTATAACCCAAGACTAGGAAAAACCCGAGTGCTGCCTAGGCGTTGCTTGCGGTGCTCGTTCACGGTGGTCTACTGCAAGAAATATGGACGAGCTCTGAATGCTGAAGGACCGTTGAAAAGGGGGTTCATCGGAAAATTAGAGCTGCGCAAAGAAAGCTGCCGTACAGTTGTAACAGCAGCGTATTTCAACGGGTGGGCGCAAGGCGGATTGCGATAACGGCGGCGATGAGAAGCCATCCGTCAGTGTACTAAGAAGTGGATGTGACTTCGAAACAAAGAAAAGTTCGCAGCCCAGATCGGCGCATCATAGCATCGTCACTAATCACTCACCTCCGCCGTGTGCACTCTTCATTGTTGAGTCTGGCGCATCTGTTATATATATATATGTATATATAAGGCTCGACACCCTCACTCTGTGCCTGCCCTTCAAGGTATGTAATGTACCCCAGTCAAATGGCATATTTATTAAATATAACTATACCTGAAACATTGTAATTCTGCTAGTAAATTAGTCATTCACTTAGCAGTAGATATTTGAGAAAAAATTTAGCTAGCATGTATTCTGATCAAATTCTAAATAATAGATAAACGTATATATATATATATATATATATACTGTGTGTTCCGAGTATTCCGTATAGACTACACTGTTCCTTGCACTCAAAAGGTTTTATCGTTTGAATACGGCGAAACCTGCTATATATTTCGACTTAAGGGCCGTTCTTCGAAGTTATTGCCTAAATCATATCGGTGTCTCTGTAGACCTGTTACTAAGCCCAAATCCTTATTTCACATATGGAGCTATTGTCTGTTTCGGCGCTCTGATAATGCCAATTATTATGCCTCTTAGGGAATGCTGGCAGATATTTGCAACGGCTCGCACAAAGCAGCGAACAAGTTTATAGCCTCATTGGCTTAGGATTTGCTCGTAGGTAAGTTAGAGCAGTCTAAATTTATGTATAAACATAAATATATATATACATATATACGATTGTACTGTCGGTTAGTTTCCGATATAAAATCCTGGTAATGTATCCTTTCTAAATATTTATTTTTACTAAATTGCAAAAATACTGAAATAGCTATTTTCTAAACAGTCTTTTGGTTGGATTCTCTCTCTCTCCTCTCTCTCTCTCTCTATATATATATATATATATATATATATATATATATTAAAGTTTTCATATTTGTCAAACTGCAATCGGTAAGAATATCGTAGGTGGTGAAAAAGACTCTATTTTTAAAAGGCGACCAACACCGGTGAGCATTGACGGATGATTGTACTCGGCTATGTTTTCAACAGAGAGACATGACCAGGCTAGTAAGTTACTTCTATCAACGACATCTTCCAGTAAAGTATGCTAGTTATCATAGAGGATTAATCAGTTTAGAATGTTTGGTTTAATTCTGACGAATAACGATTTCAGACTAGATAAAACGACTGGAGTACTGAAGTGCGATGCCTCTTATAGAATGATCTGACTGGTAGCCCAGCCATTGGCTGCCAGATGAATTAGGACTTTGAAGAAATTAGGTGAGGCTATTTAAATAGGAAGATAAAATAAACCTATACCGATCTAACCTATAGGGACCTCAAATCATCTCGTTTAATCTAATTAAGAAGGAATTATGGATCTCGGGAAACTGCTCCTGCAGTAGTTAAAGTGTTTAATCTCATCAAGAAATATATAATTAGAAAAATTATCTCCTTTTTTGATTCGGGTTTTTTAAATCATAGATGCTATCCAAGGGATCTCGAAATGTTAATTTCGATTTTGAAATTCTCACAGGATATGTCTGTTTAATAACTTCATAGTGATGATGCAATGTGATAATAATAATAATAATAACACATTAACAAAATAAGATAGCAGCCATTCTTCATCGGATTAGGTGACCGCGGCGGTGTGGAGGAGCTTTTCGGCCTAACATGGCCGTTGGATCGCACCCAGTTTACCATTGACTCGCTAATTATTCTTAGACTAACCGGTGCCGATGTAGGTCTTTGTTGTTAAATATTCTCTCAAGCAACCTAACCTAATCTACTTCCCTCTTGAATATAGACACTGTGGCTCGTCGCTTTCGTCCTCGTCTGTTGCATCTTTTTCCTGATGCTACCGTTCAGTGCTGCTGCTGCTGTTGGAGATGCTCGTTGTTACGTTCTTATCGTCGTCGTTGAAAAAGCCTTTCGTTGTACGGAATGTCACCGCATCCGTGTTTTTCTGATCTGCTCTGACCGTCCGTGGCTGGAGCAGACCTTTTTGCCAACGTCAGCAAAGGAAGAAGTAAGCGGTAAGCATCTGGCGAGATCCACCTTTGTATTGGACTGTAGGATTCCGTTAGGCGGAGCCAGTGTAGCGGTGCGAAAGCAACCTGGGAGAACTAATCTAAGCCTGCTATTGCGCACGGAAATAAACATCTACTGGGTAAGTGAAGTAGATGTTTTTCCGTCAATATAATAGCCGTTTAATAAGAAAAAAACAGGCTCACCGGGTCGGTGGTACCTAACGATGATGATAGTGTTTCAAGCTGAAATGAACATACTGAGTTGCTTCACTCAAGCCAAAACAGAACTAGCGGATAGCAACGTGCAGCGAGTTAAGGACATGGAACCTAGGAATCAGTACATATATTTTCATTGACCAAAGGTTGGTATGCAAAAAAAATGGGAGCGGGCCATGCAAGGTGACGGAGAACCAAACGACTACTTAATTATATTTTCTTTGGTATGACCAACACAACTTGAAAAATGTGTGTTAGCAATACCATGCTCCGTAAAAGATTCCTAAGGACACGATTTTTGAGGCCTATGTACGCTGCGTATCGCGTCAGATGACTTGGCTGATTAGCCTGCGCGGTCGGAGGCAGGTTAATGCTGTTCGGTATCTGAAGCAGATTTATCATACGTTTAGAATCGGTCGCCTCGGACCAACAGTGTTCTCCTTAAGCTGGTTTCCTAGGTAACATAAGTGTGCTCCTTACTTTAAACAAAGCATGCTAGTTGCTCAATAACCTGAGAGTCTTTTTCTGACAGGCTGTCTATGGGCTTATGGGAACAGATTTCGCATAACGCAGGTATCCAACAAACGTAGATCCTTCGTTCATAAAATCAATAATGACCAGCTTACTTAGGTGATGTTTCGAGCCAACTCGGACCACCTTAAACACAAAAAGTTTTCTTAGAAGCCCTCCTTTCTGGAAAAAGACGAACGGCTGGCCTTCGTTGGTATTTGACGCAGTATAGTAATACAAAAAAAAAGAAGTAGCTCCTAAATATGTCATTAGTACCCCAGATCATTAAGGTCCGAAAAGCAATAGAAGTATAATTACCCTCTCTATCTTCACATCGTAGGGTAATACAGTGCATGCGACAGTTAACGACGCATAAAGTATTCAATAGATTTGAAATTGCGCGGGGAAACGAGGCAAACTTTAGTGCGTTAAAGCTGGTTCGCTATATTACGCAGTTAATTGAGATTTTAGATCAATCGAAAAATCGGAAAATATAGCTAGGGGTAAACGAAAGGAGTTTTCCGCCATTCTAAATACAATCCGCATATATATCGAATTAATTTATTCACTAGCTGCTTTTTCCTATTGATCGTGGCACTTTGATTAGCTCTACGATTAGTAATATTATATAAGTAACTGGATTTAAACTAAGGTAAGTGTTTGCGGCCATTTTTGAAAAACGTCTGTGGATGGCTACAAAATTGGGTAAATTTTTTAGATATTTGCGGTAAAACATGTCACACGATCATGTAACACGATGAGGTTAGCTAGATTTGTCTAGCATGACAAAGCCTTTTAATATTATTAAAGCGCTTTTCATGTATCCACGTCACTGGCGCGGTGTTTGAAGACTTTCCTATATATGCCATATTTACAGATGGAATTTTAGACGATTAAAAAAATGGAATTGCATGATCATCTTTCGAAGAAATAGTTAATAGGTAAATCGGACAAATAGATAAGTGAACTCAGATAAAGCTATTCCGAATCTATCTACATTGTGAAATTGATTTCAATCACCCTGTCAGTTCACTTTTATCTTTTATTTAATGTTGATAACAACGTAACGGGTGGTAGTGTGATTAGGTCTAACTGCCTAAATAACAGTATGAACTCCATATACTTGCAATTAATAAACATACTAATCTTGATATCTTATTTTTCGATCTTTGTAATTATTACTATAATATTCGTTTTCAAAGAACTGCTTTTCTATCTGCAACTGTGTTTCACAGTCATACAAAGTGCTCATCGCTACCCCCATCTCTGTAGTACGTATATAATATTATAAACACATAAGCACTAGAGACGGACTGATGTGTCTGAGGCGTTCGTTATCCGAATGCCTAATATACGTTTGCTTACCCTGGATCAGCACAGCATGGTCTTGAGATAGATCTTGAATGGAAACGCCTATAATAAATTTCAAAGGGCAAATAGCTCTTTCGCGATGCCCGCTACGCGTTAGCCGAATATAATCGTTTAGCTCAACATGACCGGACGTCAATGGAATCCTCAGTAATCGTTTGCAACCCACTCGACAGAGGGACAAGTAAGCAAGTCTACAAACTTCGGATGGCGCAGTAACGGTACCATCTCAATGCCAGACACAGGACTCTACTGAACCAATCGATTTGTCTCCCTGTTCATATTGTGTCAGAAACCACTCAGAGCCTGTGCTAACGTACAACTGCAAAAAGAAGAAAGACGCTTGCCTGCTATTCAATGAATCAGTCCTATTTTTCTATAGAGATGATAATACAGTAAGATGGAAGGGATTGAGTCCATGGCTCGCACACCCGACCGGCGATAGGCGATGCCACGGAAGAGCACTCAAACTGATGTCTACCGACGACCTAGGGGGCTTTATGCCTGCGCATCCAAAATGAATCGTCCAAGCGGAACTGCGACACAAAATCGGCTTGAACATCGCCTTTTTTTTCGACTTTATCATCTTTTTAATGATGATAAAAGCGAAAATTGTATATATTACATCTATATCGCCTTATTTAATCAATGTCTTAGCTTTATTTATTCATTCGTGTTAGGAGTCAGCCGAACCCGAAGATTTGCTTTTTGCCGGTATGCGCCCCTACGTTTTGCCTAGATTGTAAATTCAGACTCTGATTTCGTAGACATGTTAGTGTACGACTGGAGCTGTAAAACGCCTTTTGAGGGCTAAATGCGATGGGACACCTCGTATTATAACAAAATCCTTGTGTATACCTTCGGCTCATTTGATATCATGCTGTTCTGCTCTGCTGCTGGAAGCTAAGCGACAAGAAAGTGGCGGAAATTTTTGAACGGTTGAATTGCGGTCCCTTTGTTTTTCCATTCAGCACAAAGGTTGCGTTTTGAGTGCTTCAACTAACAGTTACTTTATCCGCCTGTTAGAATAAACGCCTTATTTCTAACTGTCTATGTGACCTTGCGCATTTGTGTGGGCGTTATAGCGCATGCTATACCTTTTTATAGTGACAATGCACCAATTATGGGGGACAAATGTTTTCTTAGCATAACCCTCTATGTATTCTATTTGCTGATTTATGTAGTTGGTGTGTAGAATTCTCTGTCTGTTACATATGGAAGCTTCCCTCTGAATTTCTCAAACTACTAACATCACGTTGTGTGAATACTGTGCTTTCTAAGGCTCGAAAATGTAAAGAAGCTTTTAATTTTAGTTACAGTTCTTGTTCAATAATCTTTTGTGGACCGAAAAAATGGTAACATGTTTATTATATATATATATTAATCTCGGCTCTTCATTATTTTTCTTCTTACATATGAGGGCAACATCCTGTATAGAATGATTTTCCCAGTTGAAGATAGATATTTATTATCATTACAGTTAATATCGACCGTCTTAAGGCTCAGGTCAAACTGAGAAAGCAGCGAGTAGAAGGCAGACGAAAATCTTCCTATAATCGAATTACACTGCTCGCCACCTGTTCGTCCACAAATATCCTCAGCAAGCTGGGGTAACGCTGAAGTCAACAACGATGCCAGGGTCTTCATTTGTCCAGTTCGACCGGCTCCGATACTCACGGGAGACGCACTGAAAATATTTGAATAGTTTTAAAAGTAATTAAAGATGCCATTGAGGTGAGGTAACGCATATTACAAATAAACTACTCTTCGACCCGGTTTAGCTAAATGAGATTTATTTTTTTAGCCTTTTGCTGATTCGGTTCTATTTAAGCAGTCTGACTCGGACCTAACTTGAATGTTAATTTTATATATATATAAGAACGGAAAAGGTCATATCCAGTTATTTTTTTTAAGGACTTCATTAAAATAGGATGTCACTTCAATAGCCAAATCTGTGAATAAACTGTTCATCAGCTTAATTCAAAGAAGCTCTGTTAATTAAGAATGAACGATCTGGACTCGATCTGGATCGACAACGATGGAACCGATCATATTATTAAGTTCAGTGATAGAAGATCTTGTGCTTGACACTATTTAGAAGCTGTTTGCGGCGACGTCCGTTTCCTTGATACGTGCAACTAAGTTGACCTACTTACTCGTTCGCTCGAATAGAACTGACTATGAGTTCTGAGGATTTGTTGGTTTTCGTTTCCGCCGAGCGGAATGAGACGACCTTTGCGTTCTGAAAAAGCTCCATATTAGAATCAGTAGCATTTCTTGCCTTATTTGCTTTGGCCTACTTCAGGTTAACTATTGGAACACTATTAAGGACAAGTCGGTAGGTAGTAGTACCTCTTCGTTCGATTTTGTTCTTTCTCGCCCTCGTTCCGTCCGTTAGCAAACATATCCTGCCATTTCCAATTAAGTTAGCTCAAAGAACGACTTTCCAAAAATAATAAAAGAGAAATGAACAAAAGCAATCTTAAAAGAACTCACGAACATTCAAAGACGGATACAACTCAGAGGCATACATGAGCAACGATATTATTAATACCGCGTCTGACGTATCGACATGTAGGGCACAGAATCCTGCTTCGTCCTTTTTTGGATATAGTCGGCTGTTAATCTTTTAGCGACAAGGTTCCCTGACGAAAAAGATCTTAGGACAGAGTTAGGTTTGCTTCTGATTTTACTCCTTTTGACGCGACAAAACGCAAGAGTGCCAGAAAATGCGTGTGGGATATTCCTTTAGAAGTTGAATTGGAGAACGTCTCCGAATGGGAATGAACCTCGCCAAAAAGGTGGACTAGTTAGGATACGAGGTTCTAGTAAGCTTCTGCGGACAACAATGTGAAATTGGAAGATGGATCAACTTTTCAGCAAAGCGATCCACAGGAACGAAAAGAACCCGTTCATCAAAATGATTACTCTTGACTACTTCAAATATCTGATATTCTCGCTTCTAATTTAGATCGACATCTATGCGAAAAGTTATTTATGTTGAGATATTGATTTTGCTATTACTTTCTCTTTTTAGTTATCTTGGGAGAGCAAGCCGTACAGAACTAAGTTTACAACCGAAGTTGCATCTTTCTTCAAAAGCTATCTTCTATCAGGGCATCTAGTGCATCAGGGCATATTTCGCTACTCAAAACCAGCAAAAAGCTTGTATTTTCATATGCGATTGAACAAATGTTATGTGTGATTCTCGCTAGTTTTAGCTTAAGTCTATTATGTTACCTTAGTGGTCTAAAAATAAAAAGCTTTGAGGTGGTTAGTAGATTCAGATTTTTATTCCGACCAATATGACTTCACCCGTAAGTTAATGTTATAAACGATGAAAGACAATAGTGGTTTTACTTAAATATTTCGAGTTCTACGTCTGGTACTACGTGCGGCAATGCTTTAGAGCTGTGGGCTTCGTTGGAAAATATTCATTATACTGCACTGCAACTTCTTTCCTAACACGATAACCGTCTTGCAGTTACTCTGTAGCTTATTATTGTATAAGCCCCGTGTCAATTTCGATTGTATAAATTGCGAACGTCTAGTGAAGTTCTTCTGACTCGATCACAATAGACGACGCCACATCGCTATCGGTGGCATTCAGTAATTCTAGTTTGTTTTCATAACAAGTGGCCATATTTACAGAACCTGTGCATTTCTCTTAGCGTAGACAAATTGAAGTTGAAGACAAACGCGAACAATTTGAAGTTGTCATCAGAAGAAGCGTCCATTAATTAGTCACCGTGTTTTCGCTTATATTTATTAGGCAGTATAACAGTACGTTTTGATGGATACACATACACAGAATCGCCTTGACGTACGTGCGGGTACTAGTACCACCGCGTCTGAACCACCTCTACTCGTAACCTCAATTTATTCACTGTCGTCTACAACGCGGAACGACGTTCGCTTTAAAGTGCAATGTGTGTATATTTGTACCGTCACGAATAGATTTTAGTTTTTCCATTTTTTAAATTCCATCTTTTTGTTTTATTTATCATACATTCTGAACTTCCCTGAATAGGAAATGGCGTTTGTAGGAAAAAAATCACTCGAGCTTTCGAGTGGCCGGACTCTGGATCATATGACGAATCAGGTCTGCAGGGGGGCATGGGTTCTCTGGAAACCACTTAGTCCATTCCCTTTAAGAAGCGTCCCATTGAAGATATGTCTGGCTCCCTCTCTAAATTCGAGCGGGGCTTGACACAGCATCATTATGCTATATACGCATGGCCGGAGAGGGCAATGTGAACGCGTATGCGGGCCTGACTGCTTGAAGGTTCGACGACAGGGACGACAGGGACCTCCGCGTATCTTGGATATCAGAAGTAGCAGACAGGCAAACCCTTTTCGGTACGTCGCTTGGCATACGATATATGCAATCCCCATCGCTTCTTAAATTGCGTTCTAGCCTGCTTGCCCCAGTCTGTGATGTTGGTAAGAACCGGAACGCTGTCACAGCCAGTTACACGATATATCATGCATTTTCGTTTGTATTCTATGACTCCGTTGAAAAGCATGAAGCGAGGCACAAGACCCAGGGCAGGATGGCAAGACAAGGACAGACGTAACGATACAGCAGTGCAGTGGAATATTTGAGCGTAGATCAAGCTGAATTGAGAGCGGAGATAGGGAGAGTAAAGGACAGTGCGGATGCAAACAGCACGATAGCACCGGGCAGCGTGGAAATTCAAACAGCTTATCGCGAAGAAACAAGACAGGCTAAAATATATTGTAGTAGATAGAAAAAGACAAACACGATGCGTCTCGTACTGATGTACGTATGCAAATATATGTATGATATATCCTGAACGGCCACGTATGAATGGAATATGTTGAAACACAAAAACAGAAACCAAATACAAGCGACGGTTGTACTGTCCGCTAGTTGACCACGAGGTGTTGGTCTTGACACAGATTTGTTACTAATTGGGCCACTGAAGTGTGATTCGATAATAGGATGAAGTTCTCTACATTCGGACAAAAAGGTAATAACATCTAAGAGGTTAGCCCCATCCCTTTCAGCACCATAGGTTAAAATATCTATTGGGTTAGTTGTGAATGAAAGAAGCATTGTCGAACGTGTCATTGCTGGAGTCTATGCATAGATGACAAGTATTACGACAGCTAAAGTATGGGACGCACGATTGATAACCTGCAGAAGTCAAACGTAGCTCTGATACGTATAGCTATATGCAACCATACGGTGGTGCGCCCTTTTGAGTTGCTAAATAGACCTTAAAATATTAGGTAGGCTAAATTTATCATAAGAAAATCTAACCTCTAGATTTTATCGTTCACATTGCAGTAATTTTTCCTTTTATCTATGCCTCTGCCTGTTTGAATCCGGTCTTTGAGGAAAAGGTATAGTAGAAAAGTGTATCAAAAGCAGATTCTAATGGACCTCTAAGGTCACTGCATTCTAGATTCCTGGACTACAAAAAACTGTGATCTATAATTACTATAAGACAGTAAGCTATAAACAACAAATGGGCCCGCGTAGGTCTGGCAAGTGGACGACAAACATTATAGTTCAATAATTCATACTACCAACGTCGATGATTAACGATAAAAATCATGACTCCAAAGAATATTCAAGTGAAACCATGCTCTACGATTCCAAAGTCTTTGTACTCTTAAACTAGGCACCTATTCCAGATTGATAAGGGTCAATCCGATACAGTAAGCTACGGACCGGCTTTGCTGGTAGGCTGACCCAACAAGCGACGGCAGACGTCGACCTCGACATTACGAAGCTTTTTGACTATCGTCCTTTCTAGGGCAGCCTACCTAGCATCCTGTCAGAGCCACTATCCGAAGCATCTATATACCCTATTCGCATACCCGTGGTGATCGCCAATAGGCTTGGTTAAGCGTGACTAGATATGATTGTGGCATCGGGTAGGATGGTAAAGTCGTATGGGTTAAATTGCTGTTACAAACGAGGTCTTAATTGCTATCGCGAACCTACGCTTGGCTCTACGAGGAAAGTTTTTGTGTGAGATAGCGTGCGTAAGAGATTCAGGTCAGTGTGCAACGTGGGGCACACGATATAATCGACACGACCTGCGCAGAGAAGGCACGGGGTGAGCAGCAGATTCATTATAACGAGATGATGTTAGACTAGTACGTACTGACAATAAACGAAGACCTCTCATTGGCAGTTCGGGAAGTTTAAACGCCTGAAACGCTTTTGATACGTCGATCGCATAGATCCTCAGATTCTCCTGCAACTTAACAAAATAGAGGGCTCAGCTACGTAGAACCGATAAGCTTGCTATAATTTAATGTCACATAGTTATTACGGGTACCAGAAAGCGAATACCGTATTAGCCCTGGCTGGACAGTTCCCATTGTCTCCAACACTGGAATCCATTAATTTCATGTTATTTCCACCTGTGCGTCATGTAAAAATCTTAAATTTGCTTTTACTTTCGTTGGGGCGCATTGTAACATATGTGTAAATCCGAGCGAAACACAGGCAGATCAACTTCAGATGCTCCTATTGTACTTCGGGTCATACAATATAAGTACTGTGACGCGTCGTTGAGTTAACTGAGCACCACTTTTCTCTCTTTATAGAAATAGACGGATGCTAATGTTGTTCTACTAGAGAATTAATAGAATTCTTGAACTGTTACGGAGGAACCTGTCGGAACGAGTAACACATTTTAAAAGAGTCCTTCAAAGATCATTTTGTCGGTGCCAATATAGGCGCGACCAAGCCCGTATGTCAGTTGTCCCATGTGCATTTTCTAATACTGTTGTAATTACTTCTAGAATGAATTATTTAGAAGTTAAGTAGGCCAACCGTAATAGATCGACTTGCTAAGCATTGGCCAGATGAGACCGAGACAATTACCGACGGGACGGACATGCTAGTCCACGAGTCGGAGACATTAGACAATGTAAGTGCAAACCTCCTTTTCCAGATTCATCATCATCATCCGCTAGTTGGTAACAGTTTCCTAATTCATTTATTCGGCCACTAGCTTGCCACTCAAGTATAAAAGCTTATTTCTCCGGCATAGGTTGATGAGTTCACAAACAGCGTTTAATCCGGTAGAGGAATACTGATAGATACAAACACGTCACACGGGTATTATTGTTCTTCGTTTAGATGTATCAGCCCACCATGGGAATCTATTCCCGTAAAAATAGGAATGCAGTGTATAGCCCGAGTGCTGAGTATGAGGAGTTTGCTTAAGGTGCAAAAGATAAAAGCTGTTTACCATATCATGCAGACAAGATTGGAGGGCTTCGGCTGGAAGCGGTCTCGCTTAGCCAGTTGTTAATTTGGTTTTATCTCCTTCGCTCCAATGACTAGCTTACCTAAAAATAATAATGCGTTATCATCATACCTGATACGGAGAAGACAAGGCTGGTAAATGCTATTACCAGATTAATGCGCAAATGGTATCGTATTTAAGAACCAACTTAAAAAAAAAAGCTTGAAAATTAGCTCTTGAAATTATCTAGGTTAAGTATCAGTGTACCCTTTATAAAGCATTGTTACTTTCCTATTTAAGCTTTCCTTGTGGATTTCTAGCGATATTCCGCTCGGCTGAAGATAACGATGCGATAAATATATTTGGTTTGCTCACGATTTGATCCACAACGATGGTTATGGATTCTATCAAATGTAAACGAAGTGTTTTTTGATATTCTACACGTACGTTTGTCTGATGATGCACATTTTTTTCCAGCTTTACCTTCAGGTAATGCCTCTAGAATGATGTTACTTGGCTTTCTAGAGCTTCTACGGATCTATATATATATCTATATCGGATATATATACGTTCAGTATACCGCTTGCCTGATACTATTTCGTTCTGGAAATCGCATCAGTACTGACTTGGCACGAGTGTTTCGGCCTGATAAAAACTGATTAGGGTGCTCTATTATATCCTAAGAACATATACAAGACTATATCATTTGAACTGAGCCCAGATCCTTTAAAACCCCTATCCCTTATTAGCTCGTAAATAGATGCACACCGTTTGAGCACACTGTGCCGGAGCTTACATGAAGGTTTGGCTGAAAAAAAAAAACGTATCTTCGGCGGAACCTACATAATTGGATAATCTACCTTTACCTCAACAATAGAATATTGTGTATTTAAGTAATATAGTCATTTAGAAATCGTCGCAAGCTACACTCCCATCATTAGCTAACCTAATGTAACTTGCTAAGTTTCCATATATTTATTTGACATTATCCGACCTTACATACTTATACCAATACTTACGTTTAGAATCATTGAAATAGATATCCGTTGAGGTGAGGTGAAGAAATCGAAAAGCTAATGAAAATTATATAATTCAATGCGTCCCTCATTGGGTAATTGTAGTTTTTCCGTTTACTGGCTCTAACCGGTTCGACAAGTATGGCGTCTACATTGGCGGCCCAAGTAGTCCAACTGCCCCGAAAGATTGTTATTGTTGGCCTTATTAGCTTACCTTAGTAAACCTCTGACTCTACCTAAATGAAAAATTTAGATACGTAGACACTGAAAATGGGTTCAACACTCATTTTTAGTTTTTATTTAGCCTCCGCAAAGGTGAAAGAACACTTGTCATATTTATCGAATCAACTGCCGCCAAAAAAAAAAGGACTAATGCTGAATTCAAGCAAAGCGAGCAAAATAACGGTACAATGTTAGGTATTAATAATCATTTAACCCAACATCAGCTCATTTATGGGATTACTGAACTGGCATTCGCTCAAAGTAAAACTGAAAATTGAAATACCCCTAATAGCTTGTACGCCCATGGTACCTAAGTGAACACAAATAGCCACTGATCGATTTTTATAGAATGCATGGACTCCTGCCAGCAGTCGACGATGACTGAGAAAATCTCGAAGTGAAAGCCGAAGCTTTGCTGAAGCCTTATTGATACGACCTCGAGTCGTTTCGAGTTGTGCTAGATCATCTGTGATCTCTCCAGCAATTCTTAAGACATACATATATTATATACCATCTATATATAAAACCATATATAAATCGCAGATATGTGTATGATGATTGCTTAAGTGTTCTGAGTTGGTTAAATATTGCTTCAGGCAGTTGCCTCTTGTTAGTGCGGAACAAAATGTGTGCTCCGCCCCTAACCTAGACTGCCTGACATGTCCTCAGGTTTCGTAGGTAAACACGTTACCACTACACCATCACGAGTACATATGTTTATTACCATGCTCTATATATATGTGTACTAGAGTCGCTTACTTGTACATAAACAAAGCGAATCTATAAGCAAGTGTATTAGCTACCTTAGCTACTACTACGTTTCGTCGCCAACCTTTCACGCAGACAGCAAATCCTGTTACCCTATGCGAACTATTTTAGGAATGGCTGAACAGGCATCTTGCTGAGTGGTCGTTGTTTGTTTTGGCCTTGTTACAGTGTCACTGTTACGCCTGCCCAGTCTAGTTGTCTAGTAGAAGATGATCATGCGCCGTTTCAACACGCTTTGCAACACACAATGCAACAAAAGTAAAACGTGAAGATCCTGTTTGACTACTCGAGAAACTCAGCAAGATATCTTCTTTGGTCTGAAAGTATCTAGACATTTCTTCGAGTTTCATCTTTCTATAATTTCGCGATCTGTACTCCTTGTCGCTTTGTTTTCTACGAGTAGAGAGTTCCCTGTTCGGTTACCACGTTCTGTTCGTAGTCGTTTTCTGTGTATGTCCACATCGTGGGGGCTGGTCCTAGGTAGCTGGTGTTTTCGTCCGCGAGGGCCTGAGCTGGAATTGTAAAGCATCGTAAGCATCCGAAAAAAAGGCGACAATTAGAGGTAAGTTTCAGGCTCAAGCAAAAGTATCAGCTGCCCAAGCAGAACTAGTAGCACCAGCAGTTCGACAAAACTTTTAACTCTTGGCGCTCTTCCTACACATGCCGAGGACTAAGAATTCGCGACGTTTGATGACAAACAGTAGGCTCTAATATGTCTGCTACTGTTATTGATGGCAACAGTAACTATAAGAAAGGCAAGTTGGTCTTCTTTCTCAAGTGGTAAGATAGAGCCACATTCAAGATCGAGATTGTTCTCTGGATATAGCGGTGCGAATCATATATTGGCCAGCCAGCTTCTCCACCTCTCACATATTATAGAGGTACGCTATTGCTATTGCTACTGCTGCTGCTTACTGCTATCCTATGTGTGGAGACAATAGCAATAGTTGGTTAAGTAAAGCCAGGTGAGCATAGCCATTGCAAATTTAAGTTTAGATGCGAATAGGAGATCTTGTTACTAGTCGTGGGGTGCTGCTCAGAAAAAGAGAAAACACGGCGGGACTAGCACAAGTCTGCCCGGATGTTGCTTATTTCCTGTCCTTTTCCCAAATGTCGCCAAATCCCCAAGACATTTCGGGGAAAAATGCAGCTCGCTTCCTGGCAAACCAGCGTTTTGTCAATGTGGAATATAATGTATTTCGAGAAACGGCCAGCGTTTCAGAGTCGTTCTACAAGGTTCGTGCAAGGATTGTTGGAGTTCGCAAAAACAGTTTATAAATTTATGCAAATATATATGGTCTATAAAGACTTTTCCGTATTTTCACCTTATCTTTTCGCGTCAATTGTTGTCGGTCGCTATATGAAAAAAGAGAAGCCTGACAGTGTCTTACTGGCTTCCCTATGCCCCAATAGAGAAGGACACGACGAGGGGTCGTTTAACCAAAGCTTTAGTGTACGCGACGCAATCTTCATTCCACTCTAGCGACGGAAAGCCGTAAGCGTAGCGGATGCGGAACCTCTGGCATCTGGTGGTTCCTCTAGGAGTGTCCTTTCAACAGGTGGAACACGAGACCAGGTTTATCCGTACATGCTAAATAATGGTTACACACAGAAGCGTTAATTTGTTTATCATAGCTTGATTGTATCCACCGGTTGCTATGATTTATGCAGCATCAAATAATCAAACGCATAAAATGATCAAACGAAAAACGTTATTCCGAGACTGAGAAAATAGAGCGAAATAATCGGCAGTTAACAAAGCAAAAAATTATTCAATGAAAAACGTTTCCATGCTTAAGGCACCGTTTGGCGAGAGAATAAATGATTGACCCTTGATTTACACGCGACTGCTCCCTAAATAAAAAGTCATTTTGCTACCATTCGACCTCGGAAATTGACATCTGATTTATCTATTCTTTTGTTAAATTAACTTAACAAAGTGATCGTTTGGTGCGCTTCTCAAATTATAGTTACTCTTCGCTAATATTATTAGCCGCAATTCAGCATTTATTTTTATTTAATATAATTTAATTTAAATATGTAGCAATGACTAAGTGTTTCGTACAAGTAACTGCAACAAGCAAAGCACTGAGCCATATTCATGTCTATGGATTCTATTGGTGGAATTGGTGGAAGCTTAGTCGTGAGTGTCCTGTTTTAAGTTTAGTGGACGATTATTTATGAGCTTCGTTCTCTAGCTATGTAGAGTAGATATGAGGATAATATCTTCTTTCCTCGTCTCGAGTTGTTCATGGGAAATGTGTTACCGGATAGGTTTGAAAACATAGATATAAAAATAATATTTCAGTTTTTTTTTACTGAGTAAGAGTTCTTTATTTATGATGGAAATTTTATCCTAAATGAGAGAAATGCATTCAAAAGTTGTTAAGTTAAGCCTCGCAGTACTAGCAAGGGTCGTTGAAAGTTTGGTGGTTTGGACGAGTCTTGTGTGATATATATATATATATATATATATATATATATATATATATATATATATATATATATATACTGTACTGTGCGCCTGAAGGTCACGGTTTTAAACCGTGATACTCTGTGCATCCATCTACGCGTTTTCTAGAACAAGCACTTGCTTGTACAGTTATTGAGGATGCACCAATTGATATTGTAGCCTAAAGACATTTGAAGCCTGATCAGGTATCGTTAGGATTATGCTAAAACACTGTTGAACTTATAAATTATATGTCGTAAATATCATGAAGGAGAATAAACCTAATTAAAATCGGAATGCACATGGATTCTGCCAACGTACCACTTGTATACACATGTGACATTTTTTTCAAACGACACAGCTTTTTTAAGTGCTCGCCGTCCTCTTGTCTACTAAATCTTTGAACAACATCTGGCCCATCACAGTCGAGTCATGTGCCAGCGAAAGTCGGCTTCCTTCCTTTTTCCATTTCTGCGCCATGTATAGTATTCCATATCCAACTGTCGCACAGGTCTCTGCAACTTACCTGCCGTCCAAATGGCCTGCAAATTCAGCAAGAACTAAGAACTGACGAAAATTTTGTATCCAACCCATAAACTGCTGTACTAACCCCGTTCTCGTCGTATTAGTATACGACAGGCGAACAAGACTGCGACATCGAAATTAGCCGACTTCAGACGACTACATGAATATATGATGAAAGAGCAGCGTTGAGCCAATAGTGGAACTCATGACCACTCTGAAGCAATAATGGTCGAGGACCACGTCGTGGCACCAGCCATAGCCAGCTCGGCTCAGTTTGCAATCGAAACTTTGACAATGAAACGGCCTTCATCTGAGAACTGAAAAGTGTTGCATGACGGCGCAGACGAGGTAGACAGGGCAAAACTGTCGAGCCGGACGAATCGTAGGAGATTTTCTATGAGATTTGTCCCACTGTCGTTTTGACTCCTTGCTTTTATGTGCTGCGCAGAATACTGCGGTAATGCACTTAGTATCTGTCACTTTCTCCGCCGTCAGGCCACTCAACAGGACGACAACATTGCGATGGTAGTCAGCTACTGGATGACAGCAGAATGGGAGACGCTTTTATGGTGTTTCACGGTATGCTCTTTCAGCATCGTCTACGGTGGAGCGAAATGGCGCTGCGTTTTTCGCTAAGGTACGTATACCTCACGTGGACAGTCCTCAACGGCAAAGGATAAGTAGTCACTCTAGTCCGTTAAATACATACATATTCATAAAGGAAAGCGTGGACTACTATGCAGAAGGGGGTATTAACAGTTTGGTAAAATTTCACGCCAAGCGTCAGTTAGTTCAGTGGAAAAAGCAAACCGTAGCAGACGTTAAAACACACATGGGCTGTGGAAGCAGACGGCCTGAGTGTGCGACTGACACGTGGAAACCGCGTAAGTTCGCAAGGTGTGATTTCAACACTTACATTATATTTGATTCATATTAAAGATTTAAGAGGGCGCTACCTACAGCAGTGCACGAGACGTCTTCGACGTTCCGTTTTCTTGTTTCAATCAGAATCAGTAGAAGATAAGGCAGCTAGAAGCATTGAGGAACGGCCGGCGATTTTTCAACTATGTTGCCGCAGGCCAACGATGTCAAGAAAACATTTGAATGTCGGCAAGGCTGCTGTCTTGCCAGAAAAGTGTTCTTATTGTGTGGGGATAGGAGTTTTGTATGTTTACTGAAAATGCTACCGATACCATACAAAGTCGTCATAAAAGAGAAACAATGCCAAACATAAGGGATTTTCTGTTTTAGAATTTACCGTTATACCTTTCGGTTTTGGATGAATCGGACTAACATCACATTTAGTCGAACACTGGGTTTATATTAACGATCTGAGAAATGATTACGACCCAAGATAAGAGATAATACTACAACGACTACCTAGCTAATGAATTATTCTAAATGGTCGAGTAATTGTTTAAGGCGATAGGGGCTTTAATTGAGTCGTATAAGTAATCAGAGCTTTAGATACGACTTACATCAAAAAAAGTATTTAAAAGTATCATGCCGAATGTCTTTTTTCAAAACGCCGTTCGATTCCTATGCAAAATGTCACAACTGACAGAATTATGACCGTTTCATTTCAGGAGTACAACAAATTGTTTAACATTTCTAGACTTTAGTAGAATAGACTAAGCTTATCGATAGATGGCACGAGTGAGCGTCTCACGATCGTGTCTAGTAGCAAAGGTATATGAATTTATAGATCTTTTCGCTGTAATCTCATATAGGCACAAACGTCTATTGGTTTAGAGATTATATATCTATAAATGTTTGCGTCATTTTAACTCGGCCACGCTTGTCTGGCCAGAGGTCGTCATTCCACGACCAGTGTCTTCTGGCGTCCAGTTGGTTTACCTTGCACATTTCACTGTCGAGACCATTTTACGCATGTCGGTATGCCGTATTTTCTACATATGACGGGAAATACTATCTGTTTTTTTCCAAAATCGACTGACGGGTTGCACACCTTCCGTTCCTCGTAATCTTCAGAATACCGCGAAAAAAGGCCCACACAAAGGAGCTCCCCGTCGCTCCGGGGCACATTGTGCTATTACCGTAGTACTCTCTGTACCAGCGAAGCTCTCGGTCAATTGTCACCTTCTCTGAACGGCCGATTCGCAAATCCTTTATTATCGATGTAGAAAAGGATATTTCTGGCTTTCTCTGGCAACCTGCCGCACATTTTAGTTACGTACATCTTCACGTGCTTAAGTCCATAACCATTTTGTTTAATACAGTTTTGTTTACACCTGGATAATCCCCGTTGGCAGGCTTGGTCGTAATCCATCATAAAAGGCCTTCGTTAAGATAAACCCATTAATTTTATGGCCATATTACCGGCGCCCACCGAGAACCGATTACTTAATGCACTTCTATCCAATTAAATTCAACCCAATGCCAAATTGATGCATTTAAGAGGATACTTTTAAGGGCTGGCGGGAGGCACCGCGGTTTTCGAGCTTTATGGTACCAACAGGGCTGGAGTCTACCACCCTGGTTCGGCTTGCCCCGACGACTGCAGTTCTCATTTTCCAACGGTACGCGTTATGTTCCCTTTCGTGACAGCGACAGCATGCCCTCTTGGTTGAATGCACTTGCGCTACTAAGTATCTGGAACAAGCTTCTCTGGCATATTATTTTGTATCATTGAACTGATTCGACTCATGAATTGGCCATAATCTCCTGTAATGAAGTTTGAGTAGTATTTGGTCTTGCGGTCATTCAGACGTTAGCTAGCAACGCGTTGATCTTATGTTGGGCCCTAGCTCATTCAGTGCTGCTTGCTTAATACATACAAATTCTTTGGATGTCTCCCTGTTGAACCTGCCGCGGCAAAAGAACAGCTTTGGCCTGCCAGCCTTCTTCGTTCGTGCAATTTATTTTCCGACCTTTTTACGTTTTTTCTACAACGACCCTGAAATCGAACAGAGTCCGAATCATTCCTTGCAAATATGGACGCATTCGCCTCACGACCTAGTATTATGGCCATTTCCGCTCTTCCGCGAGCCTCTTGTAACCCTCAACCCACCGCTCGGGCGCCCTCTTTTCGGATGTCACGGCGACTCCCTAGCAAACAGCCATTCGAGGAACTCTTTCACGATTTCGGCCATATCGCCAGTCACTGCCATCAAAATAAGGAGGGCTAACTTGACTCCTTCGTTGGTTGGCAGAAACGAGCACTTCTGTAGCATTCACTCTGATCTCATAAGTGCAGACGCGTATTTCTTCAAAGACCATCATTGTTAAGATCAAATAGTTTGCATCGTTACGATAGAGAAGAAAGTGTCTATCTTAGTGATGTCATCACATTTACAGATCGCATTTCCGGAGCACGAGCTGACATGATTTCAGCTTTTTCTAGACACTTGCATTGCTGCTCTTAAAATTATATCGTATATCATTGAATGTTTGTGTCTACAAGTACATAAAGTTTTTTTTGTCCGAAAAGTAGCAACATGGATTTGGAGATAGATGAAAATATGGTAAGATACATACATATACATAATCGATTAGAGCTGTCTGTGTTCTCCCTAAAAAGTGCCCACATCTCGTACATGCGGGCGTTTCCTCAAATCGGACCTGTTTCTTCGTCACTGGGATCGTACCCGTTG